GTCAAAGACCAACAGTGTTTAACCTAAGTAATGGTACTGACCTAATATAGATGATTTTTTTTAGATAATTATAATAGTTAGAAGAGGGTTTTTAATTTTAAATTGTTTTGTGCCGTGAGATTTGTATCCTAATTGTTGTATGTCCATGTGTAGATTTAATTTTCAGGTCTTATCATACTTCATAATGTAAAATATTTTTTTCCCTTCCATTTGCAAAAGTAGAAAGTTACTTAGTCAGAAGCTACTAAGCTTTCTTAGTAGGATGGAAATTGTATCTTTCCAAACATAAAAATAGGACTGATAGTCTTTGGATGTCCAACCTTGATACTGACTTACATAAAGTGGACATAGACCCATCTTTTAGCAAGAATATGATTTTAACTGATATAAAAGTAAAAAAAGAATACCATAACAATTAAAAAGAAAATTAAGCTAATTTTTTAAAGAAGGGCCTTAATACTCATAGAGTATATCTTGGTATTGATTTGAATTGTTATAAACCAGATAAATAAAACTACAGAAACTTAAAATGAATTGATTTGGAATACAGTTGACTATTACCTGAATGTAACTTTTAATACATAAAAATTTATGGAGAAATTAAAACAGAGAATTCACTTAAGCTATAGACATCCCTTGCCAATTTTCATAATAGATCAGAGAACTTTTATAGTAATAGAAAAAAAAAACCCATATGCAAGTAATGGATGTAGGTTTCTATTTCTTTCTCCATTGTCTAGTTTATTCATTCATTTATTAAGTACTTGGCACAGAAATACAAATAGAAAGATGCATCTCCTGCCCTCGGAGGAATTCACAGTCTGATGGGGGGGGGGGGGGGGGAGAAAAAAAAAAGATGTGTCTGCAAGAGACTTCTGTATAATGGAATCCGAGTTGATAAGCTATTAGACAGGCCATCATGGTGTAGGGTCAGGTTTTTACTTTGCAAATCCAAAGACTGGGTTTGAACAGTATAACCAGAATTATTTGGGCTAGGATGAATTCACTTATAGTAACCATGCCCTCAAGAGAATAAATCAGAAGACCGTTTAAAAATGTGTATTCAGAACTGGAATTAATAAGCAAATCAGGATGTATTTATTGGCTGTGCGTTCTCTCTAACTAGCAAAATCTAAATGGGATCACATTATAAACAAGTGGATTGTTGAGGCTAGACCTAGAGCCAAGGCAATGAGTGGAAGACCTTGGCAGCTAGTGGTATCACACGGTGACTTCTCGATGGTGCCAAGTCCTGTAGCCCCCGGTGGGTCCCTGCCTGATGGATCGCAGCCTTTTCTCTTAAAGATACTGAGAAAAGTGCTCTGGTCATGCAAGCCTGTTTCTTTCTGTTGGCTCATTCTTTCCCCAAATGAATTAAAACCACTGACTAGCCTGTGGGTTGGTAGGGTTTCAATGTTGTTTAATTTAATTCAAACTTAGAGTTCTAGGAAGTTTTTCCTTTGACATAGAATGTATTTTTCAGTTCTAGAATTTAATGGGTTTGTTTCCTTTGTGTGTGAGCAAAGAGCTAACCACATTTATTATGTCTTGATTTTGTCCTTTTAACTTTCTAAGGGTAAGCTTCTCTCCAAGTTTCAAGTATATGCAGCACAAGTACAATTTAGCATAAGTATCTTTGCCTCAGGACACATCTTTTAAAAAATGTATTTTACTGATTTTAGAGAGAGGAGGAAAAGGGATAGAGAGATAGAAACATCAATGAGAAACATACATCGGCTGCCACTGATTGTCCCCTACTGGGGATTGAGCCTGCAACGCAGGCATGTGTCCTGACCCAGAGTTGAACTGCAACCTCCTGGTTCATGGGCTAATGCTCAACCATTGAGCCATACTGGCCAGGCAGTACACATCTTCTTGATTTCCTCTTCTCTTCCGTGTCAAATTTAGACTCCTCACTCTTTCTTCTCTTACCAGCCTGTGTGTCTGTGCTCTTTTCTCTCATACCCTCCTGCAGTATTTATCACATTTTAATAATTTATTTCCTCATCTTCCTCTGCCATCAGACTGTAAACTCTGTAAGAACTGCATTTTATTTAATGTGGTATCTCCAATGCTAGTTCATTATCTCTTGGAAAAAGTAGGGATCCAGTAGAAGAAGGAAGGGGGAAGAGGAGGAAGGGAGAGAGGGATGGATGGACAGATGGATGGATGGATGGATAGATGGATGGATGGATGGATGGAGTGATATTTATACTGAGCCTTAAGTGATCAGTAGACTGTTTTTTAGGAAGAGAAGCCACTATAGTTGATTCTCTAGGTCTAGCAGACATTTTTCTCTTACTTGCCCCCTATTAGGGCACTGACTGAATAGAGGGTGACTATGGAAACCAGATTGCAGCTTAGTGTATCCCCTCCATGCTTCTGTCCTAACCTATAGTGTGATTAGCATTTGAAAGACATTTCCATGAAAATGGCAATATTCTCCAATATTTTAATTAGGGGATGTTCCTAGCCTCTTACAGTCTTGTTATAGTTATCTATTGCTGAATAACAAATTACCCCAAAATCTAGTAAGACAATAATTTATTATTTCTCAAAATTCAGAAATTGAGGCTAAAGCTAAGCTGGGTAGTTCTGCTTTATTTAGAGTCTATGGGGGATGTCCAAGATGACTTCTTCACTCACATTGAGATACCTCAACCAGAATGGCTAGAACCAGCTGAAGGCTGGTGGGGCATCTTTCTTTATACGGCCTTTCCATATAGTTTGAACTTGTTCACAGTATGGTGATCTCAAGCTGGTGGATCTTTTAATATGCTTGTTGTCTGTCAAAAATGAAGAATCAGGGGCTGCCAGTTCTCCTAAAGGCTAGGTTTGGAACTGGCGCAAGGTCACTTTTACCTCATTTTATCGGTATTAAACAGCCCAGATTCAAGGGAAGAGGAAATGGTCTCTACCTTTTGATGTAAGGAACAGCATGAACATATAGGGAAGGATGGTGAAGCATCTAAAAAAGAGGATCTAAAACAGATATACAAAAAGAACTACGGGAATCATAGATAGGACTTCATCAGAAATGGAGTCAAATCTAGCATGCTGATATCAGTGGGTGGCAATAAACATGTGAATTATTGCTTTAATGATTTGGTAAAGGTCAAGTCTAATGATTTTTGCTTTCTTTTTAAATTGAGAGCATAATGGTACTGTGGTCCATGAGAATAAAAAAGACTCATTTCCTATTATTTTTCTCTTAAAGGGCTGCTTAGAAAAGTATTACATAATTAAAGTTTCTTGAGTTGGCAATTCACTGGGAAAATTTTGTAATACATTTTCCCTCTTCTTAGTCTTGTGATGGGAAATGGGCTGAAAATGACCCTAATAGTCCCGTTTCTTAGCCTGAGCCATTTCCTGAACATTTTTGAAAGTTTAATCATTAGTTTATAAAATCTTGATAGACCCAAATAATCAAGATAAGGACACAATAAGTGAGGATATTAAGAAGCTTACACAAACACAAGAGGTCGATGGAGGAAAAAGAGGACCTATATAATACTTTCAGCAATAAAGATTTAAAAAAATAAAAGATAAGGGAAAATATAAAAAATAAATAGAATCTGAAAATAAAGCATACACAATTTCTTAAGCAATTCCCCTTTACTAATATTTACCTGATTCTTAACAGTTTTGACAGTCTCTTATAATGTATGTGTTATGCTGAAGCTTTTTGAATAGATTGTCCTCTGCAAAGCTTAGTCACATATCTCTATGGCATTTCATGTGAACAGGTGAGTAATGAGAAGACCCTGAGTGTCTCGGTTTCTTTGTTTGAGATATTTGCAAAGAAACCAAGACACCTAGGGTCTTACAAACCCTCTTGGAGGCTGAATGAATGAATAATTCACTTGTGAAGGATTTTAGTGGAGAATAAAGTTTTGTCCTTCCCTTCCTATAGAACTAAGAGATCCTTATTCTTAAAAAAAAAAAAAAAAAAAAAAAAAAAGAGATAAGATTAATTTCAAAAATGAGCACAATGCAATAAAAGAATGTGTATAGGTGAATCAAATACAACACAGAGAAACTGTGGACAGGAAATAAAATTAAGTTATACATAAAATATATGCCCTAGGGTTCACCTCTACAGACTGGGGAGGGATCACAAATTTGACCCAAAGCTGATTCTTATCAAAGGAAGAAGAGAAACAGCCCGGATAGATGCTGGGAGACCCCAGCTTAGTAATTAGTCAGTAAGATCAACAGGGTAGATTCTGTTAGCAAAATGTTTCATGTATGCTGTTTTATGATCTGTTAATAGTTCAAAGGATTGTAGTCCGTGGGAGAGGAATCTTTCTGAAGTCTGAGGTCCTGTTTCCTGTATTGACATTACTATCCCGCCCAAACAGTGTTAATTGGAATAGATGTGCATCTGCCTAGAGTCTTGAGGCATTTTGTTATTTAAAATAAGCATTTAAGCCTCATGAAACAAGAATACTTCTAAGGTTCATAGGAGGGGAGGTAGAATTCACAATTCATAGATTCAGTAGGCAAATACTGATTTAGGGCCTTCGACCTCTCTGGTTACCTTGCTCTTAAGCACTGGAGATGTGGCAGAGAACCTAGACACAAAAGGTAGTTCAGAGATGGGTAATGGTGATGGTTGCACAGCAGTGTAAATGTACAATTGAAAATGGTTGAAATTGTAAATTTTATGTCAGATCTACAATAAAGAAAGACAATTGGGGCAAATAAAAGGCAGTGTAATGGGACCAGATCAAGTACCTGGGGGGTTAGAGACTCTCTGAATGGGCCTCTGCCTTTCTGCGGGGAGCAGAAGGGCTCCTGGGAGGGGCCCTGATCCAGAAAGAAGCAGGGTCATTGCCCTGCACGACCTTTGAACGGGAGGGTGTCAAGTGGGCTCTGTTGTGTGACCTGAGGAGGAGATGGTAGGGACTGAAGTGACTGTCCATGCCAGGCTCTGCCGCCTGGAGGCTGCCCTCCCTTCTGCACCTCACCAAGCCCTTGCCCGGTGCTTTCCTTCGCAGACTGCCATCCTGAGACGCCAGGGTCGCTACAGATGCTCCACGGTTCCTGCCCACGCACAGGAGGAGGCTCAGAGCTTATTTGTTACAGAGGTAATGTGTTTCTTCCACGTTCATATACTACGTTATTTTAGTCATTTTTCCCCTAAGACTTGTCCCCCACCCTCCACCTCCTTTTCTTTAAATTTTAATGATGTTTTCAAGGCAGTGTCAGAGAAGTAATTATATTTTTTTATAACAGAAGTTAAAATCAGAGGATAACATGAGGTTTTCAGAATCCAAAACAGGAATGCCAACAACAAAACATGAATTCTGCAGGAGCTTATGAAATAAAAACCACCAGGTGTAATGTCAGAGGCCTCGTCATGGATATTTAATGGACACTCAGCACACACATTTATGTAATCATTTACACTAGTACATGTTTATACCTGGAACTTACCATCAAGACCAGTTCGATTTCAATGTCTATAAAGTGGCAGGTGAAAATGAGCTGAGCCTGCCGTTCCCTGATCAATGTGTGGTCACTATTACTTTTGTTTGAACAGACAAGTACTGAATATCATGAGGAGGAAAGAAGTTATTACATTTAGATTGCTTCCCCCACACACCCCCACACACACACCTTGGGGTGTTTGTTTCTTCCTCCAGGTGCTTTTAGGTAGGATGAGCTAATTAGGTATTTTAATTTTGTTTCTTGAAGTGCTCCTTCATTTAAGTACCTGGGGGATAGGGGTTTTCTGAATGGGCCCCTGCTTTCCTGGGAGAGCACAAGGCTCCTGGAGTGGCCATTGGTCCCTGATCCGGAAAGAAGCAGGGGCCGTTTTTATCCTCATTTTCTAGATGATAAATAAGTCTATTGATAAATCTGCCCACTCTGAGGAAAATATGCTTTTATAAGTGAAGACCGATTAAAATAACACAATTTAGTTTCCATGGAGATTTAAAAAAAAAAATTCAATATGTATTTTAAATTTTAAAGTGTTTTCTCTCATCCTTCTGAAAAGGTAACTTTTTATCTTGCCTCCTTTGCTATTATTATATCAGTAAAATTAACTCTAGACACATACAACCAGATATGTTTATATGATCGTAAATGTTTATTTTAAAACAGGATGTAGGCAAATTGTGACCTACAGGCAAACTCTGGCCTGTAGCCGGTTTTATAAATAAAGTTTTGTTGTAGCACAGCCACACCCATTTGTTTACCTATTGCCTTTGGCTGCTTTTGTATCACAGCTCAGGGTTGAGTGGTTGCAACAGAGACAGTATGTCTCTCAAAGCTGGAAATGTTTACGATCTGGCCATTTGCAGGAATAGTTTGTTGACTCCTGTTTTTTAAAACATGCAGCAAAATTATTAATTCCTAATTCAATTTTCCCAATTGCTCAAAAAATATGGTTTTTGAAGGGCAGCTCTCCATTAAGTCCTTTAATCGCTGCAGGTTGAGCAATAGCGGCTCCATCCTCTGCTGCACAAGCCAACATAGCTAAGCCCTCTGGAGAGCCTTCCCTAGGGTGGAGTGGAACAGCACTTCCTCTCCATCCTCTCGTCCCGAGGAGAATGACCTAATGGCTTAAAAAAAAAAAAAAAAAAAAAAAAAAAAAAAAAAAAAAAAAAAAAAAAAAAACTTCAAAAGACCTGCAGTATAACTTCAAAATATTATTGAATTTCACAAGTTTGAAAGGTCAGCCATGAAATCAGATCCCTATGCTTTTAGAGATATGGTTCTGTGGATGTTGATTTCTGATTGAACCCATTGTCTCCTAGACTTTCCATGTCCCAGAGGGATGGGTGTTGCTTGCCTTATTCGGTTTCTACCTTGGAATTTAGTAGATGCCCACTGTGTGGGCAATCAACAATGGCTTAGTAAATGAATGGAACATCTGGCTACTTAACTAGCTAACTGCTTTTTGCAATTCCTTCTATAATAATTGAACAAGTTTAAATATTATAATTGTGTTTCTTACTAGTTTTATCTAAGGTATTAAAAATTTGGGCAATCAGGCCTTCCGTTCATAAGTGCTCAGGATCATGTATGTCTGTGTTTATGTTTTCATTGGGCAGATGCATTTTATACTTCACAATGGTTGTAATGACCTGCAAGAGACTTTGGTGGCACAACTGTAGTGGCCCTGCTCTGTGCAAAACCTTGAGTGCTGCTGCTGTCCCTGATTTGGCTTCCAGAACAAAGAGAATAGGGGCTCGCCCACGAGACTGTATAATACACAGTCAGACTTGACTTAGTGATAATGGACCTACAGACAGTAGTGGGAAAATTCAAATCTAAGGATAACTCTGAAATCATACTGGTTTGAGAATGTAATTTTGAGTGTGGATATCTGATGTTCTTCTTAAGGTGAAAATGCTTTGAAATTTTTTTGAAAGCATTTACAAGAATAAAATAGTATTTAAAGACATTTGTAAGTACAGAGCAGAGAAATTGAAAAGTTGCTTAACTCGCACATCTAACTCTCTGCTTAACCCTTTTCTGCTATTTATTCCACCTCTCCTAATTATCCTACCTCAATAACAGCAAAGCTTACACTACCTTCTCTTTACAACCTTGACAGTGAAGTGCTTATAGAGAGCCTGGCACAGGAGAAGCACTCTCTGTTGTTGCTGCAATTATTTTCATGATTTTGGGGTGAAGGAGAGTTTGCCTCTAACGGCCTTCTGGCATAGGCTAAGAAATAGATAAAGAGGTTCACAATTAAACAATGAGGAGAAATAATCAGAAAAGAGATTTTGTTCATGTTAATTAAAACCAGCATCAAATCAACTCGTTAATTCAAACATGCATTTATCTACCTGTTTTCACTTACTTATTTTTTGCCATACTGAAGCCTACATACATGTAGTCAAGAGCTGATCATACAGAAAAATTATTTGGGCTAAGCTGATGGTAACTAAATCAAAGACTTGACCTGTTGATTTTGACTTATTCATACTGGAAGATCTTATAATCTTAAGACTGTATGTGGTACTCAGTGGATCCTCCTGTGTAGATGAATGGAAGACACCACGCTGGCCTGTTGAGTCTGGCTTTCAGGAGGTGTTCTAATGCAGCCTCTGGAGGTTAGTGTCACCGATAGACTCCTTGGCAATGGAGTGCTGCATATGTTGTGCATTCTATACACTCGGAGATGTAGTGGTGCCACTGTGAAATGAAATCCTTCCTCCTAATACCTCACTCTGTCCTTATAAATAGAAGAAAAAACTGGGAACAAATTTATATCACATGGACTACTAAAGCCAGTTGTAATATTAGTAAATACCATGAAAGTATCCTATGGTTAACACTCTCTGTTCACTTCCATATTCTAGTAGAGGCCACACAACTAACTTCTCTTTTAGAACCAAATGCTTTTAAGTCAGAATCTGTACATTGTTATGTAAATGGAGCAAGAGGCGGTGATGTTTGTATCCTCTAAAATCTGCTCTCTGATTGCACTTAAAGTGACCCCTCTCCCAAGGGGTATGTTTAAGTGGTTCTTAAACTTCACAGGAACCTCTGATGATGGGATTTCAGGCATGAGAGCATTAAGGGGAAAGAATTTTTATTTTTCTCATATACTTTTTTTTTTTTAATCTACTCCCCATAGTGCATCAAAACCTATAACTCTGACTGGCATCTCGTGAACTATAAATATGAAGATTACTCAGGAGAGTTTCGACAGCTTCCAAAGTAAGTAAATGGGCAGACCACACAAGGTGGGGTTTATACACCTAGGAAAAAGTCTTTGTACTTAAAATGTTTTGGGAGGTATGTACCTTCCAACAATCAGCATGATTGGAGAAACTATTTCTAGATGGTTTGTGTGATATGGGATAGATATTGTTTACAGGGCATGTGATAACAGGACTCAATCCCAGTACTCTGGGATTGGCAGGTGGCAATAAACACATGGATGGTTTAATTACTTCCAGTGGTTCTTTTCAGTACCACTGATAAAACACAAACAGGTGAATTTTTTTCAGTGAGAAATAAAAACAAAGAATGTAAGGGTTTTGAAATATGCTACAATGTGTTTTATCTTAAGAAGAATATTTTAAGAAACATAAAAATATTGTTTTATTTTATATTGGATAAATGAAAATTAAAAAAAACACTCTACTGAATAAATTTTATGTTAAAAGTATATCAAATAACAAGCATTTCCCCAGACAAATTTCTTTTCCTCCTTTAAAGTATTGACTCATTCTAAAATACACCAAAAGCAGGTACGTTTAGACAGATTAGTGGTGGTTGAAGTAAATCAGGGATAGGTAGGTCGCACCTTGAGAGGATGTCTGTTATAAAATGGTGCACCCGTAAATGATGCAATTGGCAAATTTAAATATAATTCAGTATGAAAATTGAAAGCAAATAATGATGGATTGTATTTCAGACGTAACCATCGCCAATGAAAATTTCACTTGAGATCCTATTCATATATTTTTCTTTGTGTTTGTTGCATTTGTGGGTTTGATTTGCTTATACTATTCTTGATGGATCTAGCTATTTGTTTTTTTTCTATTTGTGTGGTTCAGCCACTCCTTAAGCGTGTTTAGCCAGCTTTCCAGATGCCTTTTTTTAAAACCTCAGCCGAGAACACTCTCTCCTCCACATTATGTTATCCAGATGGGTGTGCTTCTTAACTCTATGTTCACTCTGTACTCCCATGGGGATTTTTTTAATTCTTCCCATTTGATCAGATTAACCTATCTTCACTGATAGTCTTATTCATACTTTTCTCATGGCTAACAGAGAATAGACTGTGAGATATATTGTATTTCCTATACCATGTTTTACTGCTGGTAGACTTCACTTTTTTGGCATAAGCAGGGGTTTCTGATTGTGATGAGGATGAGAGGGAAGATTGTAACAGTGACTTAGAATGTAGATTCTCTTCTGTCTCTGCCTAAGTCATCTACTTGCTCTGCTCTCTGTAAGCCTCAGTTTCCTCATCTATTGCCAGTAAACGGTCTTAACACTAGTCCCCACATCAAAAGGACTAAAGGAGGAAACACGTGAAGTACCCCAGCACAGTGCCTAACACATAATTGTTTAATAAATGCTAGCCACTATTGTTACTGTCATGTGTTTGTTGTTAATGCCTACCAATTCTTTATTTATTAATAGCTTTCCCATTTTAAAATACCTGTGTAACTGCTAACAAGCTATGCATAGCTTTTGGAATTCTCTCAGCTCCACTGTGAAAAGCAATGGCATTGGTGGTTTTTTATCTTTGTCTGAGTGGGCCAGCTCTGGGTTTGTTAAATTCTGGTTCCTCTGGTGGGAGAAGAATGCAGCGTCTCTCCTGGGACCAGGTCATTATAATCCAAGCTCTTTTCTTCTTTTTAAAGCAAAGGGGCCAAGTTGGATAAACTTCCAGTCCATGTCTATGAAGTTGATGAGGAGGTTGACAAAGATGAGGTAGGATGATCACTCACAGACTTTAAAATTGATTTCTTTTACAGACTTGGAAGATTAATTAGAAAATTACCAACATTTAGCCAAGGCAGCAATTGGAATGTTTCTTCAAACAGGGAAGAATTTTACTAAATGTGTTGTTTGATTGATTGAAATAAAGTTTCTGTTTCAACTTGACTACTTAGCATACGTAGCATGTTCTCCCGGCCCTGTTTATTTGTTCTGAGATCATTTTCAAAGGCCTGGATGAGATTTGGCTGCGCTGTTAAAAGATATCAAGATTACTTAGACCTTAAGGTTATGTTGTTTTTCTTTTCTTTTTTAAAATATATTTTAATTGATTTCAGAGAGGAAGGGAGAGAGAGATAGAAACATCAATGATAAGAAAGAATCACCCATCAGCTACCTCCCGCACGCCCCTCACTGGGGATCAGATGGAGCCTGGGACCCTTCAGTCCACAGGCTGACACTCCATCCACTGAGCCAAACCAGCCAGGGCTATGTTGTTTTTCAACAGGATGTCTTAACAAACTGGTAGCCAGTACATTTTAAGTTGCTGTTTTCCAGTGATTGCGTTGAATGAAGCATATAGTTCCCAGAAGCTCTGATTTTAACAACCACTTCCCCTACTGTTGGAGAAATGATAATGGCTAAGGAAGTGTACAAAGACAGCACGATGTGAAGGGGACTAGGTCCACTGAGCAAGGGAAACCTACTTAAAGTTGGTGTATTTCTCTTTCTCCCCTACTCACTATCGGGTACCTCATCGTGAGTTTAGCTTTTCTTTTCTTTTTAAATTGTCAGCTACTCCAATAACACCAGCCCCTCATGAACTTGTAACAATGTCCTTCTTAGCAAATTATTTTAGAAACAGCTTTAAAAAAAATAATTCTGAGAAGAGAAGGTAGTCATTCAAAATAAAAAGCAAGATGTTAAAAACATGGTGCTGATTAATAGTAAGTGGAGGACCCAGTAAAATAATGCATGTTAGGACACACAAAACAAACTGTAAAATCCTAGACAGATAAGTTATTTCTATTATTGCTAATAATAACAACAGTAAATCCACCAATATTAATATTGAGATGGTCGAAAACACAGTATAAAATGGGCCTTTATGCAGTCGTCTGCTTGTACAGAAATGAAGATCTTCATTAGAAACTAGTTTTAAGAGGCGTGAGCGAGGCAAGCTGACCTGTGTGACCTTCTCTTCCCAGAGTACCTACTGAAGTGTGCACTGAGCACAACAGCCTTAAAGGGGGAAAGAAGCCATAAGGGAACACTCATAAAGAGTGTGCAAGGGTGTGGTGGAATACTTGCTGGATTGTGTATGTGTGTGTATATATTTCACCGGCTTGTTTATTATGTATGCAAATATATGCCTATATTTTTAGTAGCCACCCCCTTAAACTCAGATCTCAGAGCTTGGGGTAAGAACTTGTTTCATTACTTTTCTAGTTTCCTTTCACTTTTCTAACTCCATTACTCTATCCCTGTTGCATTCTTCCCTATGTTTCCTTTTTTTTTTTTTTTTTTTTTTTTTTGGTTGCCCCACCATGTTACCTGTCCTTTCTTTATTGCCTCACATTCCCTCCCTTCCTTCCTTTCTTTATTCACCTTCCCCTGAACTAAGCCTCTGGGAAGTTTTCCAGGAATTTGCTTTTTTCCTTCAATCATAGGGGAGTGTCATTTGAAAACATTTTTTCGTGAAACCAGGCAAGACCTTAGAACTTGAGTGGTCAAGTATGGTATGTACTCTCTGTGGCTCATTAAACCCTTAAAAATAAAAATGTGTAGCGGAACCGCTTTGCCTTTTCATGGACAAGGGTTTTCAGAAATGCAGGCTTGTCCCTCTCTTTCCCTGTTAAGTGGACTCTAGAGTGACTTGCAGGTGTTGGTGTCAGATGGTTACTCCAGTAAAGGGGCAAGGGGCAACCAAATGAATGGCTTTTCCACTAACCAGACTCTCGGCAAATAACAGAGATTGACTGCAATGTTTTCCTTCTCTCCCAGGACGCTGCCTCCCTCGGCTCTCAGAAGGGCGGGATCACCAAGCATGGCTGGCTGTACAAAGGCAACATGAACAGTGCAATAAGCGTGACCATGAGGGTAAGGAGGCCCATCGCCCTGCTTTCCCCTCTGATTTAAAGTGTTTTGCTGTGGGTCTTAGGAATAATGCTCAAGATGAGTGAGCATGCTGTTCTTCCTGGCAAAAGTGACGTCTGGTTAGTAAGATGCCTCCCTTTGTTTAGTAAGATGGACCCCCATTCGTACAGACCCTTCCACCCACTTACCCGTCACCCTCTCACCCCCAGTGGGAAGAGATCATTGGCCTGGTATGAAGGTGCGATGGCTAACACAGGCCTTTTTCTCTGTATGCACTACAAAAATGATAATTGATACCTCTAAGAACTACAAAAATGAAAATTGATACCTCTAAGAACGTCACCGAGAAGCCAAACCTAAGCACTCTTTTGGAGATCTCCTGTGACAAAGTCAAGTCAAAGTAGAAATTGAGGACTAAAGGGAAAATGGTTACACTGGGAGAAGGTTGCAAAGAGGAAAGTAAAACCAGAGTAAAAAAACAAAACAAAACAAAAAAACACAAAAAAATAAATTACCCAGGACAGAAATAGAGCCAGAGAAAGAACAGGATAATAATAAAGAGAAAAGAAGCACTGGAGCGGGGGAGGGTGTAGGATAGACAGGGAATCAAATTGGGGGAAATGCTGACTGTCTCAGTCCTGAGGCTGGAAAAGCTCTCAGAGTCACGAGGCAGAGAATGGTTTCTGCGCTGTGTGAGCAGAAACCCTGGGGATTTGAGAAAGTTTCCATCCCTCTGAGCTGCATCCCGTTTTGGAACTCACTGCACTGCTTTTGGGCAGTTACCGGTATGTAAAATCCCATGTCCTGTGTGTGAGAAAAACGACCTGTCAATATTAGGCGAACCACCTCCTAACATCTACAGGTGAGATTACTGGATGTGAAGGAGAGTCTTACCTCATCCAGCTCCCTGGGGGCATTGGCCAGAATTAGATTTGATTTGGGGAGAACTGAACTGGTTTTAATGTATGGTCGAATTGTGAGTTATTGAGAGAGATTGCAATTCTTTTCATTTTGAAACAATAGCTTTATATGTATTTTTTCTTTCAGTCATTTAAAAGACGGTTTTTCCACCTGACTCAACTTGGTGATGGATCCTACAATTTGAATTTTTACAAAGATGAAAAGATCTCCAAAGAGCCAAAAGGATCGATATTTTTGGATTCCTGTATGGGTGTGGTTCAGGTAAATATGGAAAAGAGTTTTATCAAGTTTTCTTATTTGTAAAAGTACCATCTGTGAATTGGCAGATTGAAGCAAACACTTCCAAAAATGGCAGGGTTTTTTTTCCTTCAAAATATAACAGTTGACTTTAAATAAGAAAAGGCCTGTTTTACATCATTTTAAAAGATGGCAGGTATAACAGAGGCAGAATTGTGTTATAATAGCCACAAATGCTCTTGTGCATGAGTTCTTGTGTTTAAAACATGGCTCAGCCACATTTAGTTGTGTTTATCTTGGACAGCTATTACCTCAAGTTGCTTCATTTGCAAAATTCAAATAGTGATAATGTTTCTTTAATAGGGTAAATTGGATTGGATGAACTCACTTGAAAATATTTAGAACAGTTCTTAGTGTTTCAGTGATGACATTTATCACAGTACCAATGTCGGAGTAGTATATTGGTCAAGAGATTAGGTTAAGATTCAAACTGAGTTCAAATCCCTGTTCTCCCACTTCCCCATCGTATAACCTTGGAGATATTATTTAACCTCTCTGTGCCTCAGTTTCCTAGCTTGTTAAGTAGAGATGTTAATAGTATTGATTATGGTTTCTGAGAGGATTAATTAATAGATGTATGAGCTTAGGACAGTGCTGGCACATGGTAAACATTCAGCAACTAGTATATTTTTATCACAGTTCTGCTGTGTTTGTAGAATTTTTTATATTACATATAACATATGAATATGTACATGTTATAAATATCAGGCAATACAGATAATGTGGAAGTCCTCATTAACCCTGATTTTTTACAGAGAGGAAGGGAGAGAGATAGAGTTAGAAACATCGATGAGAGAGAAACATCTATCAGCTGCCTCCTGCAAACCCACTACTGGGGATGTGCTGTCAACCAAGATACATGCCCTTGACTGGAATCGAACCTAGGACCCTTCAGTCCACAAGCTGACACTCTATCCACTGAGCCAAATTGGCTAGGGCAAATCCAAGTTGTTTTCAATTGTCTTTGAAAGCAGATTGCTAGTTTCCCATCTGTCTGTCCATCGATCCATTCATCTATCCATCCATCCATCCATCCATCCATCCATCCATCCATCAACCCATCCATTCCCCTCCCATTTTTCAGGAAGATCTAAGGCAGCAACTTACAAGGATTCATAAAACACAGAACACCATACATTTCAAGTAGGTTTGAAAGCAGAAAGGTAAACAAGGAGTCAGGTAAGGAGGGGATAAAATGAATTAAGGAAAAAGCATGTAACAAAGATCTGATTAGGTGGCCAACAAATGGGCCTATACTCTCCAGTTTGGAGACCCGTCGCCCAGCACACATAGATACAATCTAATTAGTCAGAAGCTGCCCGAGCAATTTCAGAATGAAGATCATTCAGGCATTTCTCTTGGGGGCCCTCATACAGAGGCACACTGTGGGATTAATAAACAGTCTCCTTGACAACTCCTCATAATAGCTACAGTCACCATTATCAGAGGAGTCTCCCTTACAATGACTCAGTGTTGCCTAATGACATCAGCCCAAATCTCAATTCCATAAGAAAGGTTGTTTTGTGGAACCAGTGTGGTTAAGCTCTCTGGTTTGACCCTCAGGTATACTTGTTTATGTATTCATGTTTATTTAAATTTAAATTACATTTTCCTTTAACAATGGTGCATCTGATGTAAACAGGCAGACAGTGCAGAAAGGTAACACGAAAGCCACATTCCTGCCCGCATCACCCCTCCTCTCCCATTCTCCACTCTTCTAAAATGATCATTTTCAACTCTTTCCATTAGTTTTTCTGGATTTGTCTTCATATTGCTAGATAAGGAGTGTTCATTTCTTCATTCAGCAGTGGTGGACATCATGTGCTGGTGATGAGATTGTAGCTCCTGCCACCCTCCTTTCTGCTCTAATCTGAACTACAGTTGACCCTTGAATAGCCCTGGGTTATGGGTGCCAACCACCTTTAGAGTCCAAAATCCATGCATAGCTTTTGACTCACCCAAATTTAGTGATAGCCTGCTGTTGACCAGAAATCTTACCAATAATACATATTTTGTATGTTATACATATATACTGTATCTTTGATTAACACATATTTTGTATGTTATACATATATATTGTATCTTTATGTTTGTTCACATTTTCCTCAACTATGAATGGTGCAATGTATGGTCTCTAAGTATGTGCAGAATTTAAAAAAAATAAATTTTAGCTTTGTATAATAGATTTCTGAATATTCAATAGTAGTAAATTATAAACTAGACTAATATTATATGTAATTTATTCATTTGTGATATAGCTTCCTTTTTCTTAAATTTCCATATTTTAAGCTATGCAGTTCATTTGCAAGTTTTTTCACATTGTCCCAAATATCACATGTAAGTGGACTCGTGCAGGTCACACGCATGTTAATCAAGCATCAAACGTTAATTGCCCTTTTAGCTTCTGCACAGTCACCATCCTGAAAATTCCCTTTACCTTCTTCTCTGCATTGAAGTTCCTGTTTTGAGAATCCTAGTTGTCTTCTTTCTTGACTTACTTTCTTATTTTGGAGGAATACATCCTCCAGTAGTTTCCTGAGGAATCATGTGTAAGATGTTAATTTTCTTTGAGGGTTAGCATGTCTGCAACTATCATTACTTTTGCATTCATACTTGACTAATAATTTGGCGGGATGAAGATTTTCAAAGTAAATTTAACCTTAGAATGTAAAGGACCTTCATTAACTTAGGTGTCGTGCAGAAAGGTGAGGTGGTGCTAAAACTCACTTCATATATTTCCCTTCTCTCGGGGAGCCCAGGCCTGCCCTCCCTGTCCCATCTAAGTATTCTGTCCAGTTTCTAGTAGTTATGATGGGACGGTAAGTCCAGACCCTGTTACTTCATCATGGCCAGCAGCAGAAGTTGGTGGTCCAAACTCAGATGTTTTCAGGGGCTAAGCAGGTAATTCAGTGAAAGAGGAGGCCCAGGTGTGAAGCAGTAGGGAATACGTGGGCCTATGACAAACTGGGGACAGGTGGCCCCATTTAAAGAGGACGGATACTGCTGGGTGGAAATACCAGCTCAGGGTTGCCAGACCATCAGGGTTTTTAAGAAGGGCAAAAATACAGAATTTCAGTTAAATATTGGTGTTCTTAATTATTGCTAACTAATTTAAAAAACAAAAACTGTGCAAAAAAAAATTGGAGTGGGTGGAATACATGAACGCATATTTGGACCCTGGTTCAAGAGAATAGCATCACTTAATGTTCACTGAAAATTATTATACGCCATCAGCTAATGTGGATGTCTCCCGGCTGGTAACCCCAACCTCACCTGAAAGCTGCCACTGTAGAATCCAAATTTATATCAAAGTATGTTTAATCGGAATGTGTAGTAAGGAATACCAGAGTGAATTGCCACAGATAGCAAATTAACCTCTTGTGTGGGGCTCCCACGAAGGAGTTTGATTTATATTTTTAGGTTGAGAGACTTTTCAAGTTACTTTTTAGTTGAATTTTCTGGCATTTGGAAAGTAGGAAGTAATTACTTTTTTTATAGGCTTTTTGGTGCCCATCTACAGCACATTGCATAAATGATTTATAAGCACAGCATGCTGGGCTGTTGTTCAGTCTGTGGAGTGCATTTTAGAATTGAAGGTTTTGATTTCAGTGGAAGCCTCATCCTTCATATTCTTTTTGCAGAAATGGCTGATGGTGTTTTTCATTTAAAGAATTGTATCTAAGGCTTTAAAAATTTAAAAGCATTTGTTTTCATCCACATTTATTATAAGTTAAGCTCCAAAAGTTGTGGTTTAAGCGTTTGGGGGTTTTAAAAAATATATATTGCTATTGGACATTATTATAAAACTAGAGGCCAATACATGAAATTCGTGCATGGTGGGGAGGGTCCCCTCAGCACAGCCTGAACATTCTCCAATCCAGAACCCCTTGGGGGATGTTCCACTGCCGGTTTAGGCTTGATCCCAGGGCCTAAACCAGCAGCCGGACATCCCTCTCACAATCCTGGACCGCTGGCTCCTACTTGCTCACCTGTCTGCCTGCCTGGTTGCCCCTAACTGACCCCCTGCCAGTCTGGTTGTCCTTAACTGCCTTTGCTGCCAACCAGGTCACCCCCAACTGTCCTTCTCTATTGGCATGGTCACTCCTAACTGCCCCCTCCACACACACACCCCCCCCCCCAACCGGTCTCATCGCCCCACGCAGCCTGCTTGTTCAGTTGTTTGGTCATCCCTCACTAACTCCCTGCTGGCCTGGTCTTATGCAGCCATCTTGTGAGGGCATGCCAATCAATTTGCATATCACCTCTTTATTATATAGGATTAGTTGATTAACACTATGAGTTCAAAGAAATGCCTAAAGTAAATTTTTAAAATGGACCTGAATGGAATTCAGGTTAGAATGTTAAGCCCTAAAGGTATTTTAGAAACTTGGAGTGATTATAGTTGTCTTATAGATAAGAAAACAGGAATAATCCAGGATCAAGGCTGAATGTCTCCTCCCATCCCCCCCCCCCCATTTAACTTTTCACTTTTCATAATAGTGAGTATGTGAGGAATGTGGGGGAAAGAAAACTTATTTCTCTTTCAGACTTTGACTCTGTTTTCTGCCCTGAAATGAAGTATAAGTAAGGTCCAGGGCAGCAATTAGGGTGCCCACAGTGTGCAGTCTGTACACAGCAGTTTGTGTGGCTTTGCCGGGAGTGGCTCTCTCCTTCGTATTTCTGAGAACTACACAAAGATGCCTTTGGGAGGGAGACCTGCTTTCAGGAGCCCCAGAGGGCCTGCAGCCAGCCAGCTAGAATGTTAGTGGGTACGGGGTCGGCTCGGCCCTGAGCGGGTTGGCGGGAGTGTGAGATCCCTCAGCCTGTACCCACAGAGCTTGATCACTATCTAATGCAGTCACCTACAGGGGATGGTTGGTAATATCTAGAGCCATGTTCTGATCTTGACAACTAGAGAGGAATGCTCTTGGCATCTAATGGGGATGATATTAGAATACCTACAATGCATAGGATGCCCCCACACAAGAATTATCAGCCCCAAACATCAATAGTGCAGAGCTTGAGAAACCCTGGCATGTTCATCCTTCATCATTTAATGCATATGGACTACTGTTTTTATACTTTGAGTCAGACATCCTTTCAGAGGCACGAAGGAAGGGTAAGTGTCCCAATACCTTTTGGGACTCATCAGTGATGAGAAAGTTCCAGATTAGGAGTCAAGCATATTGAAAGATAATTGCTTGCTTTTAAAAGATGTTTATTGATTTCAGAGAGGAAGGAGAAGGAGAGAGAGATAGAAACATCAGTGATGAGAGAGATTCATTGATTGGCACACCCTCCACTGGGGACCGAGCCCACAACCTGGGCATGTGCCCTTGACTGGAATTGAACCTGAAAACCTTCAGTCTGCAGGCCAATGCTCTATCCACTGAGCAAAACCGGCCAGGGCAATAATGGCTTGCTTTTAAAAAATATAATACCACCCACTAGTTCATTAAAAAAAAAAAAATGTAATATCACCCACTAGTTCATTTTAAAAAATTCAGTGTGTTCCACTAAGGGAATTAAAAACTTTCAATGAAATTTCATTTGTTCAAGTATCTTTCAAGAGCCTGTATTATTTGCCAGGCAGTATTCTAGAAATGAGGATATAGCACGAACAAAAGAAATCTCTGCCCTGAGGAGCTTCCATTCCATTAGAGGGGAACAGACAGCAAATAAGATGAATCTGAGGGAATGTGTCAGATGGAAGAACAAAGCTATGGAGAAAAGAAAGCAGGGAAGGTAGATAGTGGGGGTTTTATGGAGTGGAGGCTTGCCAATGTGATAGCTTCCACCTGCAAATAATAAAGAGAAAACTTATTAAGACCGTCCCCATTCTTTTAACATATGTCTCGTTACCCCTTTTTTCCCATTTTAGAACAACAAAGTCAGGCGTTTTGCTTTTGAGCTCAAGATGCAGGACAAAAGTAGTTATCTTTTGGCAGCAGACAGTGAAGTGGAAATGGAAGAATGGTTCACAATTCTAAACAAGATTCTGCAGCTCAACTTCGAAGCTGCGATGCAAGAAAGGCGAAACGGAGACTCTCATGAAGGTAAGTAGATCTAGCTTTCCCCAGGCACAGGCACACTCTGTGAGTGTCCTTCATTTCTGACAGAGGTATGGAAAGTCGACAGATATATTGCCTACGTACGTGGCAGGTCAGACAGATGGGAGCTTTTTACAGACAGCCTGTCAAAAACAGATTTTTGGGGACATATTACAATTTATTACCCTGACATTATTTTTATAAGAAAATCATGTAATTGGAAGAATCACAGCTTTGGAAGCAGAAAGGAAGACTTGAGTTTGAATCCCAGCAGTAAAACCTCAGGCAAGTTGCTTTTCAGCTGTAAGACCTCAGGCAAGTTGCTTCTCTGAGTGTTGGTTTACTCATCTATGAAATGGGAATAAAAAATGGAAATGGGAATAAAAAATGGGAAGATTAAATAAGATAATGTATGTCTAGTAACTAACATAGAGTCAGCACTTAAAATATTAGCTATAGTTGTTACCATTACCGTTAATCATATTGTTTGGAACTTTCAAGACAAAGTTAGGGCGGGCAGAGAAGCCTCTGATTAAATTGATAGAAATCTGTTTTCTTGACGATTCATGCATTCAGGGTTTTTTTCTTGGTTCTTTAGACAGGTGATTCTCTACCTGTCTAAGTCTTAAAAATGCCTGGAAACTCTTCAAATATATTCTTTCCTTTGTCCCACCAAAGATTCTGACTTAGCTGGCTTGGGGTGGTGCCAGGGAGCCTGACTTTTAGCATGTCTGATGGGAGTGGCGTGTGGGCTGTTCATGGCTAGTACCTGTTCTAATCAGACAGTGTCCAAGCTGGACCAGCTGCCAAATGTTGAAGTCTCACCATCGGGTCTGGGCATCAGAGTTGTGTGTGTTTTAAGCTCCAAGGCATTTCTAATGGGCATCCAGGGTTGAAATTCAGTGTGTTCCAGGGCACGTAAGAGAAATGGCCTTCCTCCTCCTGTTTTAAAAAATGTGTATGTTCAACTACAAGTGACTCAGGTTATCTGTTTTGCCATTTTAGATGACGAACAAAGCAAATTGGAAGGTTCTAGTTCCGGTCTAGACAGCTACCTGCCTGAACTTGCCAAGGTAACATCATCTTAAATCTCCTGCTCTTCATAGAATGACACTGGAATAATTCGCATTTCATCTGCTGAAATGATTAGCAGTTACATTATAGTAAGTCATTGAAATGACATTGTAGTTACTGCTCATTCTTTTCTAACTTGAATTTTTGCTGAGGTGAAAGACACCGCTCACCTGAGTTGATTTCAGTCTGTTTTCCAGAAAGTGCCTTACAAAGTATTTTTTTTATTACTCTTTGTCAGTGATTTTCAACCCATGTGCCGCAAGAATTTTTAAAATATCCAATACCTAACTGTTTTAGTCAGGGGCACTGACCTCCAACAGCCAACACAACAATAGCTCTCTGGTGTGACTGAATAAAATTATACTTTTTTTTTTTTTTTTTTTTTTGTCACATCGACAGAAAAATATAACAATTTCTGGTGTTCTGTAGAATTTTAGTAATTCGTTTCTGTGTGCCATGCGATGAAAAAGGTTGAAAATCACTGCTTTAAGTCTTTTTCCCCTCCATAATATTTAATACCATATGACAAGCATTGAAGAAATAACCAAAATACACAGGTAAATGTTCCCAAGGGAACAAAGAACTTGTGCAGCCCTTATTCAAGTTAATGGACACAATTCCATGTGAATCTTGCCACCAAACTGAAGAGGGGTGTCCTGTGTTCTATTAATTGTTCATGGGTCTTTCTGAAAGAAAAAAAGTTATACCTGGATTTTTTTTTTTTATAATTTTGAGAAACTTACAAGTTACTGAAAAGCACAAAGAACAAAACAACTATATTCCCACCTCTCAGATTCAACACCTGTGACTATAATTTTAGCTTCCATATTTTTAAAGAAAAAAAATACATTGTAAAGTTTTTTAAAACATTATTCTTATTCAATTCCATTCTCCTGCAACCTCAACCAGAAACAATCACTATTAAGAGTTTTCTGGGGTTACTTTCATATCTTTACCAATATATCTGTTATATATATATATATATATATATATATATATATATATGGTTGTGTTTTATATGTTTAAAAATGTTATGTAAATGATATTGTATTCTTCTGCCCTTGCTTTTATTTTCAATTTAGCATTGTTTTGAGATCCATCCAAGTTGGTGAATAGATCTAGTTCATCTTTTTATTGTATTGCATAAGCAGTTATTGTAGCTGTTCTACTATTTCCAGTTTTTCTATTATAGTGTTACAGTGAGTATTATTGTATTCGTCTCCTTGTGTGCATCTACGAATCATTTCTTTTTTAAATGAGAGAAATGTCTTTGTTTTCTCTGACTCTTTATATTCTTACTCTGTTACTGCCTTTCTATTCTTTTTTTTTCTTCAAATACAATGAAACAGAGACTGCACACACCCACATCTTAAATACTATAATAGAAAACTTGGTTTATCTATATACAATTATAAATAGACTAGCATTCAGCGCTGACCTTTACTTTAGACAACATGGTTCTTCAAAATGTAAAACCTCCTTCCCTGGCTAGGACTTTAGAATATTGTTTTTCTTAGGACTTGTCACCACAGTATCTTTTTAGCACCTGCCTATTAAAGCTAATTTTAGTGCCACCATTGTAACCACCTTTTAGGCTGGGAAGAGTTTGGTGTATGTGTTTGCTTTTCTGAGTTATGAATTTCTAAGTATCATATATATATATTTTTTACATTGAGATTAGCTTTTTTATTTCTAGATGTTTGGAAGTTCATAATTTCTCAAAGCAAAACCTTTGTAGAAACAGATATTATATGCAATGCAATCTAGAATTCAAAACACAACTTTCTACACTTACTGGGTGAACACAATTGAATCCTAGGAGCAAACTCATGTTATTTGAACCTAATCTTGATTAATTAGAAATTTGTATCATTTCCTGTGAAGATATACAGGAGTTGTGCTCTCCATTCTTCTCTCATTGCATACTACCACCTAGCCAGCATAATTTAGGATGCCTTGGTCCTAAGACCTTGAGAAATTAAAAAAAAAAAAATACAAATGTACATTTTTTTAAAAATCTGGGTCACATATGTGGAGCTAAAGAAGTCTGACATGCCCAGCTGGTGTAGCTAAGTGGTTGAGCGTCAACCTATGAACCAGGAGGTCAGGGCTCGATTCCCAGTCAGGCAAATACCTCAGTGCAGGCTCGATTTCCAGTGCGGGGCATGTAGGAGGCAGCCGATCAATGACTCTCTCATCATTGATGTTTCTATCTCTTTCTCCCTCTCTGAAATCAATAAAAATATATTTAAAAAATAAAATAAAATAAAAATAAAAAAGAAGTCTGTCTTGAAAATACATATATATTCTTTTTAAAATGTATGTATAACATATTTGGAACTATTTTCAAACTGGGGGTATAAACCATGGTTGCTGAAGCTATTTTAGTTGCTAAAATCAATTTAATTGATTTTAAACACCCCCTCCCATTTCTTACTTACAATTTGTTTTACTTGTATTTTTTATTCTTTTTTTTATTGAAGTAGAACTTACATATAGTAAAATTCTCAAGTACAGTTATACAGCTTGATGAATTTCCCATTTGTGCACACACATAACCACCACCCAGATCTCAATACATAGAACATTTCCAGCACCCAGCAGGCTGTCTTGTAACCCTTCCCAACTGGCATTCTCATTCTTTTGACCTCTGTCATCAGAGTCTGGTCTCAGCTATCCCAGACCTTCCTACGAATGGAATCCTACAGTGTGCACTCCCTGTGTCAGGCTTCTTTTAGCTCAGCATTGTGTGACCCAGATTTTCTTTTTTTCTTTTTCCTAAAGGGTAGAATTAAATAGAGAACATGAAAGTACACTGCCCTTAATGATGATAGATAGTACTTTACAGCTACAGGTGTAGATACAGATGTTTTGTGTGCATTGGGTTGTGATGCAAATGTACTTTTTACTGTGGGTCATGGTCAAAGCCTGAAAATGCAGCTTATTGCTTCTTTCCCTCTTCCACGGCTCTCAAGAGTTTTTTAAAAGCTATTTTGATTTAAGAAGGTAGAAAGAGGCAAAAGGTACCTTTTCAGAGGGAAATAAAGAAGATTGAGATTTATTGTCATTCAGTCATTGTGCTGCCATCTTGCTCGCAGACGCAGGGGTCCACGGTGGTGCCTCTGGTGCACAGTGAGAGTGGCCCAGGCACCCACTGGGCCGGCTCGCAGCTCCTTTACAGTCCAGGGCCCCGAGTATGAGTGTGGTCATGGCTGTTTGCGGGGGTGATCATTTGTACCTGTTACAAAAAGCGGGGAAGTTGGCTGATAACTACTTTTAGAAAGAATGGATTCCGTAGTGGAGAATCTGAGATAAAAGTATGGAGTGGGAAGGAGAGAGGAGAGACTTGGAGCAGAGCTGAGCAAGGAGGGAGTTTAATCAGGAGCTGAAGAAGGAAAGAGGTCAGTACCAGGGAAGGAAGGTACAAGAAAGGGCCCAGCATGGGATCAGGACACAGGTAGGATTTCTGAGAAAGGACTAGAACAATGGGGGCAGTCAGAAGGCCCTTAACGGTGTTATTTAATGGCAGGACCTCTCTGGTCAACTCCTCTTTCTGCTTCATTTATCCTGTTGCCCCGACTTTTGTTTCCACTGGGACTGAGACGTGACCAAAGAGGATATGAGTGACAGGAAGTTGTTTTAGTACAAAAATAGCTGAAGTCTCATTCTGGAATGTAATGGAGGGGCCTTTTATGTGTGGTAGGGACCATAGGAACTTAGGTTTTCAGAATGTTTTGTGTATTCTTGGCCCTCAGGTTGTTTATACAATTAGTACTGAACATTATTATTGTTTTACTAGGCAACATGCTACATGTACCCTAATACCTGTTCTTTTCTTCCTATTGTCTAATATAGCACCAAACATGCTATAAATATAATATAATTGTTATAAATATAATGGCATTGATAGCACTTACTCTTATAAAGATTTTTATTGATTAGATAAATTATAAAGCTAGTTAACCCTTCAAAATCTAGGGTTCGTATTCTGAGATTAGTAAACCTGCTTACTATCCTATATCATAAAAGGGTAATATGCAAATTGAACCTAAAGGCAGAACGATCTGAACGACTGCTGGACCAGTCACTATGAGGTGCACTGACCACCTCTCGGTTCCTTTCCCCGGCTGGCAGGCTCTGATCTCCTAATGGTGAACTGGGAACCAGGAGTGGTTAGTAGGGGATGCCCGCGGTGCCAGGCCAAGGCTCCTACCCTGTCAGTCACCCCACACACAGAAGGCAGCCCACGGCAGGGTGGGGCTGGCCAGTGAGAGGTAACAGCCGACCTCTCAGTCCCTTCCCCCGGCCATCAGCACTGATCACCTATGATGAAAGGGGAAATGGGGGCTCGGGGGGGGGGGGGGGAAGTTGGGAGGGCAGGGCTGACTATGGGCAGCCGGAAAAGATGGCCCTGATCATAGGCCAGGCCTAGGGACCATACCCATGCACAAATTTTGTGCGCTGGGCCTTTAGTTTCTTTAATAATTTTTTTCTCTGGTTATATTTATCTTAGGTGACATAGGGACATATAGCCCTCCTTATGCAAAGACAAAATGAAGAAAATCCTCATGCTTCCACCTTATATTTTTCTCCTCCACAGCTTTTCTATTTTTGATCTTTTTTTTTTTTCCTAAGAGAACAGCATCTCACCTTAATTTGATCTCCCCATATGATTCTGAAAGAGAAGTATTGTTTCATCTTAACCCAAAATTGCTCATATGCAAATACCACATAACTTTTTAGCCAATGAACTTCCACAGTTGAGCACAGAATGAAGTATGGTGGTTCAGGCTCTGTAATCTCATCGAGGTTGAGGAAGGGGCAGGTGGCCAAGCTCAGCAGTTCATGTCAGAATCCAACAGTTTCACAGGCACCTTTGCTAAGGTCAGTGACAGATGCTGCCTTCTCCGCATCCTAGTCCAGAAAACTGTGTAATTCTATTATGATACAAAGTCCTTGCGAGGCTTGTGTCTGTGAGGTCAGCTGGCATTCATTCCTTGGGCCTCCTTGTTCTAAAATGCTCCCTTCTAGCTCTGTGACACAGGACGAGATGATCGTCCCAGGGAGTTGGCTATCTTGGAAGTAGTGGAAACAAATCATGGCAGCTCTTTAAATTAAAAGTATATATTCTGGTCTCAAGGGATTTTGCTATAATAAATTTTCCTATTCCAATCCATTTTGGTTAAATGAGCCAATAGTCAACACTAATTCTCAAAATGAAACACTGCTGGCCATAGTTTTTGACCTCCAATTGTTTTGTCTGGTCAGAGGTTAACTGAGGACATAAAGTAGGCCTACAGCAGTCCCTCTTGAAACTCTGAAATGTTTGGTCCATAATTATTCCTTAGGACAAGGGTAGGGGGACATTGTCAGGGTGTCATTAGTGATTAAACTTAGGGTATAAGAAGTGGGAAGAATAGTCTTTGTTTTAGAGGAATAATCTCTTCTTTGCCTTCTGAGCAAGTGTCAGTTTTTACAGAGAACAGCTCTGTCACTGTCCATTTTCTTCATTTTACTCTCCTTTTCCTCTAGACCAGTATTTCCCAAACTTTTGACATATGTGTACCCCTTTTATAATTTTTTGTAACGCTGAGTACCCCTTGTACTCATGAGAACAGAGAATTAGGCGCAGCTAAGCACGGCGCAGTACATATCCCCAACTCCGGTGCAAAGCATACCCCCACCAAACTCTTCCCATACCCCTAGGGGTGCGCGTACTACACTTTGGGAAACACTGCTCTAGACCAAACCCGGACTATTAGACAGGCTCTGGGTAGGAAGGCAGCAGTAGGGTTTGGGGAAATGCCAGTCCAGTTCTTCCTACCTCCTCGTAGGAACTAACCACAGGTTATTTTAAGAGCAGAGCTGGTTTCTGTCACTTTGAGAAGTGCTGGATGGCATAGTCTGTGGGACAAGTTGTTGTTTATAGTTAAATTTTGTAGGCCTTTATGTTGTAAGAGTACATAACAGGAATTTATTTTGTCTTTATAAAAAATTTAAGTAAAAATAAATATGCTTGTCATTATAAATAAAAATATCCTAAGTTATATAAAGAAAAGATTACTTTTTCCCTTATCCTCCATTGCCACATTTCTGAGAACACTGATGTTATTAATCTGTTGTATTTCCTCTTTCACCAAATCAATTGCTCATAGAAACATACACATATATGTAGTGTTTTTAATTTTGACAGAATTACATATATTTCACATTTTTCTTCCTTTTCCCCCTTGGGTAGTGTTTTTAACTATTTTTAAAAATATGCTCATGATCTACATGTTACTCTGCAACTTGTTCTATCATTTAGAAACATTTCATAGCTACTCCTGAATCTGGTTTACTGGAATATCATAGCTGTGTGATATTCCAGATATGGATATTGCTCACTTTATTTCACCATTTCCCTGTTTACGAACATTTAGGTCATTTTCAGTTTTTAGCCTCTACAAATATAATAGTACACAAAAACATTATAATGTATTTATGAGCTTAAATACATGCACTCTTATTTCAGTAGGAGAAATTCCCCAAAGTGGGATTTCTGGGTCAGAGATTATTATATCTTTAATACTTTAAATATTGACAGGTTACTTTCCCAGTAGGTTGAAATAAGTCACATTCCCATTTTTCTGCATCCTCACCAGAGAAAGTGAAAAATGATGTTTCACTGCTTTGATTTGTATTTCACTCTTGGTAGTGATGTTATTCATATTTTCACATATTTCTTTCTTTACATTATTTTCTGACGGGCCTGTTCACATTCTTTACCTATTTTTTTTTTTCTTGTCTGTTACAAGTCTGAGCTCTGAAGCCAGTCAGCCTCAGAATCCAGGCTTCCATTTGATGTGAGTTCTAAGGCAAGGTATTGACCACAGAAGCCTCAGTGTCTTCTCTTTTAAACAAGGACAGGAATAGTGCCTGCCTCCTAAGTTTGTACACCATTTAAATGTGCACTCAGAATGATACCCAGAATAGAGATGTTTGCTATTATCAATAAATATGCATTTTATTATTATGATGCTTCCAGATATTTATTATTCCGTGGCTCAGGGGCAAAGCCCTGCTGCTCCCAAGCCTCATTTTCTTACTGTCTAGGCTTTACTTGGAAATTTCTTCAAACACTATTTATCGGGCATCTCTTCTGTTTAGTGCATCCTGGGCTTTGGGAGGGATGAGAGGCACTTTAAGAAGCTGAGCTTGCTCTCATCTGTCTCATAGCAGAGCTGTCAGTATATGTAAGGTGGATTATAAACTCTTAGGTTATTTTTACATCTAAAGTGGTCCCTTCTTTCAGTGGTTTCTCCAGTGGAGTCTCTATCTCCTGGATATTAGTGGCAACGTCAGGATGTTTTGAGTCTATTTTTGGCTGGTTGTTGATTTTCTTCTTTTATATGCCTGCATCCTGTTTGTCCTCTCGCTGTACGGAGCTCATGGCAAGTCACCCTTGTTTTATTCATGTCTCATCTCCTAGCACAGCCAGCTTGAGACAGCAAGCATCTATGAAAAAGGCACTGGGAATTGCACCCACACTGAGAGCCCATTGCTCTGCGCCAGTGTCTGAGATCACAGCATTCGCCTTTGTTGATGGACTCTAGCAGAAATTCAGGAGTGGGAGGCATCACTGCTGGTGGTGGCTCGCAGCACCTCGTTCTGATGTTTTTGTTAGGAAACATCCTGGCTCTGTACCAAGTAAAGCAAATTCTTTGAGCTCAAATAAGTAGTTTCAGATATAATGTTCTTTTAACGGAAAATTAGGCTTTCCTAATTAGGTGTGTGGAGCCTGCCTCAGCCACCGGCACGTGTTTTCCCTTTCAAGCATGAAAAGACAACCTGTAAGAATGCCCCTCAACCTCCAGGAGCCTGAAGCTCTCATAGATGGCATCCGGGTGAACTTTGTTGTGGTGGGAGACTTGAGCCATCATCTTGTTCAGTATTTTTGCTCAGAAATGAAAATGGAGTCCAGGAAGGCAAGGTGGCTTGCTCAAGTTCAGACCACCAGTTAACGACTGAATCACAGCTAGAATCTAGTCTCTTAGTATTCTGGTGGTTATTTCATTTTGCTAGACCTATAGATCGTTCGTTAAATAGTGATAATAGAACTTGGGTCATTGCTAAGAACCTGTCATAACAGCTACATGTCTGAGAAAAATAAGGCAATGCTCAATTTCTCATTAGCTATGATTAGAAATGTATTAATAGACCTCCTTCAGCCACCAGCAGGGAAGACGAGATACCCTCTCCACTGTGGCTGTCACTGACCCCTCCCATGCTGAGGTGTGACGATGTGACTTGTGGTTTTTGCAGAAAGGAGCACATGAGAGAGGACATCCTATTCTGACTCTGTAGATTTGTAGACTTGACCATTGAGATTCAGAATAATAAGAAGAATAGGATATAGATTAGAGGCACCAGGTGTGAGAAATAATGTGGCTGGAGATGACGTGGGTCTTCTTTCTGTTCCCAATCCCACTCTGTGGCCCCCATGTCTGCCACCATATGACTCAGTGGCCTCTTCTCCACGTCTGTGATTCCAGCCTTCATCCCTACCTTGTGCTCAAGTTTCATCTCTAGCTGTCTGCTGGGTGTTTCCAGTTGGAAATCCCAGATACATCTCTGAACTCTGAATTCATCACCTTCTCCACAGACTTGCTCTTCCTCTTGAATTATCTGTCTTAGTTATCAAGCCAGGAACGTGGAGTTGGTTATGGGCCTTGCTATGCACCTGAGGGGGCGGTTGTGATAACCCAGGAAAGACCCTGTGGGCTTCCTGGTCTTTCCCTTTTTAATCCATTTCCTCAGCCCTGCCCGAGTGATGCTTCTGAAATGCAGAACTGGTGATTTTATTCGTTTGCTTAAAATATTGTGGGATTTATTTGGATTTTGAATGGACTCTCCAGTCCTTAACATACAATTCCCCAACTCAGTTTTCTTTACTTTTTCCATTATGCCCAAGCATTCAATCACAACAAATGGTTTGGTAACTGCTCAGGTACGACTTGCACCTTTGCACCTGCAGTATCTCCTCCTAGAATGCTCTTCTGTCTTTTCCTACCCAAGTGTCCTGGTCCTTCAAGATGGTCTTCCTCGGGGAGCTTTTTCCCGACTGCCTCTCCTGGTCCAGGTTAGCTTTCACTGTCCCTTATGCTCTTTGACCATTTTTATTGCCTATGTATAGCCTGTCTTTCCAGCTAGTGTTTGTGAGTGGCAGGGACTTTGTTTCCTTCATATTTGTGTCCCTAATACCTGGTAACATAATAGGTGCTCAATAAACATTTATGTAATGAATCAACAATGCCTCCTCCCTGACACAAACACCTGTGGCTGTCCTTCAGTATCTGCCATGGTATGCTCTACCCTGCCATTCAAAACACATCCCTTTCTCTTCCGTTGCGTGTACCCTCGGTCGTAAGTGGCCCTAAATTTCTCTGCCATCCGGGCTCATTTCTGCAGACAATATCCATCTATCCGCCTTGTGCATCCTCTTCATTCAGCCTGAAATGTTGTTGTTCTCCTTTCTGCTATCTAAATTCCACCCCACATTCAAAGCCCGGCCACTGTTCAACTACGTTATGAAGGTTTTCTTGATAGGAATGCTTAATTATTCTCTTTTGCTTTCTTTGTGTTGTTTTTGGCTCTCCATTTGATTGTCAGCTTCATAAGGTCCAGGATCAGGTATTGACCCCCCTCACTTCCCATCCTCCATCCCCCACCACCACACACACACACACACACAGTGTGCTCTATCCTTGTTCCTTGACAGGCAGACTGTCCAAGCTGAGGGCAGAGTCGTCTGACAGCATGGCGCTTCAGGAGGGGGTAGCTTTCAAACATACTGTAAGAAAAGGGCTATTTTTAAATGTAATTTATATTTTTTTGTTTATCTTGTTATCAGAGTACCCGAGAAGCAGAAATCAAACTGAAAAGCGAAAGCCGAGTTAAACTTTTTTACTTGGACCCGGATGCCCAGGTAGGAACTAATTTACTGTTTAAAATTGAAAACTAAGTTTGGGAAATAAAGCCTTTGACAGGTTCTTTGTTTCTTTGTTTATTTTGGATTGACAAGCAACATAACAACAATATATAAAATTCAAGGGGAAAAGGAAAAAATAAAAACAGGCTGTAATCTCATTGTGTAGTCCACCCATTGTGAATATCTGATATTCAATTGATTGTTGAAAATTGAGAGTTATCCAAAGACATTCTGAGGTCCACAAAGGACATATAATTTACCCCATAAAAGTAAGAGTCGGAAAAGAACAAGCATCACTACAGATGCCCAGTAGACAGTGATATTTCCTGACTTGCTCAAGCTCTACCCCAAGTACAAGCCCTGTAGTGCATGTGGTCTAATCTGTGTCCCAGCAAAATCCAAGGCTGGGAGTGGCGAGGACCGCAGAGTGGCCCACAATAGGGTGGCTCTGAGGGGACAATGGTTCTGCAGTATTTTCTTCTATATTTCCCCCCTCTTCATTGATAGTCTTCTTTATAGAACTTTCCCCACTTGCCTTTAATAATAAATGTTTTTCTGTGTTTCTCCACAGGCTTCATAATCATATATATATTTTGACAATATTTTACTTGTTGTGACAAAGTATACATAACATGAACTTTACCATTTTAACCCTTTTTAAATGTGCAACTTAGGGTTAAGAGCATTTACAATGCTATGCAACTGTCACCACTATCCTTTTCCAGAACTTTTTCATCATCCCAAACAGAAACTCTTTATCACTTAAACCAATGGTCTGCAAACTGCAGCTCTCGAGCCACATGCTGCTTGCCGCTCTGTTGATTATTGAGTTTGCCGACCACTGACCTAGACTCTTGATTCCAATAATTACAGGCTGTTTTTGTTCCTTGTAATTAAGCCCCTAGCCCAGTGATCAGCAAACTCATTAGTCAACAGAGCGGCAAACTGTGGCTCCTAAGCCACAGGTGGCTCGCAAGCCGCAGTTTGCCGACCGCTGAGTTAAACAATAACTTCCCCGTGCCTCCTTCCCCTCACCCTTAGTAACCTCAATTTTACCTTCTGTCTTTGTGAATTTGCCTATTTCAGGAACTTCATTTATGTGAAATCATACAATATTTATCCTTCTGTGTCTGATTTATTCCACGTAGCCTAATGTTTTCATGATCCACCAATGTTGTAGATTGTGTCAGAATTTTATTCTTTTTATCTTCGAATGCTATTTCATTGTATGTATATATGTATATATGACATTTTGTTTATCCATTCATCTGTTGAAGGACCCTGAGTTGCTCATAACCATAATTTTTAAACTCTGCATAATAATCCATCAAGTAGATATACCATCATTTTTTACCATTTTTATAAAGTGTATAAACTTACAAAATAGTAACACTATTGTGAGTAAGGGTGCATATGGCTTTTCCATATGGCAGTTTCTTTAGGGTACAATTATTATGGGATTTTTTTAACGTGAGCACAATGTATTTATATGTTTGCTTTTTTTTTTTGCTTTTTTTTTTTAAAGAAGCTTGATTTACCATCAGCTGAGCCAGAAGTGAAGCCATTTGAAGAGAAGTTTGGAAAAAGAATTCTTGTCAAGTGCAATGATCTATCTTTCAATTTGCAATGCTGTGTTGCCGAAAATGAAGAAGGACCCACTACAAATGTAATTTTTTAAAAATATTTCCTAAAGAAACAGAGGTTTCAGTTGTTCCCATTGCAGTGCAGACGTGAAATTCTAGTTCTTGGTATCAAGGGGGTACAATGTTTAGGTCAGGATATGGGGGCTTATTTAGCCTGTGGGGCTGGGTGTTTGTCACAAAGGATGGGGATCAGGGCTGCTTCTCTTTAGCGGAAATTTATAGCCACAATCATAAATAAGTCCAGTAACTTCTTCTTTGAGCCTCAGTGATCGTCTGGCTTGTTTTGCTTTTGTCCAGGTGGAGCCTTTCTTTGTCACTCTATCCCTGTTTGACATAAGGGACAACCGGAAGATTTCTGCCGATTTCCACGTGGACCTGAACCATTTCTCAGTGAGGCAGATGCTGGCCGCCCCGTCCTCCGCTCTGATGAATGGCAGCGGGCAAAGCTCACCCACCCTCCCGGACATCCTCCACGAAGCCGCCATGCAGTATCCAAAGCAGGTGGGGACCTGAGCCCAGCAGTCAGGATGCCAACCCATAGCTTGCACGTGCTATGTAAACACCGAGTCTTCGTAATGCTAATTGGGGAAAGGTTGTTGATTATATTAATAGCTTATCGGATTCGATAGTAAAAAGAAAGCCTGAGAAGGATTTCTCATTTCTTTTTTCTAAAGTTTCTGCTACGTGCCTCCTGCACCAAAAGCCTATTTGAGCAGATGATGAACCATCGATCAGTTATTGGCATTGGGTGCTTCTTAGTAGCTAAATGGTTTCGCCCTTCTTTGCTGCTTTAGAACCTTTAATATTCAAGAGATTTGTTTAATGTGGCTGTGAATTCTACTTACTGAAAAAAATGTTTTGTCCCCTAGGGAATATTCTCAGTCACGTGTCCTCATCCAGATATATTCCTCGTGGCTAGAATCGAAAAGGTCCTCCAGGGGAGCATCACGCACGTCGCAGAGCCATACATGAAAAGTTCCGACTCTTCTAAGGTGGGGAGGGGCGGCTTGTAGCCTTGGGAAGTTAAATAGCGATTAGGAAAAAAAAGGCTTTCCACTGAAGTAGAGATGCTTAAAGAAGCCAAAGTTAAATCATATTTATATTTCAAAAGATATAGACTTCTGTACATAGGTTTACTCTTATATTTAACTTTAGGTATTCAATTATCAATGAAAAGTAGTCCTATGTGTAAATAAAATGCTTCATTTGGCTCGTCTATCCTAACATCATCAAATAATTTGCAGAGGAATGATCAGTTTAGTAGTAAGTTTTCTGTCATTATAAAGTTCATATATTATATTCAAACTAGAGGCCTGGTGCATGAATTCGTGCATGGGTGGGGTCCCTTGGCCTGGCCCATGGTCAAGGCTGATGCATGGGGTTGGGAGGGAAGAGCAGGCTGCTGGGGGAAGCTAACCAACAGCCAATTCTACGTGGAATTGGGCTCCCTCCTCCCTCCTACTGGGTCCAGGGTTCGGGTAAACCAGATTTGGGGCTGTCAGGGCCCCAGCAGCTAGGTCTGGGTCAGTGCACATCATAGCTACCAGCCAGTCATTCTGATCATTCAGTCTTAATGGTTGCATATATATATAATTTATCTCACTTATTGATGTGTCTCAAGTTCTGGAATTATATTTGGGTCCATATATACTTAAAAATGAGGTGAGACTGGGAGACAGTCTGGCTCAGGTGGTGTGGCCAGTAGGATGGTGGTTCAGGTCTACTTGTGTTTTGTCAGGTGGGGCAGGGTTGTGGTGGCAGAGGTAGTGAAACCTTAGGTCAAAGAAGGAAGGGAAACAAGAAGATACATACATGTTTGATGTATGTGCAAAGTACTATTTATTTCCTGGGAATATGTAGATGTGAACATACCATAGACTTATTGATTACTAGAAGTCATCTAGTCCAAGACATCCTTTCATATTCAGAAAACTGAGCTTTCCAAAGGCTTAGTTACCCCTTAGTGTCACACAGTTAGAGTGGCTAAAGGACACTTGATTGTCACGTGCTTGCACTCTGAGCTACTGATTAGAGTAAGCTGTCAAGTGCTGTCCTGCCAGTTTTACGGTATTTTTATTTTAAAAATGTTTTATACATTGCCATTTGAAGATTGCCCTGATATACTAACCAATAACTGGTCAGCAGGAGGAGGGGTCACCCAGAGGATCCAACAGATTTGCTGAGCTGATTTAGTTTCCTCTCCCCCTCTCTGTGGTCATCCATACCTCACAAGTGTGTCCACCAGAATGCAGGATGCCCCTCTAAGAACAGGTTCTAGGAATCAGACATGTAAGTGCTGAGCACCTAACTAGCCTGGACACTTTGGACAAATCATGTCACCTCTCTGAGCCCCGGATATTTAATCTGTATGTAGTGGAAGGATATGTTGCTCTCTGCCCATACCTTCCTCTCAGGGATAGTGCTAGGATCAAACAGATAATGTAAAAGACAGTGCTAATATGGATTCCACGAACCACTGGCCCATGTAAGACCTTGATATCACTTATTACAGCCCCAGTCAAGTAAAAGCCCATTTTCTAGATGCATTGCTTCAGACAGCATGTGTTTCTGGCTGATAAAGGCTGAGTAAAGATTGGTCTCTAGAGAGAAGCTGTCTTATTTTTTAAATCAAATCTGAAAAAATGAGGATGAGAGCTCTTTTAGCTCTATGATACTTTGATTAATAATCAGTGAAGGTCCAAGATAAGATCTATTCCCCTGTCTGTGCATACAACACATTTCCAAGGCCAAAATGCACCAACCTTGCTACTTCTGTCTGCCACATGCACGGTTTGAAACGTGGCTGCTCATGTTGGTGCAAAAATCACAGCATGATGGGCTGGATGTTACACTCCACACTCTCCGCAGTGTGCATTGAGCATCTGCTGACATCTGCTGTTTCTTCAGCACTTCCAATGTAAAGCTTCACCACGTGCACATTGTTCCATTTAGTCACACTTCTGAGGTAGTAAATTAAAGCAAAGATTAACATCCAACCATCTTACATCTGAATAGAAGGTTTGGCAGAGAGATGACAGAGGGATGATTTTTCTCTGTATATAAAAATTGTCTCTTCATGTTTTCCAATATGGTGTAGAACATCTTTTGGAGTAAATTTTTGTTTTAGAGAACATTTTTATGAGAAGTCTCTATAGGCCCATCATGAACGGATTTTAAAGAAAGGAAAGAAGGAAGGAGGGAGGGATGGGAGGAAAGAAAGAAAGAAAAAAAGAAAGGAAGGAAGAAGGGAAGGAGAAAGGAAGGAGGGAGAGAGGGAAGGAAGGAAGGAAGGAAGGAAGGAAGGAAGGAAGGAAGATAAACAAACAAACCTAAAGAGAAATATGAATTTCTCACTCTGACTTTCACTACATTATGATCCATTTGCACCTTTGAGAAGTCTGAGCACTCAGTCCTCATTCACTGCAAGGAAAAGTGAAATTTACTTGAAGTCTTGTGTTTTAGCTTTAAGTTTTATGCAGATGTTGCATTTTACTCCAAAATATAGTCATTAATGTTAATCCGAAAAATAATAGTTTCTCCCCAAATTGCCGCCCTGGAAAGTAGGCCATTTTACCCTGTGACTGTGTCCCCCTGAATTCCCACATGAATACACCCCATTAAAGAAGAAAGGAAGGGCCTAGTTGAGCTTCTGACATGTATTTGAATCAAGATGTGTTTTCCAGTTCACTCATGAAGGCAGCAATCTCCACAGCATGATTATGATAGAATCATAGTGTTTTGTAATGTAAAGTATAAACTAAGCCCTTCATTTTGAAGGTGTGGAAAGTGGAACCTAGAGAGGTGTAATAGCCTATAGATTCCAACAGCTGGTTTCATTTTGACTTAGAGACAGCTCTATTATTCTCCTCCTGGGCCTTTAGATGAGTGCTTCTCAAACCCAGTCCCACTGCACACAGGTCACCAGAGGTCTGGTCAGATGCAGGTTCTGACTCAGGAGGCCTGGGACAGGGCCTGGGGCTCTGCATTCCTCACAGCCTCCCCCTGATGCTGATGCTGCAGTCTGCAGAGCACATGCTGGTTCGCAGGAACTAGATTATTTTTTCTAAACTTGGTTTGTCTTGGATGTACTTAACTAACGTAAAAAGCCCTTCAACACATCACTCTGAATGAATCAGACTTTGCATTGGTAACAATGCAATAGCCCAGAACAAGCACATTTGGAAAAATAGTGTCATCTGCTTTAGCCATGGGGTATAGTTGATTAATAGACCTGCCATGTGTATATTATAAGCAAAAAGCAAATCTGCTTCACTGTGTACTATTAGGTTAATCAGTTAATCCACAAAACGCCAAAAATAGTTATTAGGAAGTGAAAATAGCAGAATTTATACTCAGAAAGCAAAAATATAAAATTAAAAACCTTGCCCTAATAAGTCAACACCTATAGGGTTTTAATAATGAATATTTATTCCTAAATTATGGGATTCTGCACAAGCTCTTTAAATGATAATTCTTCTGTCACTGGGATTTGGCATCTCATGGCTTTATTCTGATGTCTTCAAGGTTGCTCAGAAGGTGCTGAAGAATGCCAAACAGGCATGCCAAAGACTCGGACAGTATAGGATGCCATTTGCTTGGGCAGCAAGGTAAGAGGAACATCTTTTATACCTTTCATATAGATGGAGATAGATAGGTAGGTAGGTAGGTAGATAGATAGATAGATAGATAGATAGATAGATAGATAGATAGATAGATAGATGAGTTATAGATTGACCAACCTATTCTCTTTATTGCTCAGAGAGGAATAGGATTTAAATGTGTAAAGTTAAAAAGTAAGTAAGCCCTGTATCTGAATAATCATTTGTTAGAGTCACAGAAAAGAAAGATGCTGGTTGGAGGGTAGCTGTGTGGAAATGGCAGGATGAGCAGGAATGTGTGATGCAGAGATGGTATTCTGGATTCCAGCTGCGTTTCTCGAGCTGGGCATGGGTGACTGCACGTGCGGTCTGCCAGTCCTTTATTTTTCGATCTCTGCTTCTTAAGAACTCGACTGTGTATGTTGTTTCCGAAGCATAGGCCATTTGCTGGAAATGTTTTCTATGTAAATTGAGTTAGTTTTGTTCATCCTTATAAATATCTTCCATGTTTTTAGGTAATGAGATTTCTCTTGGCTACAGCCAATGGAATAATAATTAGTCTTCACATAGAAACCAGAGTTAAGTCGTGGGTTTATTTTGGTCTTTTGGAAACTCAGTTTGGAAGTGTTGTTTTGCTATTTCAGGACATTGTTTAGGGATACATCTGGAAACCTTGACAAGAATGCCAGATTCTCTGCTCTCTACAAGCAAGACAGCAATAAGCTCTCCAATGACGACATGCTCAAGTTGCTGGCGGACTTTCGGAAGTGAGTCTCCAGGCCTTGCTTATTTCCACTTCTAGGAACTAGAAGTTGTTTGGTGGGGAGGGAGGAAGCAGGAGCAGTCTTTTAAATCTCTCCACTCAAGCACCCCAGGGCATGTTGGGTAGGCATGGAACTTTATCTCCAGTGCTTGGGAAGGAAGAGAGTGTTTAAAATTTATAGAGTAACCTAGTTGATTTGAATTCTGTAAAGGATATCATTGGTGGTTCTGTTACAGGTGGGTTGAGGGTACAGATAAACCTGGGGAAAAAGGAGACAGTTGAGGAACCTTTGCAAGAAGTGGGAGAGGTTTCAGCAAAGCCACTACAAGTGGAAACAGGAAGAATAAAACTAATTCAAGTTATGTCAGAGAGGCCCAATTACTGGGTCTTAGTTTCCTGATTGGGCAGTAGGGTGGAAGGAGAAAAAAATGGTTGGTAGTCTCAGATAAATGAATCCAGGTTTCTGACTTACACAGTGGAGTGCTCCTGGTACTATTAATTGAATGGGTGATTTGTGTGTGTGTGTGGGGGGGGGGGGGGGGCGGGAGGCTGGGGGGAAGAGAGGCGTGGGGAGGGGGGAATAACTTACATAGTACTTATTGTTTATAGTTCTAAATGCTTTATATCTATTAATGAGTGTGTTAGTTTCCTATAGCTGCCATAACAAAGTACCACAAACTGGATCACTTAAAACAGTGGAAGTTTGTTCTCCTAAGTCTGCAAGCCAGAGTCCAAAATGAAGGTGTTGGCAGGGCCCACTCCCTCTGAGTTCTCCAGGGATGGATCCTTCCTCATTTCTTCCAGCCTCTTGTAGCCCCAGGCCTTCCTTGGCTTGTGGCAGCATCACTCCAAACTCTGCCTCTGTCTTCACATGGCTGTCTTCCTGTGTGTCTGTATTAATGTCCTTCCTCTTACAGCAATCCGTCATATTGGCCCACCCTAGTGACCCCGTCTTCACTTGATTATATCTGCAAATACCCCATTTCCAAATAAGGCCACATTCACAGATACTAGGGTTAGGATTTAAACATATCTTTTTTGGGAATACAACTCAGCCCATAACAATGTGATAGAGAGAGGCTGGGCAATGGTGGAAGTCAGTCTGGCTGAGAATCTGAGAAGTTCATTTCTGAACTTATAAAAACTGATTTTCTTTGCTGGGCATCTTTTGGCCATAAATTTTTTGACGGAAGGCAGGATGTGTGAAAAATTATTGAGTCACCTTCCTGACAGTTATATCTGAGGATTTCCAGGAGTTGTTCGTTTAAACTCAGTTGTATACAAAAGACAAGTGGAAATGAGGAGGAACCATGAGAGAATGTGATTCTGCATGTTGGAGCTGCTGATGGGCACAGATGAATATGCTCAACATAGTCTGTAATCAAAGGAAGCAAGAATGTAGAACTGTTCAGGAACTCTGTTTCTGGTGAACAATAACACGACAAGTTACATGTGAGGCTGCTTAATAGATTACAGTTATGTCTGAGGAATCTTAAAAACAGGAGTTAGGAACTTTTAAAAAATGAGGACAAAACCAAATGCTGCGTCTGTCGACCAGTGAACTTGGATGTTTCTTGGCAGTATCCAAAAGAAATTATTAAGCAGGTGGCTTATGAAGAACCACCAAACTGTTCTGTTTTCTAGGAACAAGTCATGTTATGTCAAACTAGTCATTCTAATCACATTTCTGCTTCTCTCTTTAATTGGGCTGCTAAGCTGGTCCAACAGGGATGTAAAGCCTTTGACAAGTACATATTCCAAGATGTCCCATGAGCAAGTCAGAGAAGTGTAGTACACATGAGTGGACAGATGTGCAACTGCTGGAGTAACCAGATGCCAGGAATAGGCTAGTGTCAGTCTGGCAATGAGCATCGAGAGGGTTGAGAGGAACCTATTCATGGCAATATTCTGTGCAGTATCTTCATCAATGACTTTTATAAGAGACTATAATATGCTGGTGAAATGTCTTCGCAACATGAAGCCATTAGGAATATCCAATACATTAGATGTTAATACCTGGATTTAGGAGGGTTTTGATAAACTAGAAATGCCTCAAATATATAAAGAAATGAAATTTCATCAAGATAAAAATCAAATCCTTTTCTGAGTCTCAAAAACTTAATTGTATAAATCAGAATGGAGAGATGTGGCATGATAGTAAAGCATGTGAACAAAGATTTAGGGATTTTTAGGTGGTTGTAAATTTCATTTGAATCCCTAGGTGTGGGTACCTAAAAGTAATAGCATCAATAGATGGGTGTATTGTTCAAAACCTGGCTGGGTTGTACATTTGGTTAGAGCGTCATCCCAATATGCCAAGTTTGCAGGTTTAATTCTCTGTCAGGGAACATACAAGAATAAACCAATGAGTACATGGATGGCTGGAACAATGACTCAGTGTTTCTCTCCTTCTCTTTCTCTGCTTTCCTCTCTCTCTCTCTCTCTGTCTCTCTCTGTCCCTCCCTCCCTCCCTCCCTCCCTCCCTCCCTCCCTCCCTCCCTCTCTCCCTCTTTCCCTCCCTCCCTCCCTTTCTCAAAATCAATCAATAAAAGATAGCTACCCTCACTATTCAGGCCATTATGCAATTCTGGGTGCAACAATATAAATGGGACCTTCTTCTAGGAGAGAATTGGCATTGGAGGAAGGTGCAGAAAAGCCTAGAATGGAAGACTTCTGAAAGCTGTTTCTAGATGGTTGAAAGGTGTTCCACAGGAAAGCATAACTAAGCCCCTTGATGAGAAGAAGTTTCAGAGAGGTGACAAAAAGCCAGGACATATGAATATTTATAAAAGAATTGCTATGCGGAAGAGCAGTCTGAGTGCTGAAAGTATCCTGTCACTAAGAAGGGTGGAACAGTGGCAGTGCTTGTCAGGCACATTGTAGAGGAGACTCTTATAATGGATTGAGTCAAACCAAGTACAGACACCATATATTTCATTGAGTACCTGCTTGGTACCCAGCGTTTTGCTAGATACTAGTGATTAAGATGACTTCTGGTTCTGAATTTTCAGGATTCTAACTGAGTGAAGAATGTATGGTGAGTTTGGGATGGTTCAGGAAAACTTGAACATTTTGCTCATGTTCTTAACTTGACTTTTGCTGTCCAATTCAGTAGCCACTACCACATGTGGCTGTTTAGCACTTGAAATATAGCAACTCCAAACTGAAATGTGCTGTAATGGAAATACACATCTGATTTTGAATAATATGAATGCACTTTCTATAGTGATTATATATTTAAATATAATAATTTGGACATAATGGGTTAAAAAATATATTCTTAAAACTAATTTTACCTGTTTCTTTTTTAAATGTGCTTACTAGAAAGTTTAAAACTATGTTTGTGGCTTGCATAATATTTCTCTAGGAAGTGCTCTCTATAATTTAGGTTTTAGAGCTCATCTAACTTTTAAATGTTTGATTGTTCTCTTGTCTGTAGACCCGAGAAGATGGCTAAGCTCCCAGTGATATTGGGCAATCTAGACATTACAATCGATAATGTTTCCTCAGACTTTCCCAGTAAGTGCAAGTTCTGTGTAATAAACAGACAAAATGTTGGTGGGGTTTTTTTTTTTTACTTCAATTTGTTTGTTTTTATTTTTTTCAGATTATGTCAATTCATCCTACATTCCCACAAAACAATTTGAAACCTGTACTAAAACTCCAATCATGTTTGAAGTAGAGGAATTTGTGCCCTGCCTACCAAAATACACTCAACCGTACACCACCTATAACAACCACCTTTATGTTTATCCCAGATACTTGAAATATGACAGTCAGAAGTCTTTTGCCAAGGTGAGTGTAAAGAAGGAGGTTTCATTTTTGGTGTCAAATTCTCTTGGGTTTTGGCTTCTCCTGTTCTTTTATAAATATTCATATGTCCTGGCTTTTTGTCCCCTTCTTTCCTTTTTCCTTTAAATATGCTGCAGGCCAGAAATATTGCTATTTGCATTGAATTCAAAGATTCAGATGAGGAAGACTCTCAGCCTTTGAAGGTTTGTTTTTTTTATATATGTTCCCATTTTCCCATTTTCATAATGCAGTTGCATGATATAGCACAACTAAAGGAATCTGGCACATTTTAATTGACACAAACACAAAAATAACATAACATCACATCATATAACCACACATGCTGAACCTTACAGAATATAGAATAATTGAGTTATTATTCCTAATTCATTATTTCTGTTTCGTTATATATTTTAGGGATGAAAGGTTCTGATGTATGTTCAATACAGTAAACACATTGTGCACCTGCTATGAGCCAGGGATTGTATGGATGTTAAGAATTATATTAGTAACATTGATAACATAAATAGTAATAATAATAGATTGGCATTTATTAAGTGTTTGTTATAATAATAACAGTAGTATATTATTGATGCTTATTGAGTACTCATTATATTCTAAGCTCTGCTCTTAGAGCCTTTATAGGTACTAAACTCCTTTAATTCTCATAATAGTCTTTTTGAGTTAGGTACTATGAATATCTGCATTTTTAAGATGAGGAGATTAATTCACAGATTATAATAAATGGCTTAGTGTCATACATTAGGGGAACTGGTATTCAAACACTGGCAGTCTGCCTCCAGAGCCCAAATTCTTTACTGAAACTGTATGAAAATGACTTTGCAAGAAGTAGAGGATTCATAGTTGCATAGAACAATGTAGTATAGTTTTTGCCCCCAAGAAATTTCGTAGTTTGGTGGGAAAAGACAGTTATGAAAAAAAAACTCTTTGCATACAGAAGGTACTGAAAGGGTTTATTTTACAAAACTGAATAATTAGAACGGAAAAATGCTGAAGGGACACAGAGGAAGGAGTTCACCGTTTTCGGAAGGTTGCTTGAGAGTTTGCTTGGGGCACTTAGAAGGGAAGATCCCTGGGACAGACGGTTGCATAAGCAGAGGCAGGGCAGTGGGAAAGGGAGCAGTGAGCAAGGTCTGATTCAGAGCCACAGCTCAGAGGGTGGGAGGCTCAGGGGAGGGCTGGAAAGGGAGCTGGAGGGTGAATTGGGCCCAGGACTGAGGGGGCTTGTCCATCTGGAGTTTCACAGGCAGAAGTAAATCCATCAGAGCTGGTTAAACTTATGCTGTGGGAGTGCTCTTTACAACACATCTGAGTTTGATTTCTTTCTCTAACAATTGAATGCTGGTGTTTCCCTCGCTAACTCTTATTTCAGTGCATTTATGGCAGACCCGGCGGGCCCGTGTTCACAAGAAGCGCCTTTGCTGCAGTTTTACACCATCATCAAAACCCAGAATTTTATGATGAGGTAAGATTTTCAAGGGAAAACCCAGTGTAACCCATTTTAAGGAAAACTCCAAGTTCTTTGCTTAGTAAAGCAAAAACTCAAGAGAAGCTGCATACTATACTGAAAGGACAGTGATAGAACTAAATGTTGAATTATTTATGTTATATAAATTTTTCTAGTTAGAGAAGCAATGTATTTATTGTAAAAAATTAAAACTTGGAAAATGCAGATATTGTAGCAAAGAAAAAGTTAAAAATCCCTCCTCTGTCACTACCACAATTAATAACTCTGACATAGTTTCTATCAAACTCATACTTAAGTATAGCTACATCTGTTGGAACTTTCTTATTGTTGGGCTTCCTAATGTAAAATTATATGTAGGTGGTTAAAAACTACTAATAAATTCTACTGGTAAATGTTCTACCCTGGTTTGTCACCATGCCTGGCTATGTTAAGTTAATGTAATGGTTTCTCTCATGTGTTTTCCAATTCCTTCCAGAATTTAAATATTAACTCTTCTAGTTTTGGTCAGTCATGTCTTAGTCTGTTTGTACTGTTTAATGAAATACCACAGGCTAAATGGCTTACAAACAGCAAATATTTATAGCTTACAGTTCTGGAGGCTGGAAGTCCGAGGTCACAGTGCCGGCATGGTCCGTGTCGCAGATTCTCAGGTGTATTCTCGTACGGTGGAAAGGGCTCAGGAGCTCTGTGGGATCTCTTTTATATGAGAGCATTCATCCCATGTAGGTCACACTCATGACCTAGTCACCTCCAAAGGCCCCTGTTAATACCATCACCTTTGGGGTTAGAATTTCAACATGTGAATTTGGGAAGGACTTTTGGTGGAAGGGTTGGGGGGGTGGGGGGTAGAGGAGAACACACAAACATTCAGCCCATAACAGTATGACATTGCATCGAGGACCCATTTCTTCCTTAGCACAATTTACAGTCCCAGATTTCTTTAACTACAAACGTTACTATTAGTTTGGAGACCAAACGGACCAATAGGCGTTGGGTGACACGTTGTGTGGCTGCTATCACCAAGACATTTTGTTGTTCTGGAATATTAGAGAAGTCGTTGCTTTGCTTTCCTTGCAGATTAAAATAGAGTTGCCCACCCAGCTACATGAAAAGCACCACTTGTTGTTCACATTTTTCCACGTCAGCTGTGATAATTCAAGCAAAGGAAGCACAAAGAAGAAGGATGTTGTTGAAACACAAGGTTTGAACTTTCATTATCCCTTTGATTTTTTTTTATATAACTTACAAATTCATTTCTTAGATTTTATTTTTCTATGCATTTGCATTCTTTCGCAAAGGAGTTTTTAGATGATGTTTGTGAAGGCAGCATGCCTGGTTTGTATATGTAAGTTTCTATAAAAGGTAATTTTAGAATTCTAATCCCAAAGCAATCAATAGACTACAGAGATTGTATTCAGGGTCTCTTCAGTTTCTTAACCCTGAATGGTATTAACAATTCTTGAAGATCGGGCAATTTAGTAAGATTGGCTTTCTTTCATCCGTTTTCGTACACTTACAGTGAATCTGTTTGTTCTTTGTTTCAACAGTTGGATATGCCTGGCTTCCTCTTCTGAAAGATGGAAGGGTGGTGACCAACGAGCAGCACGTTCCTGTCTCAGCCAATCTCCCACCTGGCTACCTTGGCTACCAGGAGCTTGGGATGGGCAGGGTATCGGAATTTAAGATTGATTTATCCCATTCCTTCAGAAAACATGAAAGATCAGCTAAAGACTTGGAGATACTGGTTAAGGAAGAAAATCTCTGCGAACTAGCCATGCTCAAATAAAGATGCATTCTTAGGGTCATGCAAATGATTAGAAATTATCTTCCAACATAATGTAATAAGTCCAGTAAGCAAATATCTCATCCACATAGGAGCTCGTTCTGATTCATTAGTGCCTGAATTGTCTCAGATTCCTCCTGTTAGTTTGTTGGTTTTGCATTTTTTAAGCCATTTTAGATCATGTAGATTTCAGTTTTATAAGATGCTCAGGAAAATTTTTTGTTTCCTTTTATTCTGAATGGCTTTTAATGTTTCTCTGCATTTTAAATAGAGCCAAATGTGGGCTCATATTATGAACAGATAGTTAAAATATTCCAAAATAAGATTAAATCATGTTACATTCAGTTATGGTTCCTAATCTGAACATGAGAAAAATGAAGGTTTCTGAAATTAAAAAAAAAAAGGCACAAACAAATATTGACCCTTTGGCTGTGCCAGGAGTACTTACTGTCCTATCCACTTTATCTGGTACCTTGTGCCATCACCTTCAGAGTCCTGAGCTCGAGTTTGGTTAAGTCATTGGCGAAATAGGATGCTTTCCCCTCTCAAATGGACAGTAATCCTGACAGCTGCAACTCAACAGGAAAGATAATTTATAAAATCCAGGAAGAAGAGCATTGTACTCAGGGAAAGAAAGTGGGCGGGAGTTAGTGTTGGTTTCATCCTGCTGTGAGCCAGGCATAGGCATGACTATCCAGTCACCAGAGCTGTTGGGCCTTCCGCACCTCATGAGGGCCCTCATTCAGGATGGTGATTGAAGCCAAGATCACTCATCTGTTGGGATGTTTCCCCCCCCCATATTTTTCAGCATTGTGGTCCAGAAATTAAGTGGGTGGATGGAAGCAAGCCCCTGCTGAAAGTTTCAACCCATCTGGTTTCTACGGTGTATACTCAGGTACGCGCTAGTCCGTTAAAATTAGCAGGGATTGCTCTGTGAATGAATTGGTATAATTTTTTTTGGCAAAACAAAAGTTTAATTGACATGTCCTATGGATATATTTTTACTCTGTAAGTCCTCTTTGAAGAAAGGAAATAGAGATAAGGTGCTCATATGTACTGAAGTAAATGAAAAATACAGTAATCTTTTTTAAACTGTTTTCCTCTTTTGTTGGAGGATCTTTGGAAACATTTTTTAAAATTTGTTTTCATTTTTACCTCTTTGATATTTCACTTTATATGCTCAGTTTTTATAGTCTAAATGAAACATGCATGCTGTAAGAAGCAAATACTTCTATTTCTACAGCAGATATGCTAATAAACTTTCTTTTTTTCCCTTCCCAGGATCAGCATTTGCATAATTTTTTCCAGTACTGTCAGAAAACTGAATCTGGAGCCCAAGCTCTAGGGAATGAACTTGTGAAGTACCTTAAGGTATCAGATGGCTTTCTTAGTGACCCTTTTATAATGAGTTAGGAGTTTATTGGGTTTTCTCTTTGGTAGTGTTCTTAGCTAGATACCCTCACACCAATAGCTTTTGTATGGTTTGAGATAGTGTCAAGAAGGGCACTCAGAGTTGTGCTCCCCTCACCTTCGTCCTAGTCCCACACATACTTTTCTCAGGCCAGACCTAAAACATACTGTTCCCTGCATAGGAAACCCCTCGCTTACAGAGGCCACCCATGTTGAGTGCTCTCTGGTCTCACAGGGCAGAATCAGACACAAAGAAGCAGTTACTGTAGTCTCACCTTTAAGTAACTTCTGGTTCACTGTAGGAGATGACATAAGCTTCGAGACTGCATAGCAGGTGGTTCAAAACAGATAATACATGCCAGCAACCCCAGCTTTGCGCAGGGTCACGGAGACTTCTGCAGTTTTTGCACATGGGAGCAAGCAGGATTTGTCTAAAGGAGTGCCATCCAGAACATGACTTTAGGGCAGTGTTTCCCAAAGTGTAGTATGCGTACCCCCAGGGGTACAGAAAGAGTTTGGTAGGGGTATGCGTTGCACCGGAGTTTGGTGGGGATATGCACTGCACCATGCTTAGCTGTGCCTAATTCTACGTTCTCATGAGTACGAGGGATACTCAGCGTTATGAAAATTATAGAAGGGGTACACATATGTCAAAAGTTTGGGAAACATTGCTCTAGGGGAACATTTTTTGTTTTTATTTTAAAATTTAATTTATTTTATTATTTTATTTTATTTTATTATTTTATTTTATTATTTTATTGTTTAAAGCAGTGGTTCTCAACCTTTCTAATGCCAGAACCCTTTAATACAGTTCCTCATGGTTGGGGTTCACCATAATATGAGGAACAGTATTAAAGGGTTATGGCATTAGAAAGGTTGAGAACCACTGGTTTAATGTATTACAAATAGTAGTACATATGTCTCCTTAGGAGAATATTTTTTAAAAGTAAAGTAGCTAAAAGGGCATTCTAGACATGGGAACAAGTTGTAAGAAAGGTGAGAAATGCAGTAGAACTTTATTTGATTTAAGCAAATTGGACTAGGGATCCTGAAATCACAGAATCCCCTCTGGCTGCCTCAGAGACAGCCATGTGACTTGAAGAAGAACCTTTGCATTAGTTTCCTATTAGTTCTGTAAGAAATTACCACAAACTTGGTGGCCTATAACAATACCATGTATTATCTTACCCTTCTGTAGGTCAGAAGTCCAGTAGGAGCCTCAATGGGCTGAAATCAAGGTGTTATTAATAGCGAGTTTCCTTTCTGGAAACTAGGGTGAACCTGGGTTCTTACCCTTTTCGGTTTCCAAATGCTGCCTTCATTCGTTGGCTTGTGGTCACTTCATCCATCTCAACGCCAACAAGTTGCACCGCTGGCCATTCTTCCTTAGACACGTCTCTCCTGACTCGCCTCTTTTGCCTCCCTCTTCCGCTTCTAAGGACCCCTGTGGTCACAGCAGGCCCACCTGATTAAAGCAGGAGCATCCCCCTATCTTAAGGCCAGCTGGTTAGCATCCTTAATTCCCCTTGCCGTGTAACATATTCACAGACATGGACATCTTTGTCCCTTATCCTGCCTGCCACTCACTGCCTTCCTTTTGCTTTAGATGCACTTCTCCCAACTTTATTTGAACTGAGTGAAAATTCTTAGTGTTGGTTTAATGTCAGAGGATAACTCGGACTTTGGTATTTCATATCTGTAGAGCCTGCACGCCATGGAAGGCCACGTGATGATTGCCTTCTTACCCACCATCCTAAACCAGCTGTTCCGTGTCCTCACCAGAGCAACTCATGAGGAAGTCGCCGTCAACGTGACACGGTGAGAGAGGGGTGAGGTGGACACTCCCCTTCCCTTTCGGTCTATCCACATCTGGAGCACAGTCATACATATCCGGATGCATAGTGTGTGTTAAACATTATATTTAAGGCAGATGGAGAGATCTCATTTAATTCTTTGTTTCCTGTGGTGCCAATAGCATCGTCATTGTTCTACTGTGATAATAATGAAATGTTTCCATTTTCACATTACTATTCATTGCTTTATTCATTCCTGTGGTGTGTAGGGTCATTATTCATGTGGTTGCCCAGTGCCATGAGGAAGAATTGGAGAGCCACTTGAGGTCATATGTTAAGGTATGTAAAATAAACTGTCCCAATCACTTAAATCTGTGGCTCTCCAATTTTCCTTCTAAGAACTTATTATTTTTTTTTTTTAATCTAGTGATTTGGGTATATTTTGGGATGAAACGCAATACCTCTGCTTTCTTTTCTGTATCACATAGCCAGGAGTCCCACCTAGGTGAAAAGAAGTCCAAAGAGGGCAGCCTTTCATTTATTTACTTAGTATCATTTTGTCAACTACATTTCTTCTTTTGTGGGTGCTGCACGTGATGTGGACATTTATAAAGAAGAGTATTAACTCACTCTTAGCTAGGCCTCTGGTATGGCTTCTTGCCTTCATTTTTCTCTTTTCCCATCTAAAATTTCCCAGGAACCCTGCTCCTCCCAAGTTAGGAAGGTTGGCTCTGGCCTCCATCTACGTGCTGGGATAAATAGCAACAAGTTCTTCCTTTATGGACAATATTCAGTAAACATGGTGGCAGTGATTGTTCTAAACAGTTGCACACATTCCATTTAATCTTTGACAGAATGAATTATAGCTACGTGTCCATCTAAAAAGTGAAGTTTTGGTTGTTGAGGGAATCAGTTAGCAGTGTCATGTGACACATTTCCTGAAGTCCTTAGGAGGTGGAGCTACAGGCTGGAGGACCACTGGCCTGAGTCAGGTGATTCTCATGTTTAGGTGGGTCCCCCAAAGACATCCTGAGCTCCCTCTTTCTGTCACACGACAACAACCCTTCCCACATTCCGTTTCCACACCTTCCTCTCCCACCCATGCCATTGTACCTGGGTCCCCGATCCTCATCCTCTGGAACCTCCTCAGCTTTCAGCTCAGCTTGGAAAACAAGTGCATTAAAGCATCTTTCCCTTTTCTTCAAAGTACGCGTACAAGGCTGAGCCGTATATTGCCGCTGAATATAAGACAGTGCATGAAGAACTGGCCAAATCCATGACGGCAATTCTCAAGCCTTCTGCTGATTTTCTCACCAGCAACAAACTGCTTAAGGTATGTTGGGAGGCCAGCATGGCTCTGCAGTATTGAAACTGATGAAAGAAACCTCAGACTCCTCAGCTAGATCAATTCACTCTTTCTGTGTGCTGTTAGTGAAGATCATAACTCGGACTTTGGTATTTCATATCTGTAGAGCCTGCACGCCATGGAAGGCCACGTGATGATTGCCTAAAAAGCAGTGACAGAGTTAGTTCCTCAGTACCTACCTACATTGCCCCTTGTACTGGTGCTACTATGAAAGCTGCAAATTATTATTATACTCAAAGCTTCATGGCCTCTTTGGCATTAATAAATCATATTTTAATAATTGGAGGACCATGAGTTAGAGATTTTACAGGCAAGTGTCAGCAGGTGAGACTCAGCCAAGGGGAATGGTTGCAAATCTAATAGAACAGAGCCTCTTTGTGGGTTGCTGAACTTATGTACCTGTCCCTGGTGGGATAGAGTCACTTATTGTCAGACATGTGAAAAGAAGAGAACACCTGCCAGAAGCTATGGTCTAATAATAACTTGCCAAGAGGTTCAGCCGTGTGTTTTTGGTCATATTTGTTTTATGTCAGTGACTTTGCCAGCCTAAGACCGTGGTTGGCAAACTGCAGCTTGTGAGCCACATGCGGCTCTTTGGCCCCTTGCGTGTGGTCTTCCACAGAATACCACGGCAAGTCTATTTTTGAAGAAGTGGCATTAGAAGAAGTTTAAGTTTTAAGAAAATGGCTCTCAAAAGAAATGTCAATCATTGTACTGTTGATATTTGGCTCTGTTGACTAGTGAGTTTGCTGACCACTGGCCTAAGAGAATAAAGGTCTCTTCCAGCTGGTTGTTTTGCTCACTGGAATCCTTTTTATCTTTCAGTACTCATGGTTTTTCTTTGATGTCTTGATAAAATCCATGGCTCAGCACTTGATAGAGAACTCCAAGGTGAAGGTATGTCGCTCCATCCTGTGATGGTTCCTAGAGAAAAGTATCTTTCATTGTGTTTATGGCTTACAGTACTGTTTTTCCAGTGATAAACCATTTTAGCTTTATAACAATCCTAATGTAGGCAGGGGGAGTATAAGTCTTACCCCTCATTTTACAGAAACTGAGTCCAGGGTGCTTGAGTTACCTGCCCAAGGCCATGCTGCTGGTGAATGGAGGGAGCCAGGTTTGGAGACCACTCTGGCTCATGCCCATACTCCTCACACACTGTGTTATTAAATCCAAAGAAAAATGTGTCCTTTCCTTTGACTAGCTTAGATATCTCCCAGTTTGTTGAAAAGGGAATAGTAGTTTAAGTATTCATTTAAAATGCATTTACCTGGTGTTTCCTAAGTGTCTTGAACATCTTAGACATTTCTCAGGGATTTAGAAGCAGGTCTGGTGCTACTTCACATCTTCTGTAGCTAATGAATGGACTCAGATAATTTAGTCACCCCCGGCCCACCTCTTCGTGGTGCCGCGTGTGTGCCTCTGGACTGTTGCCTGTCGAGGTATGACTGGTTGCTGCCTGTCTGAGCCCAGATGCATTTTTATAAAATTCCAAGGCAGTAAACGCAGGTGGCATGCTGCGGAGCTCCTGAAATGCACAGTCTTGCAGTTGCTGTTGTGACTGTGAGTTCTTGCCACATCGCCGCATACAGAGTGTGAGCTGGAGAGGTCTGGGTGAGAGCCAAAGGTGCTTGTGCAGGGAACCATTGTGGTGCCAGGCAAGTCTCTCTAAATGAATGTGGGGAGGAGGGCAGAGTCTCAGGCCCGGAGGGTCAGGATCTGGGCCATCTGGACTCTTGGAGGAAGCCTTGGGAAAAGCTGATGGGTTTTGTCAGGCTCCAGGTTGGTGGTTCAGACCCTAAAGCTGTAGTTTCCTGTAGTAGAGGCGGCGTGGGTGCCTGACCAGATGGTTTCCTTTTCATTCCAGCTTTAGCACACAGGGAGGTGCCAGATGGAGGTGGGCCCTGCCTTCCACCGAGTAACGCACCATCCGAATCATGCCAGGACAGCCCGCCAAGGGAAAACTCTAGCAGACTGTCTGCTTGGCAGTGTGCTGCTGGTATACATGCATATATACGTGTGCCTACACCCACATGCACGTACACACACGTAGGCAGGTTATTTGAATATACTACCTTCCTCTTAAAAATGTTGTTTTAAAAAATAATACCGTAAATAAAAATGTTGTCATATGCAGGATGGGCATTAGGCCTATTTCAGTTTGCTTGGGCTGCCATTCTAATACCACAGCTTAAATGGAAGAAATTTATTTTCTCACAATTCTGGAGGCTGAACGTCTGAGATCAAGATGTCTGTAGGTTTGGTTCCTTCTGAGTCCTCTCTCCTTGGCTTGTCGATGGCTTCCTGTGTCTTAATACTGTCCTTCTTCTGTGTCCTAATCTTCTCCTTTCTTATAAGGACCCTAGCCATGTTGGATCAAGGCCACTTAATGACCTTGCTTTAACTTAATTACCTTTTTCAAGACTCTGTCTCCAAATACCATCATATTCTGAGGTACAGAATATGAACATATGAGTTTTCAGGGGACACAGTTCAATCCATAACAAGGTCCCACTGGATATTTCATTATTTTTTTGCTCTAAATCAGTATAATTACTTCAGAAAGATTGTTGACTTGCTTAAGTTTAAAAATATAACTGATTTGTTATATTTTGAGCTCTTTATTATACGCAGACTCAAGGGCTATGAAGTTAAATGTAGTGTGGTTTGTGCCCTCATGAATTTAGGTGGGAAAGTGTACAACTAGAGGGATGGTCAGGGAGATAATGAACACTTTGGAAACACTCACAAGAAGTATATTTAAAATCAAGTATCCATGACCTCTTTCTGGAACCTGTGATGGGTTAATAAAGGAACTCAATTGCATGTGCTCTTTACTCCAGAGGCCAAATTAAACCATGGACCTTTGGGGGGGGGGGGTAGAGATCTGAGAGCTACCTCTGGTCCAACTCCTCCCTTGTCACAGAGGGTGAGATGGAAGTATAGACCCATGAAGTAACCTGCCCAGGGCTGCCCCACTGAGCAGAGCCAAGACCTGACTTATTCTGGAGTCAGAACCAGTCTTTCCCAGATGCTCTGCCATGTCCAACCCCATAACCTAGTTCTCCGGGGCCTCTGGGATGCCGTTTGTTTTTGGAACTCTGTGGAACAAACCACTCAAATGTTACCAGGCACAGGCTTTTCCCGAAGTTAATTGTGTCTCGGTCCTAAAACAATATTCAGAGAGTTTTTAGAAGTAGCTTATTTTAAAATTGTCATCCAGCTTAAAAAAGTAAACACTAGCATCCACAAGGAGAAAACGTAACTATAACATAATTTGCTATAAAAAGAGATCCCAAATGCCCACTTACCACCTGGAAGAGTTGAACATTTTTGCTTTGGAAGGCTCCCCTCTGACCTTCTCTTCATGTCACCCGGAAACCAGGCCACTTTTTCCCTAATTCACACATTGTTGATCTAGAAACTTTTCTCCCATTTTATTTTTTTTAAGCCTTCATTCAGTCTGCCTTATATTTTAGGACTAATGAGTTTTATGTGTTTGGAATCGTTATTTTTATACTTGCTTTATACTTCCATCTTAAGAATTGTATATCCTAGCCAAAACCGGTTTGGCTCAGTGGATAGAGCATCGGCCTTGACCGGAATCGAACCTGAAAGGTCCCAGGTTCGATTCCGGTCAAGGGCATGTACATTGGTTGCAGGCACATCCCTGGTGGGGGTGTGCAGAAGGCAGCTGGTTGATGTTTCTCTCTCATCGATGTTTCTAGCTCTCTATCCCTCTCTCCCTTCCTCTCTGTAAAAAATCAATAAAATATATTTTTTTAAAAAATAATTTTATATCCTAGTCCCTGGTCCCAGTGTTCTGAATTTGAGGAACAAGTTCAGGATACCATTCCTGTATCACTGATGATTTCCAAAATCATGATCAAATCCTCTCAGAGTTTTTCTGTTTTCGACTGAAGATTATTAATCTCATCCAATGTGTTTATACTTTAACCTGATTTCCTTCCTCATTGGCAAGTTTTTCTTCAATTGTCAAGACCAGGCACACGCCTGGGCATGATCCATGTCAGAGCCAGATCATGCTTGTGGTGTTGAAAGTGTCCTTCCCCATGCTACCTGGCATTGATCGGCCTTTGGGGACATGACATATGTTAGCTGAGGCCTTCAGTGCACACTCCCTGTGTTAGTGGGGTTGTGCACATTATTTTTAAAAATATATTTTATTGGCCGAAACCGGTTTGGCTCAGTGGTAGAGCGTTGGTCTGTGGACTGAAAGATCCCAGGTTCGATTCCGGTCAAGGGCATGTACCTGGGTTGCGGGCACATCCCCAGTAGGGGGTGTGCAAGAGGCAGCTGGTCGATGTTTCTCTTTCATCGACGTTTCTAGCTCTCTATCTCTCTCCCTTCCTCTCTGTAAAAAATCAATAAAATATATTTTTTAAAAATTTATTGATGCCCTTGACCAGAATCGAACCTGGGACCTTTTTAGTCCGCAGGCCGACACTCTATCCACTGAGCCAAACCGGTTTCGGTGGGGTTGTGCACATTTATGTGGAGGGAAAAATCTTGATCTCCGATGTGAGCACCCCTATCCCTACCACGCTGCTCTGCCTGCTTCTGATGCCACAGTCTTTCTGAAGATGGAGGTGGCCACATGTGCCCACCCCCCCACCCCCAGCCAATCAGCTACCCTTTGTTACATTTGCTGAGGAAGGCTATGGATCCCAGCCTCTCTTTGAACATGCATCTAAAATAAGAAATTTCTTTGCTAGACGTGAGGATTTCATAGGTGGCATGTGCTTGGAATTTTAATAAGCGGTTTTTGAATAGACCTCTGAGACCTACTAAGTTTGTAACCCCCAGCCCCACTGTGCTTCAATGGCAACATATTTTAGGTAGGTTTTATTTTCTATCATTTATATTTAGCACCTATAATTTCAGCAGACTCATTTTGCATTTCCTTTCCTCCCACGTTGAATCCAGCAAATTGCTGGCATTCCACAGGTGTGCTTGGAAAACCTGGCATAGGATAGAATGGATATATGCCCTTAAGTGTTACTTATTTAACCTTCAACCATTTTCAGGCTTACTTGAGCAAGGAAAGAGCTTTCATTTGAAAAGTAGAAGGAGAATGGTATGGTTCGTGTTCTAAATAGACTGTTTGGACTTCCCCTAAGCCATAATTGTGAATCCTGTACCCAGGCGATAGCAGAATGTTTATGTCCGTTCTTTCATTCATGAATAACTGCTTTGAACAGTTGTTTTCTCTGCGCAGAACATTAAGCAGAAATGCACATGGATTAGAGGACACATCCTGAGCCTTGAAGCTGACATTGCCCTGGAGAATGAAGACATTCAGCTTGAAACAGTCAGAGGAGAGTGCAGGAAGGTGTATAAGTGAGCTCCAGAATGATAGGAGATTGATGTGCAGATAGAAAGGGAATCTTACCTGGGCCTAGAAAGGCCAGGTTTAGAGAGAAGAGCATGAGCAGAGGCACAGGGAAGAGCTTGTGCCCAGGAAAGGCCTCTGTGGCAGAGCTCAGGCTGAGAGTAGAGGGAAAGAGTGAAAAACAAGATCCACTCAAAATAACAGTGAGGTTATGGAGGGCTTTGAGGCAATGTTTCGATAAAGACCATAGAGAGGTAGAGTAAGTTCTTGAGCAGAAATGATGAGATGAAAGAGCATATAAATGTCAGCAGAGAGGCTTGGAAACTTTTATATCAGTGAGTGTATCGTCCCCTTGGAGTTTAGCCTGTGGAACCAATTAACATACCTATCATGTTAATGAAATGCAATAATATGAAATGACATTTTAGGGTGATGCTGATGAAGATCCAGCATTGGAGGGATGAGGTGGGATTGAGGATAAGGATGGAAAGCATTATAAATAAATAAGGGAGAATATTAAAACAACTAATTATTTGATTCAGCAATTCTACTTAAAAGTATTTAGTGAAAAGAAATAAAAACATTCACAGAGGCTCTGGCTAGGTAGCTCAGTTGATTAGAGCATTGTCCCCATAGACCAAGGTTGCAGGTTCAATCTCTGGTCAGGGCACACACAAGAATCAACCAATGAATGCATAAATATGTAGAAAAACAAACTGATGTTTCTCTCCCCCCCCCCCCCACTTCTCTCTCTAAAAATAAATAAATAAAACTTAAAAAACATATTTACAGAGAGAACTGCATGTAAATGCTCATAGCAACTTAATACTCGTAATAGCCAAAAACTGGAAACAACCAAATGGCCATTAACTGGTGAATGGATAAACAAATAATGGTAACTCCATACAATGGAATACTACCTAGTAATAAGAAAGAACAAACTACTGATTCTTGCAGCAACATGGATGAATCTCAAGAGCATTATGTTAAGTGCAGGAAGTCACTGTGATGATCATGCAGACTTCATGCAGTATGAATGAGCCCATTTTATGACATTCTAGGAAAAGAAAAACTGCAGGGACAGGAAAGAGAGCAGCGGTCTCCAGGGGCTGAGGTGGAGGGAAGGGATTCCGAGGGACATGAGGGAACTTTTGTGGTGAAAGAAATGTACTATATCTCAGTTGTGGTGGTGGTTACACAACTGTATTCACTGGTCAAGACTTAGCAAACTGTATACCTTAAAACGGTGAATTTTAGTATACTGGTATGTAAATTAAACCTTACTAAGCCTGATTAAACAGAACATAGTAAAGTCAGGGTGTTGTTGTTTTTTTCGGGGGGGGGGGCACTTAGATGTTACGTTTGAGAGCATACAAGAATGGAGCTTTTGAGAGAGATAATTAGGAATGGTTTACCAGGAAAGACAGGACATGATGTGTTATACTTGGGATATCTTAAGCTTCAGGGCCATGGGTTCAGCCACGTGACAGCGATCTGAAATAACAGTAACCTAAGAAAAAAGTTTTTATTTCTTCCACATCAAACTCCACACTAGAAATAGGGGTTCTGTTCCACAAAGTGTATCAGAGTTTTCCACATTCTAGATTTGGCTGACGGTAATGTCATCGTTCTCTGTGACATGGTAATGTGCCCCTGTCTTTCCTGTGAACTTGTAGTAATATCTAGAGCCTCAGCCCCATGCAGCTTTGATTTGCTTTTTTGCCAGGGATGCTTTATGCACTACTGCATCACACCAGGAGGTATACAAGATCTGGTTGTCCCGCTTTTAGTTAGGACTGTATTGACTAACACAGCGGCTTTTCAGCATGCAATACCTGACTGTTTGGTTATGGATTTGACTCTTTGTTAGGTTGATAGTTGAGTGACTGAAGACACATTTGCTTAACCTGACCCTCTGAAATGAGGTTTAAACTCATGATGGATCTTATAATAATTCAATGGAAAGTACATAAAAATGTCTAGTGCAGTTACTGACATGTCAAAGATTTACAGCGAGTGGTAGCTAATTGTTGAATGGTTTGAGTGTAATCTCTTAGATAAGCATTCTTGGTGGGGAAAAATTAGAATTTAAAATTAATATGAAGAGGACTGAAGCTTAAACCTAATGTGGTGTTTTCTGAAGGGCTCTGAGAGGTACAGGCTAGAGTCATCCTAAGTACTGGGTAAAAGCTCAGGTCCTGATCAGCGACTGGCTGCAGGCACATCTCCACATTTCTGTCAACATCTCCAGGCGGGCCTTTATCACGCCCCAGTCTGAAACCTCAGCTCTAATCCACAGAGATCCTTTGAAGGATTAGAATACTTGTACAGTGCCTTAAGAGAAGAAAGAATAACTCATTTTATCTAATTTCAGGTAAATAAGATTAGAATGCTGTATTATTTATTATAAGTGGACTCATAGAAGGGATATTTCCCCCAAAGGGTTGCAACTTAAAAACTAATAAGTGCTCGCTCTAAATTCTTTCCAGGTATTGCGAAACCAGAGATTTCCTGCATCTTATCATCATGCAGTGGAAACCGTTGTGAATATGCTGATGCCACATATCACTCAGAAATTTCGGGATAACCCAGAAGCATCCAAGAACGCGAATCATAGCCTGGCTGTCTTCATCAAGGTGGGGAGCGCCAGGCGAGGGGGCACCTGCTAAGTGACTGGGATGTCCTTTCTGGAGGAGTAACCAGTGTGTAGTAGTCCACAGTTAGTTGCTCAGTCAGGGTCAATGGCATGTTTGTATGCTGAAGGATAGACATATTAACAGTAAAGACAGATTAGAACCCAAACCCAACTTTCCAAAATGTTTGGGCCTAAATGCTTAACGTTATGGGTTGTTTTGTCCACAGAGATGTTTCACCTTCATGGACCGGGGCTTTGTCTTTAAGCAGATCAACAACTACACCAGCTGCTTTGCTCCTGGAGACCCGAAGGTAGTGTGTGTGTTACACCCTGTTCTTTTTTTCTCGCTGATTCACTTCCAGAGACTCTCCTATTTCTCTTGGTTCACATCAGAATTTTCTTTCAGTCCCAGAGGCACGATTCACTCCCCTCTTGAAGATACTAACTAGTACTCGTTTGCATTAATGTGTGAGATGTTAGGGACACGGGAACTCCAAATGTGAAATAAACATATCTATTTGATTTTCTCATAAACACCTGGAATGACTTCTCAACTGCAAAACTGAAAGTATGCGTGTTGGGAGTCACAGTTTATTTAGCAAGGTAATAGAAGTGGCCGCTGCCTTTCCCTCACTCAGCTTTTTTATTGTATTCAGTCTGTGTCTATAACTGTAAACTGACTGAAATCCTATTTTAATAGGAGGAACATAAATCATAAATGCCCTAAAAGTCGGTGGAGAACATCATTTAATGAAATGTGTTCTCAATTCTCAAACAAATCCCTGCAGTCATTCTGAAATCTAAAATAGCACAGAGCTTGCTCTTCCAAGAAAGTCAGGAAGCTAAAGACTGGGTCTGTTATTTCTTACAGGTTTTTTAAGTATCCAGTGAGGTATTAACTTAGGACTAAACATATATTTTTTCCCTGCAGACCCTCTTTGAATATAAGTTTGAGTTTCTCCGTGTGGTGTGCAATCATGAACACTATATTCCATTGAATTTACCGATGCCCTTTGGAAAAGGCAGGATTCAAAGATACCAAGGTAATCTTACCTTTATATTTATTTTTCACTATGAGAATCATTTATTTTTAATACGATGCGAGAATTGAATCCAACATGACATTAGAATTTAAAAAAGTATTTTTTCTAGCTAAATTCCCATTTTTTAAATATTGGTAAAATTTTCCATGGGAACTTACTCTTCCACAAATTTACTAGACTACAGATCATGGTAGTGTAACTCTTTTTCATTGAGACATTCCTTTGCTTAAACACTAGAAATCCATTTTACTCACTGCAGTTTATTTTTATTTGTTTCACTTTTCCTTTTTTCTCATGAATTAGCTTTTCTTTCACCAGCTGTGGAGTCAAATGACACTCCTGTAGGTAGGTGTGGGGTGTGACGCTTGCTGTCTTGCATTTTCCCCCTTTAATAGATAAAGAATGCAAGTGGTTGCTGAAATGCTTGCACATGCTGTTCATCCAGGCATTTCTCAGACACTTCGGTCAGTTCTTAAACTCATGGTAAACCATGAACATCTTCTCACTGTCGCTAAGACATTGCTGTAACATCCCAGGGAGGCATCTTGCTTTTTTGTTCCTGGGTCCTCTGGGGGATTTCTTTAAGAGGTCAAATAAAGAGCTTGCTCACTCCAAAAGTGTATTATCCCATCGTTTTCACAGATCTTGTCCTTAGTGGTGGCAGTAGCCGAAGTCACAAGCCACATGGCTTTCCACATGCTTTTATGTTTGCATGTTGGGTCTGTGCTCACTGTCCTGTATCCTCTTTCAGTTCAGCTCACATTGATTTCTTTATCTTCACTGAGTAAATCAATGCAGCCTGCCAGGTCTGTGGGATGATCTTGACTGGGTTCGGTGCCTGTATGTGCTCAGGGTTATTTATGCTAAAGGAAAGAAGAAAGTAGAAGGATGCCACCAACCTATTAATAACACCTAAATCGACTGACTCTGAAATTCAGAGAGGAACACACAAAGGCATTCATTCAGAGACATAAATATCTTCCTCCCAAACAGACTCAGACTGATTTCGAAGGAATGAGAAGAGGTTTGTGTCACTAGAGTTGGCCATTCAGGAGTTCACCAAATGTTTACCCAGCACCAACTATGTTTAGCCTCAGGATAGAGTTGTGGACAAGCGTCCATGTAAAAATGTCTGAACCTGTGAAGAATTTTTGTAAGATTTTATTTGAACCAAACTGATGACTATTGCCAGAAAGCAGGACCGCAAACACTTTTTGGAATGGAAGTCAGCAGCTTCCTTTATGCATTTTGAATTATTAAGAAGGGAATCTAAACAAGATTCCGTGAAGGTGGGAGAAAGCAAGGTGGGGATGAGACTACAGGATAGTTAACAAGAATATGTGCTTTTTTGAGGGTATTGTGAAGGAATGTAATCTAGATGCACAACAAACAATTGGTCTTGCTTAGGATAAAGATAAACCTTTTAATAAGATAGTGATATGCCCGGGGTATCACTACCCACCATGACCTGCCCAGTTGGAAATTTGTGGTCAGATCACCGGGGAGGTTACTTTCCGTAGAACCCCTTTTTCATTCACATGAGGATGATATTCCCTGGCTGTTTTACCTAAGGAAGATTTATATAGAGAATGTTAGAGAGTGATAATTGCCATGGAGAGAAAAACAATGCAAGAAAAGGGGGTGTGAAACAGGATGACATTTGAGATAGGGTGACCAGGAAATGGTAATCTAATGAAAGTGAAGGGGCCGTGCATACCCCTGGGGAAAACATTCTGGGCCGAGGTAGCAGCCAGTTACTTAGCATCCCACCCCGCCAGCTGTCTGGTCTCACTTCCCACTTGTCCCACATTTCAGACACACTTGCTACTCCCAGCTCCTCAACCTTGACATGCCTACTACCCCCTACAACCCCTCCACTTCAAATAGCCACCTCCCTGAGGGGGTCCTCATCATCCTCCCCCGCCCAGTCACTCAGTACCCCCAACATGGTGCCTGCCAGGTCCCCTCCTCACCCTCTCCCAGAACCCCAACTGTGATTAATGACTCTCCATCCTGCACTTCAAGCCTCGTCACACCCTCCCTCACCTCACAGTCTGTTGCCAGCCCCCCTGGATTTGAGGACCGTGACTGTTTTTTCCTTTCCCCTGTCAGGATGCTGAAGGCAGCTCTTTAGACCCAGTGGTTGGTATTCTGATGCCTGCCTCTCACTCTGGCCCAGCAGGTCCAATTGCTTATCCTGCAGAACTGAGCAAAGTGGAAACCCTTCAATGAGTGGAGACCACTCAGCAGATGGGCACAGACTCATAGTGGAATTCTGGGTATTTGGTGACAAGAGCGACTGCCCAGGCAGATAGGTGTGGGTCACCTATAGGTAGTTTACCTTACATTGACAGGTGTTTTTTCTCTCTCCCCTTCCTCTCCTTTTTCACAGCCTCATGCTCACATGTGCATACACACACACACACACACATACACATGCATGCATGCACACACACACAACCTATAGATTTCTTCTAAGAGGTTTATGTGAATTTAAGCTGGGAGCTGTTATTTGGATATATGGGGCTTAATGTAAAGAGTGGACATGATTACTCTGGAAAGATAAGCAATCTTTCTCTTGCTTCTGCTAAAGGGTTTCCTAGGGCTTGGGTTAGTATTTTGGATAGGTTTTAGGTTTAGGAGTAACTCATATGAACTAAAGTCAAAGGCAGGGTCAATAGATTTTCCTCTAATAATGGATTAAGGATGAGAATTAAAATCCCACTGCAGTTTACTGAAAAGGTGTGTGTCAGCTTCTGCGTGATGGTTGGCTGCTTTTATTTGCCCTCTCTGAGGAGATTTCACATTTGCTTCTATCTCTGTTCCAGATGAGCTTTAGTGTTGTCATTTAGCCTGCTGATGATTTATGAGTCTGGGCTGGTGTTTGTCCCTTTTGTTTTAGTTTATTCACCTCTAAAGGTGCAGAAGTATTAAGAGTATATTTTTTAAATTCTGCATTAAGTAAGTTATTCATTTAGTGATAGCAAAATATATAGGTTATATACTAATTTGTTCATTTTAAACATTTTGGATTTTAATGGGACTATATAGGCATTAATGATTAGGAAATGGGTAAATAAACTCATTTATCATTCGGTAAAGGACATTTAAATAAACCATGTATATTTATTCTTTCTTTAATTACATGTTTGTTATCCATAGACCACTCTTGTGTAATACTGTCAATTAGCATGATAACTTTTTTACCTTCATGTCAGTAACAAAATTACACTTGTAACTTAATATATGTTGTTCTATATGATAAAAATTGGCACTAAAACTATTCACTTACTGAATTATATAGATGTCATATGCTTGGAAATAAAAATCCAGTGCAATTGTCTGTATTTAAATTTTGTTTTCGTTTAAGAGCCCTGGGTGTTGGGGAGTAGAGCAGTGATTTAGACAGTCCAGCTTTTCCCATTGGAAGCCACACCCAGACTGGGCTGAGTGTAGAGGGTGGGGTTTGATTTTTATTTGATTCAGAGAGCAGCACATTCTCGCTAACTAAAGCAGCTTCTGTCCTCATTGCAGATCTCCAGCTCGACTATTCACTGACCGATGAGTTCTGCAGAAACCACTTCTTGGTGGGCCTGTTGCTGAGGGAGGTGGGGGCCGCCCTCCAGGAGTTCCGGGAGGTCCGGCTGATCGCCATCAGCGTGCTCAAGAACCTGCTGATAAAGCACTCATTTGACGACAGATACGCTTCCAGGGTGAGCGGTTCCCAGTGGAAGAAAACACGAGTTGATAAATGCCCTTTGTGTGAAGTCCTATAAAGAAAGTAGCCAATTATAAAATCAGTGCAACAGCATTAAGCCTTTTCCCTGTAGGTGCAGTACAATGTCCTGGAGGCCTTTAGTGCCGGCTCAGACCTTGGGGTGTTAAACGTGTGCCATGTGTCTCCGTTTCAGAGCCATCAAGCACGGATAGCCACTCTCTACCTGCCTCTGTTTGGTCTGCTGATTGAAAACGTCCAGCGAATCAACGTGAGAGAGGTGTCCCCGTTCCCCGTGAACCCAGGCAGTGTACGTAAGCATAGTCACATAGGCACAGCCCGCATCCGTGTCCCGTGGCTTCCCTGACAGAGTGCCACCAACTGGGTGGCCCCAAACAACAGAAATTCATTCTCTCACAGTCAGGAGGCCATACATCCAAAATCATAGCATCAGCAAGGATGGTTCCTGTGGAGACTCTCCGGGTGGGGAGTCTGTGCCCTGCCTCTCTTCTAGCGTCCGCTGGTTCCTGAAATCCTCGTGGCCTTTTGCTTGTGGCCTCATCGTTCTGGCCTCAGCCTCCATCTTTGCGTGGCCTTCTCCCTGGTGTGTCTGTGTCTCTGGTGCCGAGTATCCTCTCCTTTCCTTACAAGGACAGTATTTAGGGACCTCATCTCGCCTTAAATAGTAATGACATTCCCAAATAAGATCACATTCCGAGGTTCCAGATAGACAGGAACTTGGGAGTGACCCAGTTCAATCCAGTACATACCTGTTCTCTCTTTTTGCCACTAAAACAATAATAATGCACAGTGCTTGGTAAATTGTATTTCTGGCTAAGATGAGGGTCAGTGAACCTGCTGTTCTTGTTAAAAATCACTATGAAAATCTTGCTTTCTTGATGCCCTGATATCTTGTAAAAACATCAGGATCTTCTTTGTGTTGTCAACAAATCTTTATAGAGGAGGGAGGTTAAAAAAAATAAAAGGCATAGTTTGAACCCGTGTGGTATGAAAGCTCAGGGCTAGCCCAGTTCTGATTGTAACATACAAGGCAGTCTTTGAAAAGCCACCTCTTTGGGCTAAAGTCTCTGTCCGTAAAGTTAGAAAGTCAAGCCGGATGTCAGAGAGGCCAGGCCCCACTGTCCAGAACTGACCACCTTAATTTATATTATCTTTGTCCATTTGTTTAAAAATGTTAATTTATCATTTTAAATCTGTAGATTGGAGATCAAATTGACTGAAGGGTGATCCCAGAAATTATCTCAAAACTTCTTCATTGGAAACCACCTGCTATTCATTTGGGCAGAGTTCAGCAATTTCCTTTTCCTCTTCATTCTGGACCCATGAACCAGCTCAGATGTTAATCTTGCCACTTTGCCATCTAGTGTACACTTGGGCAGTTTCTTTTGCTCTTTCTGTCCCTTTTCCCCAGATAGTGGTATATTGTTGCATTTTTTTACTCCTCACCTCCGAATACATTTCAATAATGATGCCCTGGGAAGAGCCATACTTAGAGAATGTTTTTTGTAATTCTGAAGGGCTTCAGCTTCCACTGTCCTCACATAAACTACGCCATGCTATCACCCTATCTATACAAACTGTATTTCACAGGTGCACTCTCTAAACCGTTGCTAATCAGAATAAGTAATTTGGGGAATAATGCTACCCTTTCTGTAATGCTTCAGTCCTGAGAAAAAGGAACACTTTTCTCCGTGGCTTGGAGAAAGTAAAGTCCCTGGGTGACCTCACTTCAGCGTTAGCGTAGTTTCTCCCCTGAGAATGCACCTGCAGCTGCGAGCTTGCAGAAGCGTCTCGCTGGTGCTCCTGTGAATCCCTGTTCTCTTGTGGGAGGGTTTCCAACAACGAGAGAAAAACCAGTCTTCCCATTGGAAAGAGCACGTGAGGCTTTTTCTGAAGGAAAGAACGTACCAAATAATGTAAAGAACTTTTAGGCGTCAGAGCTCTGGAACACGGGGAAGGTGCCAGACCTTCTGGGGAGAGAAATGACTCTGTGGGCCAAGACTTCTCTGCCCCTCATCCCCCATGAAATAGTCTGTGCTCCCTTCCCCCTGCTCTTTCTCTGGTCCACCTGCCACCCCCCTCCCTCTCAGTCCCATGTGGTGCTCCTCCCCCTCGGGCACATGTCACTTGTCAGGCTGTGCTGTCTTGTTCTAACACTACCCTCACACTTTCAAGATCAGCTGGTGACTCTTTATTTTTATTGATTTTTTCACAGAAAGGAAGGGAGAAGAATAGAGAGCTAGAAACATCGATGAGAGAGAAACATCGACCAGCTGCCTTCTGCTCACCCCCCACGGGGGATGTGCCCGCAACCAATGTACATGCCCTTGACCGGAATCAAACCCAGGACCTTTCAGTCCGCAGGCCGATGCTCTATCCACTGAGCCAAACCGGTTTCGGCTGGTGACTCTTTTTAAATCGTCTTTGACTTTCTCTTCTCTTTCTCCCCTTTGGCAGACGGTGAAAGAGGAGTCCCTCACGGTGCCTGCTGTGAACCCGCTGGTGACACCACAGAAGTCTGGAAACACCTTGGACAACAACCTGCACAAAGATCTCTTTGGCGCCATCTCTGGCATCGGTAATGCCCGGCTCTCTTCTGGGCTTCCCTCTGGTTTGATTCCGAAGGTGTCTTTTCCTGGTAATCCAGGCGTTTGTGAGCTTTCAGATTAGGACTCTGAAGTCTGCATTTTTTTTTTTTTTGCTTTGAATATTGTTTTCCTGGTTTTGATAGTTAATGACAGAACCCCCTCACCCCTACCCTGAAAGAGACTTCCCAGCATCTCATGAGTTCTGAATCTGGTGCACTTGAGCTTCTTGTTAATGCCTAAGTTAATTTATCACTTTAAACCTGTAAATTGGAGTGTTTGTGCTTTTAGAAAAGGAAAATCTTAGCAGGTGCGTGTGAGAGGAGTGGCAGGATTTATTTGTAGCGTTAGCAAATTTAGATGAAATGTGACAGAATAATTGCTGCAGAGGCGAGTGGTTTATGGCTAGAGAACGACCCTGAAAGTGGTTTTCTAAATCTTTCCTGGAATATATTTCTATCTGAAATAACATAAGAGCAGCCCCCATGGGGAGGAAAACAGATGGCATAAATCAGGATCCAAATGGGAGTAGTTTCTCCAAAAGAAAATGCCTGAGAAATGTACTTGTTAATATTCTGAACAATTGGGCCCCTTTGGGGCCAGCTCCTTCACAAAGAAAATGATACAAAAAATATATATATAGGTCTTCACAGAATTGTCACAGACACATTCCTAGCCTGTCTTTATCTCTTTTTCCTATACCACTCTTGGGATAAATGAAACGTCTTGCCATGGCGAGTGCTTAGGCCACCCAGTAATGGGACTAACTCTCAGGGCAGGATAAAGGGCAAGTCCTTTTAGCTGAATGATTTGCAGGACTGTTGGTCATTTTGAGTTTATGTCCTTTCATTGTGTGTTGTTCTTATTAACATGCTATTTCGTGTAGGTGATGAAACTGGGCAGAATATAGAACCGGAAACCTCATATTAATGCTGGAATCTCTCCTTATTCTTACTTATGTACATGTATGTTTTTCATAGTCCTGCTCCTTGTGAAAATCAATCACATGGTTTCTATTTCTGTGGCCAGGGGTTCACATGTTCCATCCTTCACTTACGTTTTTTAATTCCTCTGGCTCTTCTTGGTTTTAATACACTGAATCGGTTTCGAGGATGGTGGTGGATACTTACCTCATTTGGCATCAGAGAGTATATGAGTTAATTGACGCCCAGTGCTCAGAGCAGAGCCTGGCACACAGTGTTTGCGTCAGCCATTCTCCTGGGACCTCTGCTCTGTCTTTGCCTTGCTCTGCGCACACACCGGCCGCTGCTCCAGGCTGGAGAAGGAGCTCTCTTCAGAAGGTTTTCTCTGTAGTGGTTCTCAGAAGTGGCTTTAAGTCAGACAGACGTCGTGTTGGCTCCAGACTCCACCATTTACTAATTACCACAAGCAGTATTTCTTGTCTCTTTCCCCGGGGTCCACATCTCCAAAACAGTCACGGCAAAGGATAACGAGCTAATACGATGTGTGCAGTGCTTAGCGAGGTAGACATAGTGTGAACATTGGACTATTATAATAATCATAGTGTTCTTTAGCATTATTAATGCTTTGTGGTATGCTCTGTTTCCTAGGGCCTATGAATGTGTTGAAATTTTAATTCCCTGACCCGTACTCTATAGGATTTATGTTCTACCTTTCACTTACATGGAACTGTGGGGATGATCAGTTTAGAATGAGGTGTTGCTGTGACTCTGACTTTATTTTCCAGTTCCCCATGTGCCTTGTTAGGTTTGGGATGCACTGAGAATGTAAAGATGAACCGTTAGGTGTCTTTAGCAATGCTCAAATGGCATAAATGGCCTTCAGCACTCTGTGTTCATGGTGACGTTACTGATTTAGTGTCTTTTCCCTTTTTCTTGCATTTCAAGACCTGAATCCACTCTTCATAGGAATTCACCACAACAGACTTATTTAAATCCAGGCTTTACCTCTCCCCTTCCCCCCATCTTTAAAGATTTAAATTCTTGTACCCAAGGAATGCCTTTCAGGGAAGTCCCACCTATGAACTGGGTTTACTAGTTGTTTTCTGGTAGCTCTAGCAGCTCTGCTTTTAGTCGTCAGGGAGTTTGCAGTTAACTTTAGATCTAGTGTCTATCCTTTGAGAGCAGACTTTCTTTTTACTTTTCCATTTAGAAGAAATCCTGTTTCCAAGAATATTGAGAATTGCTCCTTCAGCAGAGTTTGTTGATGTCTTTGAAACATGCTGCATGAAAATTCTAAAACTGATTTGTTGCTGGATACAGACACTCTGAGATTTTAAAAGGCACACCTTCTTAGGCGCAGGGTTCCTTTTAGCACCTACTCAGTATATTGCACTGGAATGTCTGTATAGAGGGGAGAGAGTTGGACTAAACCTCTTTTATTTTACTTATTTTGTCTAAGATTTTTAAAGGTTATGCACTGGGCTAGGATATAAAGTATAAACACACACACATAACATAGAGAATCATAATTCTACTAAGCATGTTGATTTTGATTCATTGCATTTTCATCTGTTTTCCTTACATTAGGATGGGAGTTTTGGAATTGAGCCTAAAACTCTGAGAATTTAGGACCTAATTTTACTGAGGACCTCTTTCTCCCAAGTTCTGTGTTCTACATTATATATGAAGCCTAAGTATATCAGGAGGACTATAATTGTAATTTGGTCATAAAGTGTGTGTTTTTTCTCTCTCACTCTAGAAAAAGGCTCAGAGCTTTTTCATAGGGTTTTCAACTGCTCCTTGCAACAATCAGTCACATGGTTTCTATTCTGGGGAGCCGCCTGTGGCCAGGGATTCACATGTTCCATCCTTCACTTACATTTTTTAATTCCTCTGGCTCTTCTTTTCTTGGTTTTAATACACTGAATCAGTTTCGGGGATGGTGGTGGATAAACCCGAGTGTTAGGTCGGGGGAGGGGTTAATTTAGAAGTGTCTGAGTCCATGGCGGCTAATTTGCATGCTGAAACCTGAAATGGCCAGCCCGTTGTGAGGTGCCAGGTAGAGACATCCTCAGCTTGGATAGGGGAGACTGTTTGCAAAAATCAAGGTGGAACACAATAACAGCTTGCTAGAGTGGTGCCAACAGTCTCCTCGTGCCGCTGCACAACCAGCCAGGCCTTCCCGTTGGAAGCATGCGTTTTGGTTCAGCACAGAATGTGCAAGACTAAGAGTCATTTTTAAGTATGTGGTTTACGTACATCTTATCTAAGCAGGAATCAAACAGTCACATTGAAAAATTGCACAGCACCGTGGTGGGTGCTGATTTCTGCCTTCAAATGCTGTTTTTTCATGGATGTCACAAATTTTTAAAAATTATATATTTATTGATTTTTTACAGAGAGGAAGGGAGAAGGATAGATAGTTAGTAACGTCGATGAGAGAGAAACATTAATCAGCTGCCTCCTGCACACCCCCTACTGGGGATGGGCCTGCAACCAAGGTATCTGCCCTTGACCGGAATCGAGCCTGGGACCCTTCAGTCCGCAGGCCAACGCTCTCTCCACTGAGCCAAAATAGTCACAGCCGGATGTCACGAATTTTATGTCCAAGTTAGATTTCCTGTATGCTTGTCACTGTTTATTGCAGAGCTTCCCAAAAATCCTCAGTTCACATCACTCACATTGTCCCAGTGATTTTTTTCATGGAGTCCTCAGGCCAAAAGAAACATGTAATAGTTTTGCTTATTAAGTACTTAGGCCCAAGTAACCTAAGTACTTATATGCTAACAGCTTGGTAGGCATTTGAAAAAAAACACAAACATAAATGTAAAGAAAACCATTTGTATTGTTTTTAATAACCACAGCTCTTACTAATGCGATTTGTGTGTCTGTTGGGCCCTGCCCAGCTTCTCCAGTTTTGAGTCAGGTTGCTCACAGTCCTCCTCATTGTGTTCCACATTGATTTTTGCCCAGTACTTGCTTTTTATCAGAGCACCCGCCAAAAATACCCTGCTTCACAAATACATGACATCATCGAAAGGAATGTAGCATGATCTAATGTTGAAACCACAGTTTCCGACAGATGTCAAGTATCATTGTGTTTTCCTTGAACATGTAAACTATCCCAGGACACCAGTCTGAGTTTTCTAGGGCACCTCAGCACGCAGTTTGAATACTGTGGATGGGCTGCACAATTTAATTTTTTTATTTATTTAATAGCTGTAGGTTGTTTTATCTTTTAAATATCTTTTAAAGTCTTCATTCTATCCCATTCTGAAACAGTATATGCTCCTTTAGTCTTCGCCATCAAAGGTAATTCCTCGTAAGTGAATCGGTAGCAACGTCTGAATGTTTCTGATTGAAGTTAGTTTTTATCTGCTTGATAGGTGATTGAATCCAACACTTGAGCCAAATTCATAACAGAAAAAAAAAAAGTGCTGTAAAAGGAATTTGTCTTTGTTTAGCGCTTACCTGTCCTTTGTTCCGTCTCATCTAAACTTTGTTCTTGCTTAATTTTTATTTAGCTTCTCCGTATACAACTTCAACTCCAAATGTCAACAGTGTGAGAAATGCTGATTCGAGAGGATCCCTCATAAGTACCGATTCAGGGAACAGCTTTCCTGAAAGGAATACCGAGAAAAGCAATTCCCTGGATAAGGTAATTTCTTTTCAGATAATGTGTTTCTTATTACAAATACATTTAACCCAGAGTAAACCTACTTCATGTTCTAGTGTTCATGGTGTGACCTTTAAAACAAAACAAAACACACACACACAAACCTCAGTTTATCTGGAGTAGATCATCAGAGTAATAACTAAGAATGGGGCCCATTCCCTGGAACCCCCTGCTTCCTGTTTCCAGAATGCCAGATTAGGGCAGTGTTTATAGTTTGGCGAGCGGTTCTGGCAGGTTGGACAACTAGGGAAATCGAAATGCCACTCATTTAGAATCCCTGTGGTCTGTATGCCGGAGAACACCATTTATAACACAGCTGTCCATACACAAAGCCAGCTCCCAGAAAGAAAAATCGATCCTACAGGTGATTCTGGGGTAAGGCTTTATTTCAAATCACTCTGTTCACACTGCCCAACTCCAGCCCAACAGACCTTCCTCCTACTAAACCTTCTGTCTTAAAATGACCAAGGCTCCGGCTCTTTGGAACTTTGTGGGAATGGATAAAGCTTGGATGTAAACCTGGAACCATGACAGGTTGGTGTCACTTGGCCACGGCTGTCCTAATTTATTTCAAGGTATAAGCAGGCACATATACGTTGAATAACCAGGGGAACCATGTAGGGATGTATTCCTAGCTCTCAGAAACATGGGACACATCCTTCCTCGGCACCAGGTTCGTCATCTCATCCTCGTCTCCGTGGCTGGCCCTGACATGACGGTCCATAACGGCAGTGTGGGGTGTGTCATGACCTGTCGAACTTTTCCCTTGACTCTGACATGCCTTCGCGTGTAGAGGGAGAAGCTGCTCAGGAGGCACTCTGCCTGCATCATACGCAGCCCTGGCGAGGAGGAGGAGGAGGAGGAGGAGGAGAGCGGCCAGGCAGCCAGGAGACACCGGGTCACTGTGGATTTCTCCCTTCTCACCATCCCGCCTCTGCCAGAGGAAACCTTGCCTGTGGCACCTTTCCTCCGGCTGCAGGAAGCTCCGAGTCCTCCCAGCGGCTCTGAGGAAGTGGGTGGGCCAGCTGATGCATCTGCACCCGGTTTTGCCACTAGCTGCTCCCGTATTTCTTCCCTGACTACAAATATCCATGGATGTTATGAATTAGACCTGTTTATCTTTTTTTTTTTTCTTTTTTTCTTTTCAGTTGCCCACCAGTACCTTGAATGAGAGGTAGTTTTTCACTGATCTTTCTGATTTGGCATTTGACCCAAAAAAATTTTCCCTGACTTCAATTGGAAATATAACTTGGAGGATTTTTAAATCTTCCGTGTTTTTATCATGAGATGCGATTCTCGTTCTTTTTTGTAATTTATTTTTTATGTGACCCCCCTTTGAACCTGGGAACCTGCTGTCTAGTGGCAAAACTGCCCTCGCCCTGCATCCTGAGCTTTCTGGTGTTTGTGGTGTTGAGCTAAACTGATGAGGGAATGGCCTCACCAGTTTAGGGCCTTTGGCAGTGCTGTGCTGAGGTGACCCCCGTTTTTCCCGTCGGGCACCTGCCCATGGTTTTCCCCAAGAGTGCCCCATGATCTAACTGGATGGCGGCAACTCAGCCCCAGGCTTTTGTGGCTGGTATTCAGCAGCACCACAGACTTGTGCTGTCTCAGCCACTGACATTTTCCTGAGGATGTGGTTGGTTTTGTAGTGTCTTCTGAATCATTATTCCTGCTTTTCTGCATGAGGTTTTACTTGGCATCTCAGAACTAAGCTGGTCACTCAACGATGGTTATCCAGTTGGAATGGCTGGTGCCTCTGGCTTGTCCCTTAGGAGAGTGTGTGCAGGAGACAAGCCAGAGCTTTTGTGGATCAGCACTTGTGTGTATTCGGGGGAGGCGCCTGTTATTTGTCGACACATTATGGATACCTTCCGGTTGGGATGACTGGGCTCCATTCTAAGAGCCTTTCTCTCCCAAGGTAGAAAAGGGAAGCTGGTTCGGTCTTACCTGCTGTTGAAGGAGAAATGCCCACCCGTCTTTCCTTTCTTTAGCACCAACAGAGTGGCACTTTGGGGAATGCCGTGGTTCGCTGTGACAAGCTGGACCAGGCCGAGATTAAGAGCCTGCTGATGTGTTTCCTCTACATCCTGAAAAGCATGTCGGATGGTAGGTAAAAACGGAGATGTCTGCTGTACTTTCCTTGTTTCAGTGTTTGGGTTATTTTTTTAAAGATCGTAATTGGTTTGAAAAGATATAAGGATTTAAAACAGTTTTCTTCCTTGCTTGAAACACGTGTTGATTTTCTAAACGGAGTAGAAATAAAAGTCTTCATTTGGAAAAGTATTTTTATTATTTTATTCTAGAAAAATGAGTTCTAAAGTGTGAATGGGACTCTTTTACTCATTTATATGGAACTCAGACCGACCATCTTAACTAAGGAGGCAGCCGGAGAAAAGCAAAGCAGCTTTTTTAAATTTTGTTTTACATGTCATTGTCTAAACAAACGTACTGGCAACTTGGACAACCTGATTAGTCTGTCTCTTGAATGAGAAAATACTGTGTTGGGGAACCTCAGCATCTCTTCCATTTAGAATGTGTGACATTGCTGGCTTTACCAGAAGCAACATTGTGTTATTAAAATACTAGAGGCCCGGTGCATGAAATTTGTGCACGGGACGGTGAAGGCGGGGGGGAGGTCCCTAAGCCCAGCCTGCATCCTCTCCAATCTGGGACCCCTTGAGGGATGTCCAACTGCCCATTAGGCCCGATCCCAGTAGGATCCAGGTCTGCTGGCTCCCAACTGCTAGCCTGCCTGCCTTCTTGATTGCCCCTAACCGCTTCTGCCTACCAGCCTGATCACCCCCTAACCACTCTCCTGCCAGCCTTATTGATGCCAAACTGCTCCCCTGCCAGCCTGATTGCCCCTAACTGCCCTCCTCTACAGGCCTGATCACCCCTAACTGCCCTTCCCTCCAGGCCTGGTCCCCCCCAACTTCCCTCCTCTGCCAGCCTGGTCATCCCAACTGCCCTCCCTTGCAGGCCTGGTCCCTCCCACCTGCTCTCCCCTTCTGGCCATCTTGTGGTGGCCATATTGTGTCCACATGGGGGCAGCCATCTTGTGTGTTGGGGTGACGGTCAATTTGCATATAATTCTTATTAGATAAGATCCTCTCCTGAGGATAGTTTTTTCATTGCTCTTAAGAGAGGGTGGAGAGGAGGAAGGGAGAAGGAGAGAGAGAGAGAGAGAGAGAGAGAGAGAGAGAGAGAGAGAGAGAGAGAGAGAGAGAGAGAGGGAACATTGATGTGAGAGAGGAACATTGATGTGAGAGAGAGACATTGATTGGTTGCCTCCTGAACATGCCCCTCCGGGGGCAGGGGACAAACCCAAAATCCAGCTACGCGCCCTTGACCAGGAATCAAGCCCGAGACTTGTAGGTCTGTAGGCTGATGTTCTAACAACTGATCCACAACAGCCAGGGTGTTTCTTTTATATCAAGCTTCCATTATAACAGCAATACAGCCTGATCTTACAACTCAGACTTTAGGAATAGCATACCTGTCCTTAAAGTGCTTCAGGAATGAATTATTTTATTCTTCTGTCAACTTGTTACCTTTAAATAACTAGTTAAAAAAAAGAACAAACAAGATTTTCTTTGATGACCAAATGCAAAAGCACTGGACACTTATTCTGATATTTTGGTTATAAAGTTGAAATTTTTTTCATTCAGTCAAAAGTTCTAAACTTTCTATTATGATAGTGACTTTTAGCCAGCTATGATCCTGTTTTTCCTTTGTTGAAAGACTTTTTTTAATATGTTAAATTTCAAATAATAAATAGGATTTATAACATACCTGCTTTTTGAAGACAAATACCAGAAATTTTCCATCCAAGTTAAAGTTATCCTTTAAAGTTGGCCTTTGGAAGGCTATGCACAGATTTTAAGATACAACAATCTCTTCAAAAGAATTTTATAATATTTAAAAAATTTTCCTTAAGTTATTCATTTCTTTTCTTTATAATTAGAGTTTTGTGTGTGTGTGTGTGTGTGTGTCTGTCATGTTTCAGAAATCTAGACCTATCTCTAGGATCATGAAGTATTCTTCTATGTTTTCTTTAAAAGCTCTATTATTTAAATTTTCACATTTCAATCTTAGCTACTGAAAATGGGTTTTTGTGTATGGAGTGGGATAGGGGAGAAACCGTCTTCAGCATAATTTACCAGACAGACAACCAAAATCAGTTGTGTGACTCTGCGTCTATTCTTTCCTTTATTCCACACTTAACGAGTACCTTACACATGCTGGGCCCTCACTCTCTGTGCCCTCTTCATGGAGGTTGGCATGCTCTTTCCCCTTTTCTCAGCCAATAGCCTGGCCACTGGCTGGCCACACATGTCTGCAAATTGACCTAGAGAGGCCCACCAGCATACAGTTGGCTCCCTGGGTTCAATACCAGAATGACCAGAACTCTGGTTCAAGTAACCAGAGTCTGTCCCTCTGGAATCTAAACTCAAATCCCCTGAAAATTAGAAGCTCCCTGACCCTCCCTTGTTACTGGCCCAATAGGTTAAATACGGCTTTTAAAATCAGGTGTATTAATTTGGAGAATGACTTGACTTCCCTGAGCCTTTATTAGCCTCTCTGTAAATTGGAATTCTCTGCCTCTGATTGTGGTGAGAATTTGATGGCATATTGTATGTGACATCATAAGACCACCTAACACAGTGGCTCCACATAACAGATTCTCAATCTATATCTCCTGGCTTCCCCGTGTGTCACTTGTTCCTGACATTGTAGAGGAACAGTCCAAGGCCATGCATCTTCATGAGCCATTAACATCTCTACAGCCACCTTCTCATCACCTTCAGGCCCCCAAATCAATGTCTCAGCGAGAAATCTCTTCACCTGTTTCTCAACCTGAATGTAAAATACTGTAAGAATATAAAAATATTTAACTTTCAAGTGACAACAGTTTGTGCAGTGTGCTAAATGGTTAAAGGTCTTTCGCAGAACATACTTCCTGTAAAAAAAATTTGTAGAACTTGCCTTAATTACAATATGCCAGGTCATCTCAGTGAAGAGTAAGTGTGGGTTCCTCATCAAGAGTACAGTGTAGCATTGTGTGGGGAAGCAGGCATTGCTTGTTTGGAGGGCTATTTGGCAGTATCTGTGAAAGTTGTAAATGCACATACCATTTGACACAGCTATTTTACATCTAAGTATTTGTCCTGTAGACGTAGTTTGACAGGTGTGCAAAGACCCATGTAAAAGGATGTTCGTTGAAGCACAATTCATAATAGCATAAGATTAGGAGGGAAACAAGTAAGTGTCTATCAGTAAGAGACTGGCTAAATCAATTATAGTGGAATATTATGCAGCTTGGAAAACATTGAGATAGATCTAGGCCATATTGTTGAATTAAAACTCAAAGGACAAAACTGAGTGTAGTGTAGTATGGCAGGCTTCCATTTGTGTGTGTGTGGAAGGCTGATGCACAAAATTCGTGCACTCGGTGGATGGGGGGCGGTCCCCTCAGCTCAGCCTGTGCCCTCTTGTAGTCCAGGAGCCCTCAGGGGAGGTCTGACTGAAAAGTTCCTGCCACTATGGCTGTGCCACCACCATGAGCCCAGCTTCTGGCTAAGCTGTACTCCCCTGTGGGAACTCACTGACCACCAGGGGCAGCTTCTGCATTGAGCATTGGCCTCTGGTGGTTAGTGTATATCATAAAGCAACCAGTCGTTCTGCCATTGGACCAAAACCAGCTCTCTGACATCCCCCGAGGGGACCCAGATTGCGAGAGAGTGCAGGCTAGGCCGAGTGACCCCACCAGTGCAACATCGGGGTGAGCAGATTGGCCAGCTGGGGAGAGACCGCAGTAGGGCTCCAGGGCATGTCCAGCCCATCTCGCTCATCCCAATCGCAGCAAGCTAACCTACTAGTTGGAGTGTCTGCCCCCTGGTGGCACATCATAGCCACAGGTCAGCCAGTCAATTTTCTGCCCCCTGGTGGTCAGTGCACATCACAGCGAGTGATTGAACAGCCTTAGTGTATCGTTAGCATATTACACTTTGATTGGTTGAATGGCCAACCAGATGACCAGACACTTAGCATATTAACCTTTTATTATATAGGATAGCACTAGATGATGTATGAAGAAATTAAGCTTCAAGGTTCAAACGTAGCTTCTTTTGATTGAATAAGCCAGTTGTATGTGTTATCCAGTGTAGATTTGGTCACTGTGGTTCGTCCTCTGATTAGCTGTAAAAGGGGGCAAGGTTTGGAGACTTACACTCTGAGATCTTGTCCCATCTCATAACGTATAGAATGCACATCATGATTCTGACCTGATAAATGTTTACTTTCTAGATGCTTTGTTTACATATTGGAACAAGGCTTCAACATCTGAACTTATGGACTTTTTTACAATATCTGAGTGAGTAGTTTTGTTTTGTTAATTGCCTCTTGACTTTTCCTAGCCAGTGAAGAGGTGTGAAGTATATTGTGTAGATGAACCAGGAATGCAGATATTCACATCAGACTCTTAAGCTATTTCTCCTGGACCTGATCCCAGCACCTGTTCTCAGGAGCTTATGACCCAGTGGTCAATGACCAACCTTAAATTATTAGATATGTGGTTGTTATAAGAGTCAACTACTAGTACTCTTACGTATAAGCCATTTTAATAAAATAATAGAAAATGTATTTGCTGAGGTGGGTGGATGCTGCAATAAGTTGAGTCTAACTTAGCTCAAATAGATGCAGAAACTGAGATAGGAAAATTGCTATAATTTTTTAAAGATATAAGTAAAATCTTACATATTACATATGTTATCTCATTTTTTTCTCTTTAGTCTAAGTTTCTGATTTTCTTTAAGATCATTACACGAATCCACAATCCATTATCCAAAACTGCTAGGCCAGATGATTTTCCAAATTCAAATTTTTTTTGGATTTTTGAAAAATTTGCATATAAAGTAAACTCCATAAGACCTCAGCAGGGTCTCAGGCAACACCCCACAGTCAAACACATTACTGTTTCTGCAGTAAAACATCATGTCTACAGTTCTCTCATTATTCACAGTCATTGGGTAAATCATACGTATAAGTAGTTTTATGTCTGTTAGTGGGGTCCTGCTTCGCTGCCAAATGAATTTGCACAAACTCAGTTGGAACCCTATGGTTCTCTGAGCTTTGTGCGTTTGGTTTATAGCCTCATGACTGTTCTCTCTGATGATTAAAGGTGGGAGTAGTCACTTGGTGAGATGAAATTCAACATCAGAAGAACTTACTGGACATTATTTTAACTGCTTCTTATTAAATATATGCTTGTTAAAAAAAAATCAATATTATGGGTATATTAAAACAAAACCAAAAACAATGTCTGTAAGGGGCCAGTCTATTTACTTAAAAGAGAGAGCTCCTTACCGGATTTGAATGAGGACGGAAATGCCACTCAGTGCAGTGCAGTAGGGCATATGGTTTCCATGGTGTTCTCTAAGGCACACTGCCTGGGGTCAGCATCTGAACCCTAAGTGGATGGACAGTCCTAGGGGTCCTAAGCCTTTCTTCTGAGTGGCTTTCACTGCCCACCACAATTCTGGCAGCAGCGTAATATGGGGCCTCCTTTGCAGGTTAGAAGTTTTATCTTGGTTTAGAGGGGCCTTCCAGAGAATTCCTGACACACCTGAAGTAAGGGGCTCGTAAGAATTTGTTGAATGTGTTATTGCTGATGGGCTTAAATCAAACAATGCATTGAAAATAATTTTATCTTCATGTTTCCCTGATAATCTTTCATCCTGTCTGCAGAGTCTGCTTGCACCAGTTCCAGTACATGGGGAAGCGATATATAGCCAGGTACTGTGGGGGTTTCAGCTTCAAGTATTATGTCTTTTTTTTGTTGTTGTTGTTGTTACTTGGATCTGAATGTGTGGGCATTGTCATCTGTGGTGATTGGCAGTTGGGATTCTCATAAACAGCCATGAAGACAGTTGGCAGGTTTTTGGATTGCTACCATCAAATCTGTTTGCATCTTTCGCCTACAGTCCTTCTGTTTCGTTTTCCTCATGCATGTCTCTTGGAAAGATCCTCCTTTGTGGCCTGTTGCTGCACTTCTAGCCTTGCTTCCAAATTCTCCCTCGTGTCCTATTCCTTCTGTCTCCCTTTCCTCCTCTCCCACTTCCTCTTTATGTGTCTTCTGGCTCTTTTCTCCTTCCCCAATTATTTCTCTTTCCCTGTTTTACTTTCAAAGGTCTTTTTTTTCTTTTCTTTTTCTTTTTTAAACCATTCCGTCTTCCAACTACAAAGATACTCATTTATCATCTCACCACGTTCCTTTTTCCTTAATGAGAGAATGTTTTCAGTCCATCTCAAATGTGTTTGGACTTGCACAAAAACCCTAAAATTGAGCCTTTTCTCCTCTGCTTCTAAGTAAGCTACCCAGTGCCCTTTGTTTTTATCCAACCAGACCCTTTGTGGAGTGTCATAAACCCACACCGCCCTGTCCCACAATAAACTCTTGGTTCTGCATTGAGTTGGAGGAGAGCTAGAAGCTCATTGCTGCTCCTTCTTTGGAGTATTTCCCCAGAGCACACCTTGTTGTTGCCAAGTTCTTACCCCTGCCCTGTCGCCATTTGGTGTGTCTGCGTTTTATTCCATGCTGTGTATTCTGTGATAATGTATTTATGGGGTCCTGGTCTAAATATCATATTGTTATAATGCTTTTGTTTTTTAAAAGTTTAATTATCAGTAAACATTTGTTTTAAGAAAATCTTTAAAATTTAGTTGTAATTGAGATTTTTTTTCTCTCTTACCTATAATTTTGTTTTATAGCAATGATATTTTTAATATTTTCTGTCTGCATGAACATTTTGCTTTTTATGTTAATATTGTTATTCTCTTGGGATATTTGCGAAATTTTCAGAATTACATTTTATGTTAAGTAAAAGTATATGTTTTCTTTTTTAAAAAGAACAAATTTAGAGAGAATATTTTATGCTTTTCTCCTATTAATATTTTCTATTTTTAATAGAAATAGGTTGTCACTTAAAGTTCTCTAATCTTAATTATTTTATTTTTATCATAACAATAATTTTTACATTTGAGATTTTGAGTATCAAATGCAAGTATACACAAGGTATCCATATGCAGTATATCCCTCTGACTGTCCCGTGGAGATGGGCAGTGAACAAAAAGGCACTGAACCAGGCCAGCTTCCCACTCTTCCCGCACTAACTGTCACCTACGTCACAAGACAGTGTTAGGAAAATGTGCAAAATAGAATAAAATGACTCAGAGCCGAACATGGTGAATGTGGGAAGCTGACATTTTTCTGCCCCAACAAAATATTTTAAAATTGGGTTTTGTGAAACTGTTAACTTATTTTTCAGTAGCTACACATTTGGTTTTTTCAAGAGAAAATCATCCAACTTCATAAATACCTTGTATATATTTGCATATAAAAGTATGCATCTTTTGACCGTCTTAAAAATGGATGAGCAGGTGATAGTGGCGGGCTGGGAGGTGGTGCTTTGTTGGGTGGTCTGTGGAAAGACACGCTGCCATGCTTTGTAAAAAATCACCACGGTGTCTGCTGCATGGGAAAACGATTCTGAGCGATGATTTGAACATCATCAGTGTTTGCCATTCACGGTGGCCTGGTTTGATGAGTACTGCGCCTTCTCATTGTGTCACCTTGAAATCACCCAGCAGCATGCTGCCCAATGATCTCCCATGCATGCCCTGTTCTCCTCCACACGATAACACATGAGGGAGACGGCTGGCTAAGGGATGGGGACAGGCGTCATTCCAGCACCGGTCTCATTTCCATCTGCTCTGGTGGTGGTGGTACACAACAGGAATCCAGCTGTTTGATTGCTAACCCAGATCACTTTTCTATTTTCTTTACTTGACTGCTGACAAGTTTAACAAAGTGTGTGGCTCTTCTCCTTCCTGCCTGGGTAAGAATAAAGGTGTTAAAACCACTTCATATAATCTTTCCCATCGCATGTTTGTTCTGTTTCTTCCAATGCTTTGATTTAAAAGTTTTTTGTTTTGTTTTTTTTGCTCTTGAATAGCATATATAATTCAAAAAGATTTGTGGCAGTTGTCAGAACGCTAACTTTAGCACCATGTTGGGCTGATGCTCAATTTTTTTTCTTTTTTAAAAATATTTTTAATGCGTGTGTTTTTTTTTTGTTTGTTTGTTTGTTTTAGAGAGAGAGAGACAGGAAGGGAGAGGGAGAGAGAGAGAGAAACATCAACGAGAGAGAAACACCACCAGCTGTCTCTTGTACGCCCCCTACTGGGAATCAAACCTGTGACCTCTTGCTCCATGGGTCGATACTCAACCATTGAGCCATACTGGCTGGGCTCCATTTTTTCTTTTTAAGTAGCATCTCTAAAGTACTTTCTAAAACTGGAAAGTTCTCTGCTTTGGCTTGGTTTTCGCTTCTCCTTCGTCATTGGTGCTTTGCTGTGAGCCCTGTGTGTCTCTGGCTCACGGACAGGCTCTCTGTGCTTGGTTCTCATGTGGCCCGTCTGCTTTTCACTGTGTCCTCGCCTCACTAACGCTCCCGGTCTCTCTGCAGTGTAACAAGTCTAACTTTTGCTTCTATCTCATTTCACTCATGTTACAGGAACCAGGAAGGGTTGGGACCCATAGTTCATGATCGAAAGTCTCAGACATTGCCTGTTTCCCATAACAGAACAGGAATGATGCATGCCAGATTGCAGCAGCTGGGCAGCCTGGATAACTCTCTCACTTTTAACCACAGTAAGTCCCATGACATACCATCGTAACAGCCAGCCATCTCATGTGACAGCTCAAAGGGGAGAGCCCCAGGCCACACCACACCACATCACCAACCTGACTTTTCTTCCAGCTCAGAGCAAGTAGGATGAAGAGCTCACGGCGCAGTGCCCTTCTCGGAGGAGAATGACATAATGTGGACCTTGGTCAATTATGGCACCAGCCCCAAAAGTGCTAGACCCTTGGCCCCAACCTCTCCAATTGTGTGTTTAAAACGAAATTTGGCAGGCTCGATAGCCAAACGTTCTGTGATATTTTTAATTTAATATTCGGATTCATTGCCTGTCACCAATTTATCATTGATCTCCCCCTTTGCCCCCCAATCCTCCATCCCGCCATGTCTGAGGACATCTGAGACAGATGTCCTTTGCCCTGATCCCATGCATGTAATTGATCAGCGTCCACATTCTGGCATTCTAGCTTAGAATGTATGTTTAACTGCTGTGAAACCATAAAGCCGGTGAATCAATTTGCGAGGATGTGGAAAAGCCAATAACAAAGTGACTTTTTCTGTGTTTTCAGTGTGAGAAAGATATCAAGTGTGCTTGGAATTTCTGTAGACAATGGTAAGATTTAATCAGGTTGAAGTCTGCTTTCCAAAGGCTGCTTCACTTGCAAACCGAGACCTTTCGTTCATCTTGCCTTCCTAACTTTGGTGCTTTCTAACTTCACAGTAGAGACTCTGCCAAAACGTGGGCCCATATTTTTTACTTCTTTTCACTCACCAGAGGGGATGTGCTGTTCCTAAAATTTAAGTATTTCATTTTCTTAAGGGTTTCTCAAAGCAGAAAACCTAAAATATATCAACCATGCAGCACTTTGAAAACTAACATGATCATGTATGATAAATACCAATTTCGTTAGTGGTGTGTCCTCTGAATTGTTCCATCTTTCCTCCAAAGCATGACATAGCTAGTTATTGTTCTATCTAGACCATGTTTGTGCTCATTTTAAGTAATGTCTTTAATACATGGTTATTAATATCTCCTCATCATTTCTAATCATAAGAATTCCATTCACTGTGACTTCCATACCTTTTTCTTAATGTAGACCAGGAGTAAAGACAATATTCCCATCACGTCACATTGATAATTCAGCTGAGCCTTGAACAACTTGGGAGCCAAGAGCACAATCACCCTCACAGTCAAAAATCCTCCTAGAAGTTTTGACTCCGCCGAAATTTAACTACTAATAGTTTATGGTTGACTGGGAAACTTACCGGTAACACAAACAGTTGATTAACACATATTTTATATAGTGTTACCCAGAGAAAATCATGTTATTAAGAGAATATTAAGAGAAAATGCATTTACAGTGCTTATTGGGGAAAAAAATCTTTCTATAAGTGGACCCATGCAGCTCAAACCTGTATTGTTTCAGGATCAACTGTAAGTCAAAGTAAGAAAGCTGAGGAATCAAAACACAGCAGCTTCCCATTCCTTCTCCCCAACCACATTAAATGCAATGGGCATTATCTCTATAAAATTCTAGGCTTAATTTAAACCAGTATTGTGTCTGCCACATTCTGCATTGGTAGCTTGCAAACACTAGTGCTGAGTTCTGACTGAGCTGTCGAGAGTGCATTAGCGACACGGCTACATCTGCTGTCCTTGATTGTCCAACATTGTGACGGTTAGGGCTTCCCTATCTCTGCAGACGAGGGGTTGATACGAACAAAACAGGGAGTTTTGTTATTTTCGATTTTCATTTCCTAGTTAAAACACAGAAATTAAAGTTCCACTAAGCTTCAGGACCTGCTCCAAGGCTTTAGCCCAGACCAGTTATAACACAGGGATTGCCTCCCTGTCAGTTGACATAAATATTTAACCGTAAACATATTTTTTTTAAAAATCATAAACAGACTAAAGATAACCATTTAGGAAATGCAGAAGACAAACAAAAATAAGAGACCAACAGTCGAATAATCAATCCACCAAGATGTGCAGCAGCTCCTCCTACTATGGATGGACTTGGCCGTGGTGGCTTGAACTGGAGGAGAGAGACAGCTGGCTGGTTCTGTTGCCAAAAGCCACATTGTTAACACGGTTGATCTCCGTTCTGCCTTCCTGCTGCCTGCAGAGAGCCTGGCCTTCTTGCCTTTCTCCTCCTTCATCCTGGAGTGTTTTCTTTAGTCCGTTTTCAGGGACACTAATCCTCAATCAGTTTCTTCTTCTGCCTTCCCAATACACGATGTGTCGCTGATTCTTTTACCTTTCGCCTATGTTCCTTCTGTTCCTGCTCATTCCCAAGTGGTCCTGATGTCTCATAGTTCTTGCATCTTCCCCGGGGAGTCAGTCTTCATGATAGCTCTAATTCTAATTATATGTATTTGGGTGGCTTTCGCCCTTCCCTTTTTAGCATTTTGAGATTCAAATCATTAAGTCGGCCAAAAACCACAGAGAAGGGAATGTGTACCATATGTATACATGTGCATGTGTATGATCATGTATATGTATATGTACACACATGATTGTTTACATCTGTACCTAGGCCTTTTATGGGAAATTTATAACCATATATGTCTCTTTTAAAAAAAAAAATCTTATTTAACAATGAATATAGTACTTTCTGTTAGGCCAATCAATATGATGTAGGTATTTTCTGTGAGATATTTTCTAGGATGCCAGAGTGTAAAATGAATTTATTTTAGAGAATAATCAAAATAGAAAAGTTCCCTCTACTCCTATATTTATTTGCTCTTCTATCCTAGTAGGAAAGGTTTTGTCAGCCCTCAGCATGACCAGCAGGGAGCAGCAAAGGTCTGTAGAAACTTAATCCAATGGTGCCAAATTATACCTTCCTATCACCCATTGGTAGAACATAAGAAAAGACATCAGAGGCACTACACATGTCACTCTAGCAAGGACTTAACTTTACTCTTGGATTTTAAGAGAATATAATGAAAATGGCAAATCCCCTCGTGGACAACGTTTTAATTTTTAAAAACATTCCAAGAGGCATGTTTGGGTCATTACCCAGGTACATGAAAGGTAAATGTTTACAACATGAAGGCATTGACCTGTTTACTGTAAAGTGCACTCAATGTGTGTCAGTAGAAGAGATTTGTGCCAGGTGACAAGTTGAGAGTGATGGCTGTCTGTAGAATATTTTATATAAACCAGGTAATGAGAGGGAAATGACATGAAACATGTTTGCAAATATAATAAGTGATGCATCTGCAAAAAAAAAAAAAAGTAACCTTTGTATTTATTTTGATGTTCTACAGTATTCTAGAAATATATTAAATTAATTTGCATGCTAATTCACATTCCCCACTGGGGTAAGAAAGAGCAGCCAAGTGATAGAAATGCTCAAAGAAAACTTGTATTTTCTGTAATTTGGCATAAGAGTGTAAGATTACTGGATTAAGTTGCAGAGATTTAGATTTCAGGTCAACATGGGAAAGCATGTTCTACCTGAAATGCCCATTAGCCCGTATGGGCAGGTGTGAAAACAGACACCAAGTGAGCACCTGATCATATGAGACCTCATCTTACCCCCAAATTCTTTGATATTTATGAACTGAGAATAGGAAAATGAATATGTGATCATTAAATTTCTTTTTTATACAGAATATTGAATTAATATGAAAAATGCAGAGGATGCATAGTCTCTGAAGTAAAATTAGTATTTTTTTAAACATGGACAATATATATTTTTTTTTTAAAAAATAGGTGAAACAGGCTGAATACTTTAAATGTCTATACCCAAGATAGCAACAACAACAACAAAAATGCTATAAAGTCACATTTCCTGGATTCTGAGACAAGTTTCTTTGATTTAGAAATATAATTTTGCACATTTACAAGTATTTTCAAAATCAGCTAAATTTCTTCTTTTTTTTAATATATATTTTATTGATTTTTAACAGAGAGGAAGGGAGAGGGATAGAAAGTTAGAAACATCAATGAGAGAGAAACATCGATCAGCTGCCTACTCGTGATAGCTCTAATTCTGATTATATGTATTTGGGTGGCTTTTGCCCTTCCCTTTTTAGCATTTTGAGATGTACATGCCCTTGACCGGAATCGAACCCAGGACCTTTCAGTCCACAGACTGATGCTCTATCCACTGAGCCAAACCGGTTTTGGCAAAAAAAATCAGCTAAATTTCTGTGGAGACTCTTCAAGTGTATAGGCCACCTCATCTATAATAATCACCTGGATACCCTTAGCCAATGTTATCTAGAAAGAGAAAGGACTCCAATAAATTCAATTAAACATTTAAATTAAAAAATGATGAATTTTACAAAAAGATTTGTAACTTACCAATGCATTTTGGAGAATATGTCAACTTGGCAAAGTGCCATTTACCTTTAGTGTGATTACCACTTATCTGGAGGATTTAATATTACATCCACCTCAAAATAAAAAATAAAAGAGAAAAAGACAATTCCATGCAGAGAAAGAATGAAAAATAATCATCAAAGCAAGTTCCTTGTTATAGATTAACCCAGACTCTATTTGGGGTAAATGGCAGCCCTCAGTAAAGGGTCCTTCTGGGATGTGTGATAGTTTTGGTTGATCTAATAAAAGGTGTAAATTTTTTTTTTGCTCCTTCTTGCCCCAGTTTGTGATCATATTAGTCCCTAAAATATCCATCTTCCTTTTCTCTGGGAGATTTCTTACCCAAAATGCAGAAATAAAAAGAACCAGAATGGTGCCAGCTGTGTTACGTAGGGTCACTAAGGGCACGTGGACTGTGCCACAGTGGAAAAATAATGCAGTCCACAAACACAGGACTTCAACCGCCTTTTAAAACCTAAGCAGAATTGGATGGAAGCACACAGTAGTATTCTTATCATGTTTTGAAAAGCGACTCAGCTTTGAAAAGTTTTTTTTGTACCTTTTAAAAATCATCCTGTAGCTGACATTTATTAAAGTCAGAATAACATCATGCTAGCTACTTTATTTTATCCTCATAATGTGATCTAAATAAGGAATTTGCAGTGTAGTTTCTGTTTCCTCCCCACTTCTGGCCTCAAGAAAATTCTATAGGTTTTCTGTGCTTCATTTTCCTGATCCATGTACAAAATGTCCTCCTCTCTGGAGTATTAAGAAAATTACCTACATAGTAAGTGTTGATTTGTTTTTGCTCCTTGGAGAAAGACATTACATGATGTTTTATTATATTGCCATCTTTCTTTGTAATCTAGATCAATACTGTAACATCTTTGCATCTCTATATTTTCTGCTAATGCATACCATTCATAATTTAATATCTCAAATTGTATGTCGACCTCCATTTTTATTGGTACTAAATTGATTTTACAGCCACCTAAGAAGATATCAGTTTGTACTTAAATTATGATTCTTCAAGTTCTTTCCTTTTCTTAAACATTTCTTTCAGACACACTGGCTTTTGTGCTTTTTTATTAAAGCAAGTAGAATACTATTAGCAGTACAGTCAACTCTTGATTATTAATCACGGCTCTAGCTGGTAATATAGCTCTTTGCGTTATTGACTTAACGCTTACATAGCATGCACTCTGTGCCAGGCACTGTTTTCAGAGCTTCACAAGTATTAACGAATTTAATACTCGCCACAGCCTCTGCAATAGATACTGCTATTATCCCCATTCTACAGATGAGGATAAAGAGGTCAAATGACTTGCCCAAGGTCACACAGCTAGCAGGTGGCCAAGCTGGATTCAGAGACCAGCAGCCTGACCCTGGCTCATCTTCTTACCCCCTGTGCTGTGTGCAGCCTCTGCCTGTGTGGGAAGCTTTGGACATTTCCACCTCCCTCACCACTCTCGCCGTCCTTCAGCTCAGTGGCGAGATTGATTGAGTCTGGTCCAGGTGCCTTCCTGGTTCCACTGTTTACTAACTGTGTGACTTCAGACAAGTCGTTTAGCCTTTCCTCCATTTCCTTATCTGCAAAGGGGGGTTCATAATGTACACATTTCATAGGGCTGTGGAAGGATTAAATGCAGCAATACGTGTAAAGTTCATAGAATTATGGCTGGCACATAGCAAGCATACAGTCAACGCTGGCTGCTATTCCTTCCCTTCTGGAGTTGAAAAAGACTTATAATTGAATGGGAACATTATTAACTACCATCCCCCCTCCATACTCCCCCAAAAAAGTAAAACTTCTGTAAATAATCAAAAGTTGACTGTGACTGTACCATCCCGCCAGCCGCTCTGCCCTGTGTGCAGCCCCCGGCAGTGACCCTGTGTTGTAACCCATGCAGGCTACGGCCATTCGGATGCAGATGTTCTTCACCAGTCGTTGCTTGAAGCCAACATTGCCACGGAGGTGTGCCTCACCACTCTGGACACTCTCTCTCTGTTTACACTGGCATTTAAGGTTGGTATGGAACGGCTGTGCGTGGTTAGAGCTCCACCTTTTACATTTGTGCGCTGCTTCACAGACCAGCAAGGCCGCCTGCATTGTCTTTTTTTTTTTTTTTTTTTTAATATATCTCATTGATTTTTTTACAGAGAGGAAGGGAGAGAGATAGAGAGCTAGAAACGTCGATGAGAGAGAAACATTGACCAGCTGCCTCTTGCACACCCCCTACCGGGGATGTGCCCGCAACCAATGTACATGCCCCTGACCGGAATCGAACCCGGGACCTTTCAGTCTGCCGACCGATGCTCTACCACCGAGCCAAACCGGTTTCGGCTGCATTGTCTTTTTACTTCACTGTGTTTGCCCCTGTAAAGGAAAACTATTCATCCTTCAGTGCCCTTCATGAAATTGCTCCCCAGTTAATGACTTGAATTCCCGAACTATAGTAAAGCTGACTGGTCAGGGTGTGCCTCAGGTGTGTGAGCAGTGGAAACCAGCAGCGTGTACCTGAAAAGCAGGCTTTCGTTATGCCCTCCGGAATGGTAAACGAGAATGTACCAGGCATCTCTGCCTCCCAGCTCCTTAAACATGTCTCGGTGTGTTAGCGGTTGAAACGAGCTATTTACCCATAAAGAAGCATTAAGTAAAACACATTCACCTTTTTAAATTCGAAAAAACAAAAAAAAACTGTTAAATGATAGGAGCATTTCAGGGGTAGAAAAGGTTGTTTGGGTTTGATGTTTGGGTTTTGGGAAATAATATGCAAGTAGAGGAAGACGGTCTCTTTGGGCACTCCCTTGCTTTTAGGAGCCAAACGCTTCCCATTCTTGCTAAATGATGGCTTCCATTTCCAACAGGAGAGGAGAAACCGCATGAATATTAATAGGCTGTGAATATTGGAACAGTTTGTTTGCAAGGGTATTTGGAAAACAGAATCTAAATCTCTCTGCTTTGCTTATCTCCACTTCTCAAAAAAAAGCATGTTTCTTTCTTAGAATAAAAATATTTGCCCTGGTATCATGCGCAGATCCTAACAGAACAAGTGTCTTTTCACAGGGAGCCTCTGTTCCTGTGGGCCTTAGTGAATGTTCCAGATACTTTGTTTAGTGTCTATGACTTTCTAATTAATGAGAGACAGGCAGGAATTGATTAGAAAATTAAGGAAGGCGAGGCAGCTGGTAGTGGTGTGTGGGGGGAAGAGGGGGGTGTTCTTAGGATGAAAGGCCTCTGATCCCCTTAAGTGAGGGCTTATTTATATCTTGTATGAGCTTTAATTCCACTCTCGCAAGCAAGTTTTGAGACCAGAACCTAAGAAGACTAAATCCTGAAAAGGGAAGCAACACTTTGACCAGGAGTAAAGGGAAAATAATTCAACTCCCGAGGGAAGAACTTAGAAACGGGAGCAATCCAGACAACAGGAGCAGGGTCCGGGCAGTTTTTGTGAGCCATTTCCTCTGTATTCCTCAGCACAAAGAGCGCTGAGAGAATAAAAGCTCATGTCCAGATTCGCCCAGACCTTACTCCGCCATGATTAGGAAGGACTGTGGTGCTCACAGACAGCAAATCGTGTAGGCAGTTCCCCAACTCTGGAAGCAGCCTTTTTACTTTTGGTTGCTGAACAGTTGCTCCTGGTTGAGAATTATATACTATTCAGTTCATTAAAACACGCTTCCTGCTCATTAGATTGCTGCTTCTTCTCATGATGGAATTCAATACTGTGCCTTGGTGTTGCATAATATGAAGATCATTGTGATTTCCAGGTGTCCTACCAGCTGTGAATGCATCTGTGAATCACAAAAAAAAAAAAAAAAAACCCACAAAACTTATCCCTTAAATTTTTTTCCAACAGTAAGATGTGGTAACAGTTTGCTGGGAAGTTTTATAATTCCTCTTTCTATAGGAAAAAAGTAAACTCTCTGAAACATAAGTTTATTGACAGGTTGATTTATAACAACACAAGAGGATTCTGTGCTTTCTTAGAGGATTCAAGGCAGAGTAAAAGTTATAAGTTGTCTTAGTGCCTGGAACATTTAACCTTTGAGCCTCAAAATGGTGTGGCACCTACTGGAGTGTCTGCTGTGTCTCACTGATCCCGCCGTCCTTGTGTGTCTTAGAACCAGCTCCTGGCTGACCACGGACACAATCCCCTCATGAAAAAGGTTTTTGATGTCTACCTGTGCTTTCTGCAAAAACATCAGTCCGAAACGGCTTTAAAAAATGTCTTCACTGCCTTGAGGTCGTTAATTTACAAGGTAAGCTCTTTCATCGGGGAGGTCATCATCCGATGGTCCTGCGTTTTCCTCCTGCACCCGGAGGTGCGGGGCACACTGACCGTGACCTGGTTGCTTGCTTTTTCACGCTCCACCTAGTTTCCCTCGACGTTCTACGAAGGGAGAGCCGACATGTGCGCCGCTCTGTGCTACGAGATCCTCAAGTTCTGCAACTCCAAGCTGAGCTCCATCAGAACCGAGGCCTCCCAGCTGCTCTACTTCCTGATGAGGAACAACTTCGACTACACCGGGAAGAAGTCCTTTGTCCGGACGCATTTGCAAGTGAGTGTAGTGTAGCTTTCCCAAACAAGTGTGCTCTGAAATTCTGCTTCAGCAGGGAATTTACCTCTGCGTAAGTACTACGAGGTCAGCCTTGAGGTGACATATTTGAAGTCACAGTGACAGGTTTGGTTTATGTCATCCTCCACCTTGTAAGATGTAGGCCCAGCATGGATTTCTATTGGTAAATTAATATTAACATATTGAATTGACACGAGACTGACTGGAATTGCATTGAGTGGAGATTTATAAGAATCTGTGTGAGGATGCCTCATGGTAGCCATCTTAGGTAAGACACAAAACGTCCAAAGTGGTTCCTTTCTGTCTTCCAGCTACCAATATACACCTGTTACTCCGGAATTAAAATGTCTCAAGTTATTTGCTCTGGGAACCATGCCCAATACTGAAAAGTCATGCATATTTTTGTCAGACTCTTCATCCCTGAATTTATTCATTTATTTAAACAAGTATTTATTGTTTGCAAACTACATGCAAGGATACATTGATCCAGCCATGAACAAAACAGAACCCCCTTTTGGCCCCCACGGAGTGTATATCCAGCTGGAATCCCCACACCCTCGGAGTGCAGTGTGCCCTGGGCTACTAGTATAACAGAGGAGCATTAGTGCCCCAAGGAGGGGCATCTGGCTGGGGACCCAGGAAAGGAGGCGAAGAAGCTCCCAGAGGATGTGAAGGGTGAATGCTGCTTAGCAACCCAAGGGAAAGGGCCCATCCAGGGAACTGGAGAAGACCTTTATAGTGAGGTTGAAAATGTGAGTGAGAACAAGTTGAGGAGGCATCATTGCCTATTTGGAGGGATTGCCTGGCCCCCGGGCTGAGAGTGGATTGCGGGAGTCAAGACCTTATCTAGGGAGACCGTGGGGAAACCATAGTCCAATATAGGCCAGAGAGGCTGGTGCTCTGGACCAGTCATGGTGAGGTTAGAAGGAAGAGGAGGTTGAGGTGACAGCACTTTGTGATTGGCTGCGCTTGGGTGCAGTGAAGGAAAAGGGGGGAATAAGGATGGCATCCATGCATTTTAGCTTGAGCAACTGGGTAAAGCCAGTGCTATTCATTGACAGAGAGAGAGAGAGAGAGAGAGAGAGAGAGAGAGAGAGAGAGAGAGAGAGAGAGAGAGAGAGAGAGATTTCCCCATTGCATAGTTAATATGAATGCCTTCTAACAACAAATGCAAAGGACAGTCTACTTATTGAAAGTTAATACCAAAAACCAAGGAGGTAAATACTAAGGTCTCTCTTTTTATGAGAGAAAGTAATAGGTAATCATCCAAATGGTATGGGCTTATCTGATTCTCTTTTTCTCTTTCTTTTTTAAAAACTTATCTTTATTTTTTTTTAAGTATTACAGATGTCCCCCCTTTTTATTTTCCCCATTGACTCCCTCCACCACACATCCACCGTCCCCAGACCTTTACCACACTATTGTCTGTGTCCATGGGGTAGGCACATATGCATATAAGTTCCCCAGCTAATATCTCCAGACCACTCCCCTGCCCCTGCCCTTTCATTCCTCTATCTTCTCTTATTACCATTTTCCTATGCAAATAAAATACTTAATGATAGCATAATCTCCTTCTGGAATACTTCTTGAAAAATCACTTAGTCATCATTTCCTACACTGGTATGATCCCTGCTCAAAACTACTCCTTTGCCCTGACTTCATGCACAGCCTACCTGAAGGCAGGAGCTGAGCCCAGGTGAAGAGGCATTCGAAGGTGAATTGATTTGCTCATATTTGTGTGTCCCTAAGGTCATTATTTCCGTCAGCCAGCTGATAGCAGATGTTGTGGGGATCGGGGGAACCAGATTTCAGCAGTCCTTGTCTATCATCAACAACTGTGCCAACAGCGACAGGCTCATCAAGGTGGGTGCCCTGGTCCCATTGTCTTTCTCACCCCTGAGACTCTGCCTCCTCTCTGCCATGTACATGTACAGGCCTAACACGGCTGAAGACCACGTGTCCTTCTCCCACTTCTGTTTCAGCACACCACCTTCTCCTCGGACGTGAAGGACTTGACCAAAAGGATCCGCACGGTCCTGATGGCCACGGCCCAGATGAAGGAGCACGAGAATGACCCTGAGATGCTGGTGGACCTCCAGTACAGTCTGGCCAAGTCCTACGCCAGCACCCCTGAGCTTCGGAAGACGTGGCTGGACAGCATGGCCAGGATCCACGTCAAAAACGGGGATCTCTCCGAGGTAGCCCTGCAAGCCTTCCCACGGGCATTTTTTTTTTTTTTTTTTTTTTGAGAAAACTGTGCCCCAGTCACTAAAAGAAGCCAATTAGCCCTAGCCAGTGTGTTCAGTGATTAGAGCATCGGCCCACATACCTAAGGGTTTCAGGTTTGATTCCCAATCAAGGGCAACCCCATTTTTCAATCTTTTTTCCAGGTTAGGGTGCCTGGGGAAGGCAAACCAATCAGTGTGTGTCTCTCACATCGATGTTTCTCTCTTTCTCCCCCATCCTCTTTTCCACTAGCCCTAAAAAACAGTGGAAAAAATATCCACGGGTACGGATTAACAAAAATAAAATAAAATAAAATAAAATAAAAGCCAGTTTAAACAGTGTTAGGCTCAGGGTTACTTCATAGTCCTGTAAGCATTTTAATAATTTGCCAAATTGTAAGGGGATGTATGTCACAAGAGGGCATTGTTTGAAAGCTCTTAAAAACATCCATGTTCATGCAGATGCCTGCTAATTCAAGTGCACTCAGTGTCTACATGCAATATCCCCTCTAGTTATAAAATTCCTCTATTTATGATAACATTAAAATTTCCTATTATTAAAGTATTGATAGGGCATACATTTTTCCCCATCTGTGGCCTTGATAGGTGTTAGAGCACCCCCTTGTGTTCAGATCTGCTATGTCTCAGTAAGCAGACAGTGTGGGGAGGAGTTGGGTGTGTGAGATCTGGAAAAGTGCGGGATCCCCGATCCAACATTTACTGACTCTGTGATACTGAGCTCGTTTTTAACCCCTGTGTGGCGATAACATCTGTAAAGTGGGGGAAATAAGGAAAACAGTAGGCTATCAGGCATGTTCTTATTCCCCTGAAAACTGTGTTTAGGATTGTGCTAAGGCATGAAGGCAAGATCCATGGAATTAACAAAAAAGCATGCTTTTACTTTTAAACTTCCATAGTTGCTTAAATTAGTAAAATTATGTTCCACATCTGAAAAAAAAAGTTATTTATGGAGTCCATTCTGTTTGACAATTGTTCCACTTCTTTCCAAAGGTAAAGGTGTCAACTATTGGGAGCATGAATTGGTGCCTTGGGATTTAACATAAGTACACACAGCCATTAGATTTCCGTCTGCGAGCATTTTGGCAGGCTGGATCAATGGTGATTCTGAGGCATGTGTCTCTTGTTGCAGGCGGCGATGTGCTATGTCCATGTCACAGCCCTGGTGGCAGAATATCTCACGCGAAAAGGTGAGGAGTTTCCTGTGTTTTGTGAAATGAACATAAAACTGTACAAAGTAGCAAAGATAAGCAGGAGCCGTTGAGAAAGATTTGGAAGTGGGGGGTTGTGGTGTGTGTGTGTGTGTGTGTGTGTGTGTGTATGCTATTCATTGTTTTGTTTGCGAGTGTGACATTTGCTTGACTTGGTAGGCACAGCAGAAATGCCAACATCAAAAAGAAAGATGGGTGGCATGTTGTCATATCTCTTGCTCTTGGCTCCATCACCCAAAGACTAGTAGTTAATGAGCTTTGCAGTGAAGTGAGGCCAGTCTTGAGCTGAAAAGATTTTATTTTTCCCTTACGATAGTTCCCACTGGAACTGTTTATCTATCAAAAGACAGTTGTAACGGGAGCTCATCAGTCAGCATTTTCTGGACCGTGGCCCAGTTGGCTTTATTGTGTGAGTAGGCAGCTTGCTGGCTGGAAACCTTGCCTCCCCATGGAAGGAAAGGGCAAGGAGCGAATGGTGCCCATTTGTGCATTTCGTATCTGTTCCCAGATGAGCAGGCCATGAACCCTCTCATGCGTTCCTTTTGGTTGAACACCCGTTGCTCATTTCCATTGCAAAATCAGTGCAGCCTCCAATGGCGGCATTTACTTTTGCAGCACGAGAATCTTGGGAAATCTGGCTGCGTGTGCACGTGGGCAAGCACAGCAGTTCCAGGTCTGGCTAACGAAGAGAGTGTTCACAGAGTGAGAAATGATAGGAAGTCACAGATGCCTGGCCAGTCAATGTCTATATTTCTGGTGTAGTTGGCTATTTGGAATGAAATTTAAGTGAGTCTCAGGCTTGCCGTACGTCAGAGCCTGAGAGAGATATTCAGGAAGAGCTCCGTATTCTCTCACTGCCAGCGCGCTTTCCTGTTGAGACCTGTTGTCAGGTAATACATTTCCTCATGTTTAGAAGCAGACATAGCCCTCCGACGGGAGCCAACCCTCTCCCCCTACAGCTACAGCACCTGCCAGAGGAGGCGCCTGGGAGGTGAGCCCAAGGGTCAGCCCGGTCCATGGGGCCCCAGCCGTCCCATCCACATGACGCTCAGAGGTGTGGGGACTTCCTTTTTTAACTCTGCCTGGTTGGCCTTGGCCTTGGCTCTCTTGTCTCCTTCTGATCCTGCCTCTGTTCAGTGGGCAAGGAGAGGAAAGCCCTCTGGCCACTGCAGTAGTTGTTCACTAAAGTTAAATTGTACCTCTCCGTGTACTCTGTCACCTGAAAGTGGGTGGTTGGCTTTTACAGTTTTGCTTTTTGTACGCTAATGTATCTGAAGCTCCTGGATTAGGGCTTTCATTTGTCTCCATAAAAACAAAAGCAAGTCTAGATTAGCATAGGGGCAGAGTCTCATGTGGAAACCTTGACCAGGATTAGCAGGAAAAAAAAATATCTGGCGTTAGGTCCTACTCCTTTAAGACTTGATTTCAAAATTCTCGGTGTTCCTCCTGTTCCCAAAATAGGGGAGGTCTGAATGCAAGTTTTGACTTCTGTTTTGGTTTATTGTAAACAATGGTCACAAACTAGAATAAAAGACATTTCAAGTCCTTCGTTTGATTATTTTTGCAGAGACCCCAGTTGGGCCATTATTGCTATTACCTTATCCCAGCTGCAACCTTATTCCATCCCTACCCCCTTAGAAAGCTGGGTGCCTAGGCCCCTGAAGCACTCATGCTTTCTGTGCTCTTGCTCTCAAGTGAAGGAAAGAGGCCTCTCCTTACCCCAGACAACCCATGTGGAACCAGCTAAGTCAGCCTCTTGGCTCACCACTGAGGCTGTTGAGTTACATCTTGGTTTTATAGACTGCTTCATGCAGGAAGGGCAGGTTCTGGGTGAATCCCAGAGTAAGTGAGATGACAGCTTGACGGAAATATAGTTATTTTTGAATCCAATATTTTCTCTTGATTGGCTTTGGCTTCTTTGTTTTTCTTAGTATCTGAACATCTATCATCTTACCAAATCAAATTTAGTGTTTATTGGTCATTACTTTATAATTAATTCGACTCAATGCCTAGTTCCGTTCATGTACAGTTTAAAGATTGCATTCCTTTTAATAAAGGTGGGTGAAAAATAAAACAGGGTGAGAAAAAGAAACACTGAGGAAGGAAGTGGTCCCCAGGCTGGCCTGAGACCCAGGGGATTTCACAATCGGTTTTTTCATTCAATACAGAAACATTCAGGGCAGGAGGAAGCCTCATGGTTCATCCACTTGCGGGTTAACACCTCACTCTCTCCCCTGCTGTCTCGATTCTAGGCATGTTTAGACAGGGATGCACAGCCTTCAGGGTGATCACCCCAAACATAGAGGAGGAGGCCTCCATGATGGAAGATGTCGGCATGCAAGATGTTCATTTCAACGAGGTGAGTGCCCCAGCCCGTGCGGTTTTCAATGGCGAGAACCTCCGCCCCCGAGGTTTACCCCGCCGGTGCGGGGGACAAAGGCCCTTTTCTCCATAGCTGCCGTTGACACACTTTGTCTAACTAACGTAATGCTCCAGACACTGGAAACAGAGCAGCGGTTAGTTCTACCATTCGGTTTCCCTTCCTAGGAATCCATCCAGGACTCCCAAGGAGAGTTTGAGGAGCTGGTTAGTAGTGAAGTGAGGCCGAGAGGTCAAATTCCGTGATGACCTAAAATTCTGTTCTAAAATGTCTAGTCTCAAATAATGTTCTAACTTAACACATGAGAAAGGAGGATAATATATTGTTTTTTCATATTTAAATATTAAGATAATTTTAACCAAGATAGATTAAGTTTTATTTCAAGTATCCTGAAATAAAGAAACAAGCTGGCTTTTCCATGGCATTAACTGTTCAGCAATCTCCACATCCTGAAATGCCTGGACAGACGTTAATTTTTTTTTATTTTTTACTTTGAAATTCACTGTGGTCACAGGGCCCATGTGTTCTTGGCTTTGAACTCCTCACTTCAAGGCAAGTCTTTTTTTTCTAATATATTTTATTGACTTTTTACAGAGAGAGAAAGAGAGGGATAGAGAGTTAGGGAGAGAATTGATGGGAGAGAAACATCAATCAGCTGCCCTTTGCACACCCCCTACTGGGGAAGTGCTCACAACCAAGGTACAAGCCTTGATCGGAATCAAACCTGGGACCTTTCAGTCCGCAGGTCGATGCTCTATCCACTGAGCTAAACTGGTTTTGGCTCAAGGCAAGTCTTAACTGGGTTTTCCCCTGAGAAGAAGCTTGAATGGATTTTCTCCTGGTAGAAACCACCCTTGTCCCCCCTGCCAAGTCAGACCTTTGGGGTGCAGCAGTTCGTTCAGAATTTAGTAAGGAAAACAGTGATGTCAGCAACAATTAAAGATTTGAAAGTAAACAATTCTCGGGAACCTGTCCCACAGGGATGATACAATAAAGCTCAAGTTTGCTCATCTGATTAAATACTAGGCTGGAATAATCACTACTGCCGAGAGAATTACCCAGTGAAATAAAGTACTGATTTTATTGGGAAATTTTGTGAATGGTACCCACTCTGCGCAATAGCCAAACATGTGATAGGGATAGCTTTATCAGTCATTTTCAGAATATGGATTGTCCACCCTGTCCTTGAAGCATACAGTTTGTAAATCTTTAACAAAGTCCATAGTGCATGATCTGTGGTGATTAAGATGTGACACAGCAGGATTATAAAGTCCCGAGCAAGCCCTGCACATCTAGATTGAAACTAGCCAGGATTGGAAAGGATAATGTGTCCGAAAAGCCAGGAAAACATATATTGCCACTTACCTTTTTCCTTTAGCTATCAGGATGTTTTAGGAAAAAGAGAAAGTTGAAAATCTACCAGAGAAGGAAGTAGCTTAAAAATCATTGTCCTTGTAAGCTGCATTAGTAGATATATTTGAATGCCTTTTATGATCTCCTAAACGATTTTAGAGAAGTTACCTAAAAATACATAATTCTCCTCCCAGCAGGCCTCAGGGTGAGTTTTTGTTGGTAGCAGTTCGTGTCTCCTGACTTTTATTTATTTATTTATTTATTTATTTACTTTTGATTAGATAAAAAGGAACATCCTATTTCTGTTTGTCGTTTTGTTTCACAAGCTGGATTCTGTGCAGACTACAGAATTCTGAATCCTTTATGGTGTCAAAATTCCTCACAGCCTGTGTGGTTTTGCGATCCCTCCCTCATTATGCCAGACAGGCAGGGTTCTGGAAGGAAGTAGGTGGTATGCTTAGGAAACTGAGAAAAAGTCTAATAAAGGGACTTATTTTGGAAGTTTGGACAGGATTTGAGGAAATCAACAAGGAATATTGCAGTTCCGTGAGATTAACAGCAGCTGGGTTACTATCCCTCCACCTATGGACTAAAGGTTGGAAAGAAAGAGAAACAAGGGCCTGCCTGATAGGACTGTGGGCTTTATTTAGGGAGGGCACAGTCCTGGCACCCTTGCAGGGAGGGAGCCATCGTGTAGCTACCCCACCTTCACTCTCCTAACCTGAGCCTTCCACTGGCCGAGTCAGCCAGGAGCTAGAAGACCTGGAGCAAGACAGAGGTTCTAGTGCGTCCGCCTCCCAGAACACAGTGCGGGAGGGCGGGGCTGATGAACACTGGCGAGGGGAGAGTGGAAATGTCAGTCCAGCTGCTAAAATTTCTTTGTAACCCTCAAAATCAGTATTCATGGAGGTGCTTGTGTGATCATTGGGGACATGCACAGAGCAGCAAAAAATTTGAACTTAACCTGCTTCTCACTGAGGAGGCACAGGGAAACTTTCTGTCTTCTTGGTGCTTTAAACAGTTGTCCTTTTCTACTCAGTACCATGTTTTCCACATCTTTGTTCTTTTAGTTTGTGATTTTGCTGTTTCAAATGACCCCCAAGTGAAGTGCTGCCTCGTGTTTCTGGGCACAGGACATCTGTGATGTGCCTTACAGAGAAAATACTTTGTGTTAAGATGAGCTTTTTTCAGGCGTGAGTACTTTGGGTCATGAGTTCCATGTTAATGAATCAACAACATATACTACAGTAGATGTCTTGACACAGAAACACATGTAAAACAAGATTGTTTGCTGATTGGTTCTCAAAAATTTTGTAGCCAGAGGCTCTTGGGAACCTAACCCTGTATTTCCCCAAGGAGGGGTGGTTCGGTCTTCACTGATTCATTGGTCATGGTGACTTTATACAGTGTCATTGCCATGAATCATAAGAATCCACTATATCGAGCACACTCCACTCTTGTTTCACAGAGTGGCAACTATTACCACTGGGTTGAGCAAACATATGAAGTTAACCAGACAAGTCTCTGGCTTATATCAACCAAACTGTTTCTATTCAGAAATAACTGCCAGTAACCAACATAAAATGTTTATATCTGTGGAACTTCTCAAGAATAGATATATTATCAACATATTGCATGATTCCTATATTTACATCTCATCCAAGCTTGCTGATTATCTGTAACCAATAAAGTTGTCTAACCTTCCATTTTTCCTTGACCCAGAATGCTCTTAGAACCATAAAAGTTATAATGATTCTGCAAAAACAATAGCAGTAGGAGTAGAGTGTTGACCCATGGGTCTTGTCTAATGCTCTACCCTTGGCTCATTTCTGGACATATATCCCTGCTTCCTTGTGCAAATACTTGCTGAGCTCCCTCAGCACTGAGCTGGGTGCTGGAGATACAAGGGTGAGCAAGATGTCCCTGTCCTAGCAGCTCTATTGCTTTTGATGCTTTCTTCCCATTGACGAGAAACACCTAAGCCACTGTCCCTTAGAAGATGAATTGCAAGGTGGCTGAGTTCTTTGTGACCTGGAAATTTCCATATTCATTCCGTAAACTAGCTGTGTGCCATGTCTAACTTTAGGATATACAAGTGAAGTGCCTGACTCAGAAAGTTTCACTTAGTGCACTAGTCCTCAAACATTAGTGTGCTTAGAAATTACTTGTATTCTTGCTACAAGTGGAGATTCCCACTCCACACACACACATACACACACACACATACACACACACACACACACACACACACATTCAGCTGGGTAGGTGTGGCACTTGGGAATCTATATTTAACAAGCATCCCAGGAGATTTTTCTAATGCAAGGTGTTTTCAACTGTAGCTTAAGAAATAATAACATAGTTGGTAACATAGATTATGTCATAAAGCACAACATTGTCCAAGTGAAGTCACACATTCATAGTTATTCCCAAGTGGCAGATAATAGAGACAATAACTAACTTCATAGGAAAGGTTAAGTTAAATTAATCCTAAAATGGAGCAAGTGGTATTTATAGTTGATATATGTCTGTATGCATTTTCATGTCTCATGAAATTATCAACATTTAATTATTAATTTATGTTTAACATAGAAAACTTTGAGTGTGGCAATATAGTCTTTGTTTACTTAATCCTTTTCACCTCCTTTTCGGCCTCATCTCTTGCCACTCCCTGATGCAAGGTTTATACTCCAACCCCTCAAACTGCTTGTAAATTCCTCCCATACCTGCTGCCCTCTCCTGTGTCTTCCTGTGCTGTTCCCTCTCCCTGGAATGTCTCCCCTCTCATTCTTCCGACTTCCACTCCCACCTTTCTCCTTCACCTCGCCAACTCCTGACCACTCAGTCAGTGGTCACCTTCTGCAGCCTTCCTTGCCCACCATTTTCCTCATCACCGGATGGATGCCGAACCTCTCTGCATCCCTGATTCCCTGCACATGTCTTTGTCAGCACACTTGCCACCATCTTTTATAATCTCTTTATGGAGCTGTCTCCACAATAGACTCAGCTCAGTGAGAGCAGGAAATCTTCATTCACCTGATGATTGGCCACCCAGTACTCACCCAGAGGCACACTGACTCCTGTTCAATAAACAAACCTCTGCTGCTCTTAATTCAGTGTCTACCTTTCATTGACAGAGGATCAAACATGTTAAAAAGCAACTATTGAAACCCTTGCAAACTATATAAGCAAATTGAATCTGAGAGTATATAATAAAGAGGAGCATATCATGACTAAGTCGTGTTTACCCCAGAAGCACACCATTGGTTCAACATGGGAAAGCCAATAAGTATAATTCAACATATTAACAGAATAAATAAGGAAAACCATATGACAATCTCAGTAGATGCAGAAAAATCATTTGAAAAAATCAACATCCATTCATGATTAAGAAAAAAAAAAAACTAGTAGGAAGGAACTTCCTTAACCTGAAAAAGATTATTTACAAAAAATCTAGAGCTAATATTACACTTAATCGTGAAAGACTGAATGCTTTCCCCCTAAAATTGGGAACAAGACAAGAATATATGTTTTCAATGCTCCTTTTCAACATTGTGCCAGAGGTTAGAGCATAGTCCTAATTCACCAAGATTTCAGGTTCAATCCCCAGTCAGGGTATATAGAAGAATCAACAAATGAATGCATAAATAAATGGAACAACACATGATTTTCCTCTCTCTCCTTCTCCCTCTCCTTCTTCCTCTCTTTTTCTCTCCCTCTCTAAAATCAATAAATTTAATTAATAAATAAAAATACACCATGTTTTGACATTTTCCTCCTAGTCATCTTAACCAGCATTCTGCAAGGACACGCTGTTTTGTCCCTTAGTAATAATACTCCTTTCTGGCCCATGGCCGCCTTCTTTGGTCAGGATGTGCTCATGGAGCTCCTTGAACAGTGTGCTGATGGACTCTGGAAGGCCGAACGCTACGAGCTGATTGCTGACATCTACAAACTCATCATCCCCATTTATGAGAAGCGGAGAGATTTTGAGGTATCTTGAGTTATTTGTTTTTTTCTTCCAGTGTAGAGAACAGTGAAATGACATATACCCCCAGATTTCCTTACATGCCAAGAGAGCAAGCAGGCCATGGTCAGAAATGAGCATGTGGTCTCTGACCCTTCATGTGGGGCTGGCAGGTCACCACCCTGAGCCACCAGGCATCCCACACCCAGACCCCACCTCTAGACAGACCCCACATCTCCAACAACAATGGTTGGTAGTTCTGACACTCGGCTTTTGAAAGGTGCCCAGAACAGTTTCATAACCACCAGGTGCCTTTTTTCTCAGGACGCTTTGTTGCTCCCCTACCTGGGAAACCGGTGTCCCTTCCGTGCTTCCCGGCCTGGGAGGCCGTCCAGTTTCTTTCTCTTAGCATATCAGATGGAGTAGGGAGCAGACTGAAAATGTCATCATAGGACTTTATCATCTCTGACATTTTGTGTTCACTTGAAAGCAGAATTTGCTTACTGCATTGTGGAAATTGGATGGGTTCTCATATGCACACTGGTCCTTTGGGTAGGAAACAGTACAATTCAAAAAGGATCACTACCAGTTGTGCAATCCAAATATAGTCTTATTTTTTTTAATAACTCAAGTCCAAGGATTGCTCACCCATGTGATCTCATTTACTTTTTTAAACTGGTTGTACGCATTGCATACAATAGGGAGAACTGGGTTTTGTTCTGCTTTCCAGAGGCTAGCCCACCTGTACGATACTCTGCACCGGGCCTACAGCAAGGTGACCGAGGTCATGCACTCGGGCCGCAGGCTCCTGGGCACCTACTTCCGAGTGGCCTTCTTCGGGCAGGTGAGCCTCCTCTCTGTGCTGTAGGCTGGCCCACGTCCCCCTTTCTTCCCCTTAGCTCTATAAAATTGTATTTTGTAAATGTTCTGCTTTCTATAAATGCTAATTTGATGAATTTGTCATGTTTAGTATGATTCTTCCTCAGTAGTAAACTTTCTGCTTTTCTTTTTTTTTTCTTTCTTCCTGTCTTTTATTTATTACTTTCTTAAGGCAGCGGTAAGTGCTCCTTCCATAAGACTGTCTTAGTGGCATCTTTGGTACTTCATACGATTTGCAAGTTTCCTTTGAGAGTCTATCTGTATATCTGTCCAGTCATCACAGACTCCAAAAACATTAACATTTTAGCTCATTTACAGAAATAAATCATTTGTTTCCTCATACATTGATACTGCATGTTTTAAACAAAAATTAAGACTTCCTGGTTTCTTTTGTCTACGTGTATCTCTACTTCTCGTAATATATCATCTCCACAGTATATTTACCATTGTAATATTTCAGGAACCCTGTACAAAAGGGTTCATTTAAATGTAACTGAGTGTTTAACCTCCAAGACTCTAACATGATTAAATGGTATGAATTATAATTCATATATGTAGGTTGTGTGGTTTTTCTATGAGCATTATATAACGTTCAATTTATCCTGTTATTGTCTTTTATGACTTTATAGCAATACCAGTTTACAGACAGTGAAACAGATGTGGAGGTAATTACAGTAAAAGCTTAATAAGCAAGTAATGTAGTGAAATTACTGCATCTAAACTCCTAGTTTGATGTGGATGTTTTCTGTTCCATGTTAGCCTGTACATTTTTTTTTATATATATAAATACTATGTTTTTGGCACCATTTTTCCTCCTCTATTTTAGATGAGAAATGTTTTGTTTTAATTTATTTCAAATATTAACCCCAATCTGAATTTGTCAAATTTTCAACCTTTTTCACTTCCCACGCAATTCTAAGCCTTGTTTTATTCAGGCCTGTTCGGTGCTAAAATATGATGATAATGGAAATATTGGAGATATGGCACCAGATATAACTGGTGATAATGAAAATATTTTCTGATGTCATGCTCCAGCCCTTTAATATGTTTCTCATCAATAAAGCAAAGTAGAATTTACATAAACTTTACGTGGCTTTTGCTGAACCTACTCCGGACCTAAAAGCTTCCTCATGTGCCATAAAGTGCTGTATGAGCCTTCCCCCATTGTTTTGTTTCTTGGGAATGTGAAACAGGCTTGATGCCCATCATCAGACTTCACCGAGAGAACACAGTCTTACATCCCCAGTCTCTCATTCCACTCAGCACTTAATGACAGCATTCTTGAATGCGTTTGCAGTTTTGTGTTTTAACTTTATCTTTGCACCCAGACTTCATGTTATCATCATTTTCCTTCCTGTTTGAAAAGCCTGTTTAATTAGGATTTTATTTTAGAATCTTTTATTTTTTAACCCTTATGAATCCCTCCCGGGTGGTAGCCATGGGCTTGTATTCAGTGATAGCTCTCTAATTGCGCTCTGTGTCACACAGGGATTCTTTGAAGATGAAGACGGGAAGGAGTATATTTACAAAGAACCCAAACTCACACCTCTGTCCGAAATTTCTCAGAGACTCCTTAAACTTTACTCAGATAAATTTGGTTCTGAAAATGTCAAAATGATTCAGGATTCTGGAAAGGTAGGACCATGTTTGGAAACATTTTATGGCAATATAATATTGTTTTGGTTATGCATGATGGATCATATCATATAATAATAATAATTAGACCGGACATCCTTCCGAATGACCTTCCAGATAAAGCCGGGGCTGTGACGGAAGCCCAGGTCCTGGGTGCCAGAAGGAAGCTGGTGCCAGCAATCAGGGGGAGGAAGGCCTACTCTTGCACAAATTTTGTGCATCGGGCTTCTAGTATATTCATAAGTGTGTGTGTGTGTGTGTGTGTATATATATATATATATATATATATATATATATATATATATATATATATATATATATATATATATAGAAGACCCAGGAAGAAAAATTAAGAATGGTTGGCCTTGAGTGGCAAGTGTATGTATTTTTTTTTCTTCTAAATACCTTTCTTTGCTTTCTAGATGTTTTTCATTAAACAGATGTTTATTTTATAATTTTTAAAGAGACATTCATTTACAAAATAACACCTGAAAGAATGTAACTTTTTTAGTCCAGAAGGTTAGAAATTGTAAGAGGAGGGCCCGAGGTCCTGTTTCTCATAGCACTTTCCCCTGCACTCCTCACCGGCTTGTCTATTACCTGACATTCTGACTGCTTGGTGGATGCAGGGACAGATGGACCAGCAGACGGACACATCAAGGAATGGACTAATCAGCCAGCACGCTCATGGGAATGAGACCTACCTTCTGTCTGGAGAGGCTGTCCTCTGCCGTACCGCTCTCATGAAGACCCTTTCTGAACCTGCTTCGTTTTTCCGGGACCCTTATAACCCTTTTATTTTGTGCAATCTGTTAAAATGACAGTACAGAATTAACACGAGAAGACCAAGAAAAGAGATGGCCGACAGTAGTGAACTGGAGAGTGTAGAGTTTCTGGAAGGCGGAAATTCTGAACCAGTGTCCCACTGATTCAGAATGTCTCCAGAAAGTGGGCTATCCCTTTGCTTCCTGAAACTCAGGCCAGGGGAGAGCTCCTGTTCTTTGCATTAAAAATGCTTCCCCTGCTCAGTGTGCAGCAAATGACAAGCTCTCCCTCTTTCCAAGCACACTCTTTAGGAGGCTCCCTAGTGCAGTTTCTGTCCTGAGCCCCAGTGTCTAGAACCTTGGGGCCCTTCGTTTTCTCCTGAAAATAATCTTCCAGCCTCCTGCCCAGAGGTAGGGAGGGAACAAAGGAAAGAGGGAGGGAGTGCGATTCTGGATTCTAGATGCAGGAGATGGGCACAGGCTGACGGTCCGAATTTAGCCTCAGACTTTCATCTATTCGCCTGTGTCCCACTCTGTATGTACCTCACTCCTGTTTTCCGCTGACACTTAGACTTTTTCCAGAACAGTTTCTCCAAGGAGCATTTTCCTCTTGTGGGACAAGGACTAGGGCAGGAACCTGGGGTTCCTCCACTCCAGATAGACTTGGGGCCACCCGTTCTGGTTTCTGCCCCACCCCTCTCTTAGGGCTGGGAAATTCAAGGTCAAGGTGCCAAGACATGCATTATCTGGTGATGTCCCTACAGGGTGGGAGAGGTGAGGGAGCTCTGTGGGGTCTCTCTTATAAGGAAGCTAGTCCCATCGCAAATGTTCTATCCTCATGATCTAATCACCTCCATCCCATTAATGCCACCACAGTGAGAGTTAGGCTTACAGCCTGTAATGTCTGGGGGACATAGACATTCAGTCTATAGCAGCAAGCTTTTCAGGAGTGCTCTGAGCCACCTGTTACTCCTCTCCATCGAAACTTGGATTAGAACTTCTTCGCTCTGCTGAAGCAGATAGCACACCTCTGTTCGCCCGCCAATTCACTACTGTCTGCCATCCTCTCATGTTAATTTTAACAGATTGCACAAAAAATATGTTGTTGGTCCATTTTTAACCATATTAAGACCTACTTTCTTCCTAGACCAAATTACTCAGGTCCAATTTGCCTTTCTTTCTGGAACTGGAACCTTTGTCTGGGTCAAGTTGCGACTTGAACATTATAGTCTTTTTCTCACGGTTCTCTGCCAGAGTGTTTCTCAGCATCTAGAAGGGTTCAGGAATATGGAGAAGGGCATGCATGTAAATTAATAGACTAGACATGAAATATAAATTTGGAATACATGGGGGAGCCAAAGGAGACCTAGCTTCAGTAGCCAGGTTCCCTGAATCTCTGGACCCCGTAGTTTTTTATTAACACAAATTACCCTAAGGCAAAGCAGATATGCATAGGTTTGGTATACAATAGGCATTGTCAGGTTGGAGGAACTGCCTCCAGCTGCTCAGCTGTTTGGCCAGCAGCAGGTAATAATAGTAGATTGAAATGCCCTCAGTTGTCTGGCAAAAGGCAATAATATATACATCTTTTACAGGTTTGGGGAAATGCTTTCAGCCATTCCAGCAGGCAACAATATGATTCAGCCCTGCTGAATTTTGAAGCCCACCAACTTTTTGAGGACTTCTTGCATTTATTATGACTTCCTGGAATTAGCTTACAGCAGTTCTCATACATTCTTCCCCTTTTCACACGTAGTCCCTGATGTAGCAGCTGAAAGACTTTCTAGACCTTCTCTTCCCCTAAATACCAGGCCTCCGTCCGTTCTGCAGGAACTTATGTACAACTTAGAAAATGAAGACTAGGGAAACACCACTAAAACAATGGTCAAGAATGTTCCTTTCCACTGCTTTAACTGGTTTCTGCTGAAGGAAGTTAAGTTTAATCGGGTTGAATGCAATTATAGTGATTGGCCAGCTGGCCTTTTCTAAAATAGAAGTAACTCACAACTATGTATTTTCTTAACTTCCAAAGGTTAAGGCGCTTTCACATCTGCTTTTCGTTCCTCTTCACAAACAGCCCTATGAGAACAGTGGTGCGTGATAATTTGAGACCAGTAAAATTGCCTTGGCCATATTGGTTTGCCTGCCCTGATTCCAGTATAGTCTCCAGGTTCTCTGCCTTTCTTTCACGTGCCCTTTTATTTTTCTAAGAAGCTTGGATACAATTGATATGTGCAAAATTGATTTGACTCCCTAATAAATCAGCTGTTGATTGTCTATGGAAAATGCCCGTGTTTAATTTTGTTCCAGAAGTTGGAACACCACCAATTGCAGAAATGTTGTGAAAGTAGTTATGTGCTGAGTTGATAAGGAACTAAACTTATGGTTAGATTAATCTTAGATTAATTTGTACCTGTATTAAATTGATTCATCTACATCTGTTTGCATCTAATCTACCTCCAGATTAATTATAATTTGAGGAACTAGGTCTTATTTTTTTTTAATTCTTATTTATTAACTTTATGAGAAGAGAGAGGAAGAGAGAGAGAGAGAAGGATAGAGAGGGAAACAGCGATTTGTTGTTCCACTTATTTATGTATTGGTTGATTCTCATTTGTGCCCTGACCTGGGATCGAACCATAACCTTGTCATATTGGGACAACACTTTAACCAGCTGAGCCACCCAGCCAAAACAGTTGGAGACCTAGGTTTTAATGTCATTAAAAATAATAGTGGGGAATTAAAATTCTAGGTTAAACAAGACTAAAGAGACATAACATTTAAATATAAAATGTGGTTGTTGATTAGTTTCTGGTTCATACACAAATAGCTATAAATAACATTCTGGAGACATTTGAGACATTTTCGTACAGACTGGGCATTGGGTGACATAGGAAATTAGTATTAATTTTGTTGGGTATGATAATGTATATTGGTTATGGAAGAGAATTCCCTCATGTTTAGGAGATGTTGGCTGAAGTATCATGATGTATACCACTTACTTTGAAATGGCTTAGCTAAAAAAAAGTCTATATGTGTGTGTATATTTGAAGCAATGCAGCAAAGTATTAGCAATTGTTTTTAAGTGGTGGTTATGTGGTATTCTTTGTACTATTTTTTCCAAGTTTTCTGAATTTTTCCAAAATGTTTACTAATAAAAAGTGGGGAAATACAACATAGGCATGCTGTGACAACTAGCACCAATCTTCCATTTCACTATTCATTTAAAGGTCAACCCTAAGGATCTGGATTCCAAGTATGCATACATCCAGGTGACTCATGTCACCCCATTCTTTGATGAAAAAGAATTGCAAGAAAGGAAAACAGAGTTTGAGAGATCTCATAACATTCGCCGCTTCATGTTTGAGATGCCCTTCACCCAGGCTGGGAAGAGGCAGGGTGGGGTCGAGGAGCAGTGCAAACGGCGCACCATATTGACAGGTATGGCTCATGGCATTTTCCTAGCTGCATGATTCCATTTCCTTCTCCTCCCCGGCCACAAGTTTATATCCAGTGTCAGGTCACTTCCCTTCTTAGGATCTGATGAAAACAGAGGGTCCTCAGGATGCTTTTGCACAGCATTGTAGGTGGTTTACAGACTCTGAAACCCACATGGACCCCTTTTGGGCCCATGGCACCCAGGCCAGGAACCCCTGCACTCAGTACCGTTTCTTCCTCACGGGAAGAGACCCCTCGGGATTTCAGTTGCACGGGTCCCAGCATGAACCTGCTCAGAGATTTATAGCTGCTGAGTGAATCAATGGGACTTGAGGCTGCGTCTCTCCCACCTGACCTCTGAGAGTCATTGGTGAGCTTCAGCTCAAGTAGCTGAAGTTACAGGGAGCTCACTACGGTCAGAGGGACAGAGGCTGCCTCTTCAGCTGTTGCCGAGTTTTGATTAACCCTTCAGTACTGTTATCACCCAGGACTCATTCTCAGAAATGCGTTTTGCACTATTTCCAAGTTCCTAACAAGTGTGGAATCATGTTAGGAATGATTTTACCTTCTTTGAGGGAGCTTGACGCCTCAATTCTTAGGTTAAGGACAGCAACATGACTGCAGTAACCTAAAATAAAACACTTACTTGTCTTTAAAAAAAAATATATATATATATGTATTATTGATTTTTACAGAGAGGAAGGGAAAAGGATAGAGAGTTAAAAACACCGATGAGAGAGAAACATTGATCTGCTGTAACCAAGGTACATGCCCTTGACCGGAATCCAACTTGGGACCCTTGAGTCTGCAGGCTGACGCTCTATCCACTGAGCCAAACCGGTCAGGGCGCTTACTTGACTTTTTAAAAAATCAGTGGGGAGCCCATTCAGAAGGCCAGGTGTGTCTGTATCCACTACGTAGGCACATTTTGCAGAGTGGCCCTAGTTAAATTGCGCCAAGAAGCACCCACTGCTTGTGAGGAGTCAGGGTTGCCCAATGCCTGGGGAGCTCGTGCATATTACAATATTAATGAAAGAGCATTGTTAGGTGCTGCATGCAGGTGCATCTTCCTCCCACCACTGCATTGTGCATTTTAAGTGGGTGAATTCTGTGGGATATGGTTGATAGCTCAGTAAAGCCGTTGAAAAAATAATACAGCTCATTACAAAACAGCTCAGAACAGCATGTTGAAGAGACTTGTTCACCCTTTCTACGAGGGAACTGGGATAAAAGTTTAAAAAAAAAATTTTTTTAAATCTGCTTTTTTAAAGAAAGGGTTTCTACCCCTGCTCTTAGGATAATAAAATAACATGGAAAGCACAAACAATATTTCTCTTCCCATATATCATGAATTGTTTTTCTAATGGACACAGTAGCACATTCTTCTTAGTAAACAAGATAACTACATTTCCAAATGGCGTCATTTTATGGGAATTGTCCACTTGGGTTGTTTGTCACTGTAGTGGCGATGACCTTAAATCAGTGCTTATCAAAGGTTGTTCCTGGGTCTGCAGTATCAGCACCTCCCGGGAACTTGTTAGAAATGCAAATCCTCGGGCCCCACCCAGACCTATGACTCAGACCCTGTGGGGGTGGGGCCTGGCGAGTTATGGTTAACAGTCCTTCAGGTGATTCTGATGCCACTCAAGTTGGAGAACTGCTGCTTTAAATAAACCTCATTCATTGATGAGTCAGGGTCCGGATTTTTATTATGATTCTGCTCAGGTGGCATTCTGATTCATAAACAGTTACTACCAGGTGATCTCCCTGGGCAGATTTCCTCCAGGGTTACCAGTGGGTCATAGCAGTATTTTAGATTAGATAGACAAAGGGAGCAAAGCTCTGTACCTGCAGGAACAGAGAGGACCGAGAGTGACTCCACTGCAGGAGAGGCAAAGTAGACACATGTTTTGTTGGCTTGGGAAATGGCCGCCTTACACAGCTGGGAGGCTGAGAAAGTGGGGGCAGTGCAAAGCCTGAGTCCTGCACACCCGGGTCACATCCTCGTTGTGTGGCCTTGGGCAGGTCACGGAACCTCTCTGTGCCTTGGTTTCTTCCTCTGTAAAAGGAGAGTTATACTTCCCATCTCATGCTAAACATTTTGTATATCATGCCCAGGAGGGGAAAGAATGTACTTCATGTTGCTAAATCTCACCTTGCCTCCGAGGTTAATGATGCCCAAAAGGGAGTTGCAGTAAATAAAGCACAAAAACAAGAGTGCTGTTTTTGCCATGAAACATCTTAAGAATATTGGAAAGATAGTTACTGGGCAGTGTAAAGATTTAGAGGAAGGGTTATAAAAATGCTACTAAAGCTCTAGCCAGTTTGGCTCAGTGGGTAGAGTGTCGGCCTGAGGACTAAAGAAGGGTCCCAGGTTCGATTCCGATCAAAGGCACATGCCCAGTTTCGATCCCCAGTAGGGGGTGTGCAAGATGCAGCCTTTCAATGATTCTCTGTCATCATTGATGTTTTTATCTCACTCTCCCTCTCTCTTCCTCACTGAAATTAATTTAAAAAATTTTTATAAGAAGAGATAAAAATGCTACTAAAAATATAAATTCTATACAACCTTTAGTTAAAGAATATCTTTTTTTTTTAATATATTTTATTGATTTTGTACAGAGAGGAAGGGAGAGAGATAGAGAGTTAGAAACATCGATGGGAGAGAGTCATCGATCAGCTGCCTCTTGCACACCCCCTACTGGGGATATGCCCGCAACCAAGGTACATGCCCTTGACCAGAATCGAACCCAGGACTCTTCAGTCCCCAAGCCGACGCTCTATCCATTGAGCCAAACCGGTTTCGGCGATTAGTTAAAGAATATCTTGACAGACTTTGAACTTGAGAATTTTCCCTCATGTTAATAATCTCTTAGGTTCTTCTGTCAATGCATTGCTTCAAACCTGACCTTTGGCCTTCCAAGATATGGGGGAGCCCTAGGCCTCCCTGCCTTCTGAATCCAGCAAGCACTCACTTTTCAGGATAGTTCAGTCAACTGCTATTTGTAATCATCCAAAAAAAAAACAAAAAAAAAACCTAGTGGTCACCCTCCTGGCCCCTTTGGTATACATTTCTGAGCCTCTCTTCCAATATGATCCCCTTCGTTTCTTTTTTTCGCAGAACTTCCTAACAAATATAGAATTATATTAGGAGTGACTTGTACCCAATCACTGGAGTTCCTTTCCAATCACTATTCCATAGTTTCCCAAATCATGCTCAGATTCCCACTCAGGTTGAGAATGTTCTCCTCGCTTCACTTTCTATTCAGTCTAAGCAGACAGACAGGCACTTCTTAGCTGTCTCTTCCTCACTCTCCTTCTTAAAGAGCTATAGATCACTAGTGATGGCTCACTGAGTCTGTCAATTTTCCATCTTCCAAGCCACTTTGCTCTTCCATTTAGCATTTTGGCAGGACTACAGTCATTAATTCATCAAAATTAATTGCGTACAGGTGGTGTTCCAAGTTGGCATATTAACAAAACAAAGCTCTTTGGCTGTGCGGATGAGATGCTAGCAGGAGAAAAATGATAAACAGAAAATAATGCATAAATATACCCACTTTGGACAAAAGGAAATATATATTCTGGACAAAAGGAAAAGGATTTTGGAAATGTGGGGCTGAGGAGGTGGATTGTGGATTATCTAGGCAGTGTTTCCCAAACTTCTCCCATGATGAGAATCACCTGGTGGAGTTGTTAAACTACAAATTCCTGAATCCCAACTAAGAAGTGCTAAACCAGAATTTTTGGGAACATATAGGTAAAATTGTATACTTAGTGCTCTAAGACAGACAAAAATATATAGGTGCTCTTCTCTCTGAAATGGTGGTGCTATCCCACCATAGCCCTCCACACTGTGACAAAACAAAGGCCTGTGTTTTAACATGGCCGCTGCCTCATAAACATTTCCACACATGCTTCTTCCATACAAATGAGAAAGCTGTGGATCTCCACACACCTGTCAGTCTGCCCCATCCAGGTGCGCCTGTGCTCCCAGCATCGTTTCCTGTGTCCCTGGCCGGCAAGCAGCAATGGCCCAGGTCAGGTCACATTCTCAGAGAAGCCTTTGGTTCTAATCTAAGGTGACCAGACATCCCACTTTTGGCGGGACAGTCCCAATTTTTAACAATTTGTCCTGCATCCTGCGGCGTTTTAAAAAAGTCCTGATTTCTCTTTAAAAATTGGGACTTTTTTAAAACGCCATGGGACGCGGGACAAATTGTTAAGAATCGGGACCTCTGGTCACCTTATTCTAATCGAATTTACCGATCCCAGTACTGCCCCTGAGAAACTGCCCGCGAGGAACACATAAGAAACAGGAGACACAGACTCTTGGACTAAGGGTGATAAAACATGCGGAGACTAGAACAGGCCTGTGTGTGACACATGAGGCACCTTCTCCAGCCTGGTCCAGACATGGCCCGTGGGAACTCTGTGTTCTGTGGTGCTGGCCTGTTTTCTCATCTTGCGACCAGTCCTTTCTGAGTAATTCCCTATCCTCTGGCCACTTAAAAAATAACAATGAATTCAAACGCACACTCTCCTTGCTTTATTTTTGCTTACTAAAAAATAAGAAAGCATATATCTAAAGATCTGTTAGTACAGTGGTTGGCAAACTCGTTAGTCAACAGAGCCAAATATCAACATACAACGATTGAAATTTCTTTTGAGAGCCAAATTTTTTAAACTATATAGGTAGGTACATTGTTATTAACTTAATTAGGGTACTCCTAAGCTGGCCTTTGCTAAAAACTCAAGGGGCCAAAGAGCTGCATGTGGCTCATGAGCCACAGTTTGCTGACCACTGTGTAAGTTATGTTAAATGAGAATATTACAGGTATTAGGCCTAGTAATAATTAATGTCGTTTTCTAATACTTTTTTTAAATCGAATTTATTTAAACAATACAACAAAATTTAATCAACAATATAGTTGCCGTTGTTTTCTACTACTTGTGCCCAACGCTCAGGAAGCATTTTAATCCCTCTGTTGTAAAATTCTTGTGATTTTGATGCAAAAAATTCAGTCAATGCATTTTTGAGGCATTCTTCATTATTAAATTTTTTTCCAAGAAGAAAGTTTTGCAAAGAACGAAACAAATGGTAACCGGAAGGGGCAATATCAGGAGAATATGCAGGTTGAGGGAGAACTTCCCATTCCAACTGGCGCAGTTTTTCAACAGTGATTCTTGCAGTATGCGGTCGTGCGTTATCGTGGTGAAGAATTACGCCCTTCCGATTAATCAGCGCGGGTTCTTTTTCTCTTAAAGCTTGGGCTAACCTTTCCAATTGGGCACTATACACTGCACTTGTAATGGTTTGGTTAGATGGTAAAAGTTCATAATGAAGAATTCCTTTAAAATTCCACCAAACACACAACATCACTTTTTTCGCATGCAAGTCAGGTTTTGGCGTGGGCTGCGGAGCCTCATTTTTGTCCAACCAGTGAGGCCGCCTTTTCAGATTAACATATAGCACCCATCTTTCATCTCCGGTAACAATTTGCTCTAAAAACGGCAAACGGTTTTGACGAGAGAGGAGCCAACTGCAAATTGTGACTCTTTGATTACGGTTGTTGTCGGTCAACTCATGAGGAACCCATTTTCCAAACTTTTGGACTTTGCCAAGTGCACGCAATTGATTGGAAATTGTTTTTTGTGAACAATTTAAAGTTGTCGCAAGCTCTTGTTGGGTAATTTGAGGATTTTGCACCAAAAGAGCTTGAAGAGCTTCTTGATCAAAATTGGACACACGGCCTCGACCACTCTTGTCATCTAACGAAAAATTTCCCTCGCGAAATTTCTCAAACCAACGCTGGCATTTTCTGGCGCTAACTGCATCTTGACCAAGAGCACTACAGATGTTTTTTGCAGCCTCACTTGCTTTTCTTCCTAATTGGAACTCGTAAAGCATGCAGTGCCGAATATGCTCTTCATCCGCCATCTTCTTAGCCCTAGTTTTGCAACAAAAACCAAACCAAACACAAACTTTTTCAAGCAAAACTTGTTAATTGCACTTCACACGTTCTGTAGATACCACGTGATTGAAGGTTATGTCAATACAAGTCAACGCCAAGCAAGATTTTAAACGAATGTTAAAAACGACATTAATTATTACTAGACCGATATTTATATACCATATAAAGCAGCAAAGTAGAAACATGAAACAACCCAAAGTAGATCCAGCTGTTTCTCTGCTCGTTTTTAAATGTAACTCTTTGGTGTCTTATTATGATAAATGAAGACAATATTGTTTTTTGTTGTTGTTTAAAAATGTATAAAAGTAGTAAATATTTTTACTTATATGTTTTATTTGTTTCAAAATATCTCTGTTATTGCTACTTCAACAGTTTTGACCATTCTAGTCCATAAAATATTTTTCTTGGAAATATATTTTCATTTCTTATTTTTGTTATTAATTTTTCTGATTTATGCAGACTTTAATTCAAAGTTGTTCTGTGGATAAAATCAATGTTCTTATGTTTTCTGGACTTCAGCTGTATGTGATATCTTTAAACTACTCAGTCTTTTTTTATATTTCCAAAGCCACCTTATATCTGCTAGTTCACTCAGATCTCTCAGCTTCCAAGGAAGACAGGACAGTCATGGATGAGAAATTGAGGAGGGAACAATAAAGCAATTTCTTCAAAGATATACCTGTCACAGAAAACATTAATAAACACCCTACTCCCATTACTTTATATTATACAACCTGTCATCAGACACCCAGATACAGGATAATGTTCTGGTTCCATGAAGTACTGACATATATGATTTTGGCAGGCTTTGGTTCCTTATCTGTAAAATGGGAATAATAGCTGAAACTGGTTTGGCTCAGTGGATAGAGCATTGGCCTGCGGACTGGAAGGTCCCAGGTTCGATTCCGGTTAAGGCCAGGTACCTTGGTTGCAGGCACTTCCCCAGTAGGGGGTGTGCAGGAGGCAGCTGATCGATGATTCTCTCTCATCGATGTTTCTCTCTAACCCTCTCCCTTCCTCTCTGTGAAAAATCAATAAAATAAACTTTTTTAAAAAGAGAGATAAAATGGGAATAATAATGACATCTATCTCGGTAGTAGTAAAGACCTTGCAAACCGTGGAGTAATTCTGGGGCCCGTTCCTCCGCAGCGATACACTGTTTCCCTTACGTGAAGAAGCGGATCCCTGTCATGTACCAGCACCACACCGACCTGAACCCCATCGAAGTGGCCATTGACGAGATGAGCAAGAAGGTGGCTGAGCTGCGGCAGCTGTGCTCCTCCACTGACGTGGACATGATCAAGCTCCAGCTGAAACTCCAGGGTAGCGTGAGTGTGCAGGTGAGCCAGGCACCGGGCAAAGCAAAGCACACCACATGGGCAACCGAGGGAAAGACTCCTTATTGAAGCCCTTGGGGATATTTCAGGTCATTTGAACCAACAAGGTCTAGTGTAGATCTCTGGCTTTACCAGATGATCCTCATTACCTCCCCACAGTTTCTCCTAATACCAGCAACCATAGGGTACCCCCACCCTACCCTCACTCTCCACTCTCCCCCATTTGCAAGAGTATCATTCTCACTAAACTGTCTGGGGGGGGGGCAGGAGACATCTTTCCACACTAACCTTGGTTTTTTTGTTTGTTTGCTTGCTTGTTTGTTTTTAATTTGGGGAATTCTGGGTACCTAATTGGAACCATTAAGACTCTTGTAAAAATAAAGAATGGCAGTAGGTTTTCTTATAAAACTATTATTGTCTGGTTCCTATAAAATTTGTTACCTGAAAAAGTACCTTAAGTTTACTCTCTTAATAGTATCTTTTGATTAACATCAAATCTCAATTTTAATATAGCCCAATAGATTAATTTCTTCTTTACTGGTAGCCTTTTTCTATGTCCCCTGAAGAAATTTGTTTTTAAAAGAACATCTTTGAAACATATTTATATTTTCCCTCATTGCTTAACATTTCTATATAGACCTGTAGTCCATCAGAATTCATTTTGTATGTGGTAGCAGATAGGGATCAAGACCCATTTTTTTCCTTATAGCTATCCAAGTGGTGTGCACCATTTATGAAAAAGATCACCCTTGATTTAGGGAATGATTATACAAATGTTTTCAGTGTATGAAAATTCATCAAGCTATACACTTACATATGTACACTTTTTCCTTTGTATATTACACTTCAAAAATACATTTTGGAGGTTTCTTACATGGTTTCCTAAGAAATTGGTAAATGCTAAATCACCTCCTTCCAGTGACCAGTATGCCTTGTTACTTCATTGATATTTTTAAGTGTATGTATGTAATTCAAACACATGTTTTGTGTGTGTGTGTGTGTGTTTGTATGTGTATGTGTGTTTACATGTATCTCTAATTTTTTTTCTCTTTCAAGAAGGGTGTTTATGAAAGTTACATGTAGATTGTAATGTATAGATTTTGGAGTTTCCTTGGTTCATTTTCTGAAATCAGTTTTCGTCAACTTTCTATGAGATTCATGTTGAGTTGCTGCCTCACATTTTTCTAAATGTCATTCACCACAAAAGTATTTATAGGTGTTTTCAACCTCTTTTTTTATGGTCCAAAAGACTTATGTGCCAAAAATAAGTTATCAAGTGAATATGATAATCATTCCAGCAACGTGAGTGATTACATAACGGGGCCAGAGGCCACAATTTTCTGCAGCTTGAAACAAAACCACTCAGCAACGTGACCCGGGCACCTCCAGCCTCTATCGAAAGGCCAGCAGTAGGGTGTGGGCACCAGTAAAAGGTGGGGCTGGACAGGCTGAGCTTTCCAAAGGACAAAATGTGCCCTGCCATTTGACTGTGACCTTAGAGTTTTACAAATGCTCAATCATCTTAAAAAGCAAAGAATTGCATGATGAAGTAAGATAAACTTCATACGTGTGTACCCACCAACGTTGACACAGAGTTAGTGGGTTTCTGTAATTTATCTGTGCGTTTCTGTAATTCTTTCACCGAGAGCCTCACTGGGGCTGCTGTTGTGCAGGACAGAGCCATCAGGCTGGCTCCATGGCGCTGCACTCCAAGACCTTGTTACATTAGACCTTGGGACATTTCATCAACTTTCCCCGTTGCATTTTCTTAAAATTGAATGAGTTACCCCTCAATATCTTCAGGGGATTGATTCCAGGAAACCACAAGGTACCAAAACCCATGGATGCTCAAGTTCCTTACATAAAATGGGGCAGTATTTTCATATAACCTACATACATACTCCTCTATACTCTAAGTCATCTCCAGATTACTAATAGTACCAAATACTATGTAAATTGTTATACTGTATTATTGTATAGTGGCAAGAAAAAAGTCTGTACATGTTCAGAACAGAAACAACCATCTTAAGCTTAACTACATAGTACATGTCAGTAACAACATAACATCTTTTTTAATCCTCATCCAAGAATATGTTGAGAGAGAGAAAGAAGCATTGATGTGAGAGGAAAACATCAGTTGCCTTACATATGCATCCAGATGGGGGGGTTTTAATGCATGGGACAGTGCTCCAACCAAACCGTAATTTTTTTTTTTTTTTTTTAGTAAATTTTTGATTCGTGGGTAGTTGAGTTTGCAGATGCAGAGCTATCAGACACAGAAAACCAACTGTGTCATGTTGGATAATCTGTCATTTTGGTCATCTTCACACACAAACATCCAGTGTAATGACATAGTCATCACAGAAGGTTAGCTAGAGGTTCCTGTCAGAGGGCTCCCCACCTCTGGTGTGAATTCCCACACTGCAGATCCTCCGTTACCGTGTAAGTCCTGTACACCCTGGGTCAGAACCACAGCCCATACTTTCACCAACAGCAACAAAAAAGATGGACTGCCATTCCTACTTAATTACCTTCCAAGCCCACCAGATCTTCCAGGAGAAATTATGCAGGAATCACGTGGTAAAGTCCTTTCCCAAGCTGTCTCGGAAGCCTGGAACTTTTTCCTTCCCATCCAGTGTGTCTAACTTTCTTTTTATCTACATTCCCACTTTGACCTTCCCAACCGAAAATTCTTGGCTAATGGAGATATGCAGGGTTCTGATTCACGTACCCTGTTGCTAAATGCCCCTAATGTTTGGCACTTGCCACACATTTCAGATGGTTACTTCATTCAAGGAAAGCAAATCAGTTTGTCCATGGTGGTCCATACAATTCAGTGAGGTGAAGAGTGGTTTTCAAACAATTGGCATACATTATTTTTTTCTTTTCAGTTTTTCACTAAGCTCGTCAGGTTAAGTATAGTGTAGCCAAATACCAATTGGAAGACTTGGGCTCTGATCTCAGGTGTTTTGCTTACTGGATGTTCAACCTTAAATAGGCCCTGATGTTTTCCAAGCTTTGGTTCTTCCTACATAGACTGAACCATCATCAGAAGTGCCTTGGGGATGGCTGAGATGGTAAAGTTAAATGACATGTAGCTTTCTTCATGGTTACTTCTTTTGGGTTGTAAGTTCCTGGAGGGCAGCGGTCGTGACTACAGACATCATTTTTAGCGCATACCAACTGAAATTAAAGATCATTTTCTTTATAACATAATTTTAAAACTTTGTTCTTTCTTTATTTGTTTATTTAGGTCAATGCTGGTCCACTGGCATATGCCCGAGCTTTCTTAGATGACACAAACACAAAAAGATATCCGGACAACAAAGTGAAGTTGCTTAAAGAAGTTTTCAGGTAAAGCACACATTAGAAATGTCTTTCTCTCTTCAAGTATGAGCAACTTCAGTGCTCAATCAAGGAAGAACACTACCACTTGGACTCATGCTTTGTCCTCAACATCTTTTTTCCCCTCTCCTTTACCACTTCAGGCAATTTGTGGAAGCTTGCGGTCAAGCCTTAGTGGTAAATGAACGTCTCATTAAGGAAGACCAGTTAGAATATCAGGAAGAAATGAAGGCCAACTATAGGGAAATGGCAAAAGAGCTTTCTGAAATCATGCATGAGCAGGTAAGTGCCACCTGGAGTTCTCATTTTTAGGAAGCAGGTGCTAGTTGGGGTCTTAAGTATACCCTGTGATGGCTTACACTTCTGATAACCTTCCAGGATTTTGAGAATAATGTAGCACTCTCCTGCTACTGTCTAACCACAGTTTACTTGAGGAACAGATTGCCTACCAATCAGTACCTAATGTGACCAGAGGAGAGCAGCTCCTACCTCCACTTCTACACTCTTAGAGGGGCTCCTCCTCTCCCCAGTCTAGCGTAAAACAACAATTACAACAATAAAACAAAACAAAAACTCTCACATAAGGAAGAAATACCCATATTGTTGGTAGAATTTTCTTTATTCACCCAGTCCTTCGGAAGAACAGGGTTTACCAGCCAGTTTAAGGAATTATCTGTTGTATTAAATGTCTTTTGCCATTTACAAAAATAGGGTTGTTCAATTTTTAACTATTTAACGCTGACTTGGGTGTCCCAGTGGATTATCCCTGGCTATTTCTATACTCCTTGTCATTATGAAATCTTTTCTAATTGTACTGCTATTGCCTTCTTGTACTAATTCCTTTCAGGAGAATTGTGGACGTGGGCCCAGTAGTCATCAGAGGGGACAGTTGTTCAGGGAACCCAGTAAATGTCAAAGAGCTGCTCTCCATCAACCATAGGGACTCCTTCCGAGTCAGAGAACCATCTTTATAGTTAGTGCTAGCACGTCGGTAACACAGAATTGCTTCTGTCTCTTCCCTACATTCTGGCCTTAGTCTTGAAAATTGAAGCCAGGACCTATTGTGTCAGTTAATATGTAATGTGATGATTTACTTAGGACATTTCTGTTGTAGGGAAGCAAATGTCTAAGCTTTAACTTGCTTACTTTTTTTTTCTCCTTCATGCTCACACATTCAGATGGGATGGTAATGTAATTTTTTAACTTAATTTTTTTAAGACTTGATTTACTGACTCACATAAGTTATTCCTGAGTTTGGGCAAATGCGGATGTTGGCATAAGTGTGTGTACAAATGCATGTACAAAAGAAGGCAACCCTCTTCTGGGCACTTGGAAAAGTAGGAAATGATTAAGGAAATAAGTGTGTGAATAATTAACCAGAATGTAAGGGCCTCAGGAGCACAAGTGCTTGGAAAACACATAAGGTCTTTTCCATGGGGCCTCCAGATTCCTGTAGAATGGAGCACTTGGTCAGTGGGTGCCAGCATTTGGCACTAGAAAGATGAAAATAGGAAAAAAAAATATGGGCTGAAAATCTACATTAATAAAAGAATAATATGCAAAGTGACCATACCTTCACGACATCCACCAGCCAATCAGGACTGTGCAAATTAATCCAACAAAGATAGTGGGTTAATTTGCATATGTAGGCCCTGCCCCAGCCACTCCGGGCCTCTGGGCAGCATGGGAAGGTGGAAAGATGGCTCTGAGCCAGAGCAAAAAGGTGGCTCCAGCTGGAGCGAAGGCAGTGCCGGCAGCCAGGGGAAGGAAGACCCATTCTTGCACAAATCTTTGTGCATTGGGCCTCTAGTAATAAAATAAACTCCCAGACTGTATGGACATTTGATGCAGTGCTGTGCTCTAAACTGGAACCTTCCATTATCTCAATAACTATGAAGATTAAACTCCTTTGAACGCTTAAAGAAAAAGAGTCATAACCCAGAGTAGACTAACTTTTGGCTTTTCCAGGGGATCCTCTGAGTGTGTATGTTCTTCTCAGTTTCTGCCTAGGAGCGGCTCACTTCCTGCCCTTAGAACCCTTCCCTGCGTTACAGAATGTAGAAAGAGACTAGCTCAGGGTCAGAGGGGCAGCCCCTTTTCTGTAAGACCTGGGAAAAGGAGCCAGTAGAGAAACACAGATACTCCAGATTCATCTTAAAAGACTTTTCCGGGGGACAAGGCTAGGTCATGTCCCATGCAGTATGTGTAACATACACTGCACGCCACCTTATCATCTGGTGAGTCTAGAAGGCTCTCTATTTACTAACTTGTAAAGGAAGCAAAAACATGTTTGTTCTGGACTTTCGCCTTATAATCCTGATCTGAAGAACATCATTCACTAAATGAGCCAACACTATCCTTCTGCAAACTGCCAAAGCCTAACTTTCTATCTAGGCAGACCATCATTCACAGGAACACTTACCCTTGGATGAGATAAGTCCTGTGTGTTCCATAAAATGTACCATTTTGAAAAATGCTGTTCAGGGCATTGCACTTGGGTAATGCTGTGTTTCTGTGCCTCAAGATTTGCCCGCTGGAGGAGAAGACGAGTGTTTTACCGAACTCCCTTCACATCTTCAATGCCATCAGTGGGACTCCAACAAGCACCATGGTTCACGGGATGACCAACTCGTCCTCAGTTCTGTGATCCGCCTCATGGACATGTGGGGACTTGCTTTGTCATTTGCAAACTCAGGATGATTTCCAAAGCTAATCACTGGGCTCGTGCAGGACACGGGGAGACCGAGCACTAGGAGAAATCAGGGGAACGGGAGAAGGCAGGAACAGGGAACTGTTCTTTCGTAGCAGATTTTCTAGAGGAGTCAGGAGAGGGCACATATTTTTTTAAGTCTCTCTGGCAATATTCCAAATTTTCATTTTGTCTTACCAGAGGTGTGTGGTGGACCCTCATAAACTGAAGCTAGATTTTATTCTTTCTTACAAAGTAGTAGTAAGATAAATGGCCTAGAGAAAACAAATGTTCTGGAATGAACATAGCAGGGACAGTAGCACTGAAATTGAGGCTGGGGTAAACCCTTTGCCTCTAGGCTAAGCTGGGAAATCTTGAAAATATTTTTTTCCTGTGGCACATTCAGGTTGAATACGAGAACTATTTTTGTGACTAGTTTTTGATGACGTGAGGGATCTGACCGCTGTAACTTTTGTACCAGTGAACGAGGAGGTTTAGTGCTTTTATACTTATTTACTTGCGTCTAAAAAAAACCCAGAAATGCTTAAGGAACTATGTGAGCTCCAAACTAGTCAAGCAGTTTAGAACCAAAGGCCTCTATTAATAAACACAACTATGCTAAAAGGTTTAAAGTAATGCAGTGTATTGTCATGTACATAAACTTTGTTAATACAGTCTTGGTGTTCTGTACATACATGTGTTGCGTTTCTACATTTTTAATACTCCTCACATGAGCTTCTGCATTAAATTTAATTGTGATAGATTTGTGCTGTTCTTAGTATATGCAAGACACTTGACTTTACTGTTTTATTCTTGTACATAAAAAAAGTGCAATATGGAGATGTACACAGTCTTTGCTATGTTAGGTTTTTAAACTGTTTTTTGAAAAGTTCATCCTTTTGCCAAAGTGGTAGAGTATGTCATTGGTAAATCATAAATCCTGTGGTGAACAGTGGTGTGATTTAAAGCATTCACCATATTATATTTTCTTTTGAGATATTAATTTAGTAATTTTATATCTGGGGAAAATAAAGGTTTTTAATTTTATTTAACTGGAATCTCTGCCCTGCTGTAATTAAACATCCTGTACCACATCTGTATTAAAAAATATGCTAATTTCTGATAGTGGATATTGGGTATTTATTGTTTAACAGTCCTGGGAGGGACAGGATCTTGAAATACTCAAGAGTACAAAAACGTGGTATATGAAATTTATTTTAAAATACCTTAGAGGGAAAAAAAAAAAAGAAGAAAAAGGTAAGTAGATGAAACAAGATGGACAAACGTTGATAATTCTTGAGGCAGAGGTTGGGTATATGAAAAATCTTTACACCGGTTTCTCTGCCTTTGTGTAAGTTTCTGAGATACAGATGTCAAGATGCAGGTAGATGTGAGAAACAGATTTCCGGGAGAATTTGGATAAACGCTTTGTCGCACCGTGGTCTGGCTCTGTTGCTTCCCATGTGTACATAGACACCGCATTCCCTCTGGCTTTTCTCCTTCAACTTACCCAGGCTTCCACCTTTGTCATCACCCTTGCTGTTTCAAGATAAACACTCCGGAACAAGGTGGTCCTTTGCCCCGGCATGCATCGGTGGCCACATGGGCTCACACTCCCTGTGCCCTCTGTTATCACAAACACTGAACCCATGTCAAGTGATGGCTCAGATTGCAGGGGCCAGGCCTGCCTCGTGTGCCCGGTGACCCAGCAGGTGAGTCAGCGCATCGTCACTCGGCCCCATGTGGCTCCAGTGGTGGAGAAAGAGGATTCTGTCCACGAGAAGTGAAACGGCTGGCTTTCCTACTGGGAGGGTTTTAAAGGCTGCCCTTGTCCATGACCAGCTGAGGAAATGTGATGGTATGTACATCCCGAGCACCCAGATGCCAAGGACCTTTTGATGTCTTTGAAATGTTCTCTCTCAGCGGTAAGGCTGTATTTCACAGAAGGAGACAGGTCATGAAGAGAAGGTGAAGTGTTACAGGAACTCACCAGAGGCTAAGCCCATTCATTAGCGGATCAAGACATAGGGCCTAAGACATATTTTTATATTAGTAGTTTGCCCTGAGGGTCTGACATCCCCACCCTGGACTCTGGCATCAACAGGATATTATCTTCTTTGTCACTGAGCTGGATTTCCTACTCATAAACGCCTCATTTAGAAGCCATAAAACTCGAGTCACCAAGTAGTAACATAAATAAAAGTCTAGAAAGAGCTAACATGCTATCTCATCATTAAACATGGAGAGTAATCTGTACCTATGTCATTGTCAGATAAGATTCAGCTTGGAAAGTGACCAATCCTCATTTATTATACTAGTGGAGAAAGGAGCCATCTCTAAATTGAGGACATCTATTGACTGCAATGACACAAATTCATATCAATTAAAAACCTTATTTAGCCCTGGTCAGTGTTTCTCAGTGGTTAGAGCATCAGCCCACGCACCAAAGGGCTGTGGGTTTGATTCAGTCAAAGCATGTACCTGGGTTGCAGGGTTGATCCCCAGCTTCTGGTCAGGACACATTCAGGAGGCAACCAATTGATTTGTCTCTCTTATAACCATGTTTCACTCTCCCTTTCTTCCCCCCTACCCTTCCACTCTCTAAAAATCAATGAAAAAAATATAATCAGGTGAGGATTAATAACAACAACAACAAAAAACCTCATTTAGTTTTTGTATTGAAATTTAATTTCAATATAAAGTTATATATTAAAATAACAATTTATTGGCTGAACCCGGTTTGGCTCAGTGGATAGAGTGTCAGCCTGCAAACTGAAAGGTCCCGGGTTCGATTCCAGTCAAGGGCAAGTACCTTGGTTGTGGGCACATCCCCGGAAGGGGGTATGCAAGAGGCAGCTGGTCGATGTTTCTCATCAATGTTTCTAGCTCTCTATCCCTCTCTCCTCCTCTCTGTAAAAAATCAATAAAATATATTCTTTAAAAATAAATAAAGTAACAATTTATTGGAGAAATTTTTTAACATTGAAGAATATTTCTGCACGGCTGGGGTACTCAGTGGTTGAGCATCACCCATGAAACAGGAGGTCTTGATACAATCCCCACTCAGGACACATGCCTGGGTTGCAGGCTCAATCCCCAGTAGGGGGCATTTAGGAGGTAGCCAATCAATGGTGCTATCATCATTGATGTTTCTATCTCTCCTCCTTTCCTTTCTGAAATCAATAGAAATATTTTTTTTAAAAAAATAATATTTATGAATGTTTTTCAGTAATTTCTTTAGTGTTTCCCATAAGCCTTATTCTGTTTTAAATTGCGGTAAGTATACATAACACAATTTACAATTTTAGCCATTTTTAAGTGCACAGTGCAATGGCATTAAGTACCATTCTCATTGTGTGCAACCATCACCATCATCCATCCTAAAAACTTTTCATCATACCAAACAAAAACTTTGTATTCATTAAACAATAACTGCCTGTTACCCCTTTGGGAAAATTATTTGTGAAATAACTTTGAAATTAAAACTCTAGTTGGTAGCCATTTATAACCCATAGACACAGACAACAGTGTGGTGATGGTCAGAGGGAAGGTGGGACATGGGCTGGGTGGAGATGGACAAAGGGGTGGTGAATGGGAACTTCCGTAACAGTGTCAACAACAAAAAATAAAGATACGAATAATAAAGCTCCAGGTAGTACCTTGTCAGGCATATCTGCTACCTGGGAACTAACTAACTCTAGGTAGTAGACATAAACAGAGCCAGCCTCTGGCATGGAGAAAGCTGCTGAGACTTAAGGGTGGAACACTGAAAGGTAACTTATAAAATGACCATGAGGATTTGTTTAACCATGTGACAGTTACTCTGTGTAAAAACACAATTCAAAAAAAAATACTTGATTTCTATCAACAGGGGATCTTTCACATAAATTATGGTACATCTAGCCAGTGGAGGACTGTGTAGCTATAAAAAGGAATTGACATCTTTGTGTACTGCTTGGAGTGATCTTCAAGAAACTGTAAGTGAAAAACACAAAATTAAGACATATATGAATAGTGTATTGCCCATTATTTAAGAAAGGAGGCGTATATAAATACATTTGGTTTTAAAAATTTTTTTAAATATATATTGATTTCAGAAAGGAAGGGAGAGGGAGAGATAGACACATCAATGGTGAGAGAGCATCATTGACCAGCTCCCTCCTGCATACCCCGCATTGGAAATTGAGCTCACAACCTGGGCATGTGTCCTAATCAGGAATCAAACTGCAACTTCTTGGTTTACAGGTCAATATTCAATCACTGAGCCATGCTGGCCAGGCCACATTTATATTGTTAGGTGGAAGAGAAAACTAAAGTTTTAAGTTATTACCTATAAGGGGATGGAGAATGAGATATAGGAGACAGGGTTAGAAGAGAAACCTGTCCAAATATAATTTGCTTTATATACTTACCTTTACAATCATGTGAATATTTCCATAATAGTTCCTTTTAATTCCTAAAAATTGAAGGCAGATGAAATAAATGAATAAAAGCCAATTGAAGATTGGTGACAAATACACAGGAATTTTTTCAAATGACTCTTTAGGAATTTCACTGTGCATCCTAAGGACAAAAATATTGGAAATAAATCAACGAATAATAAAACCATTTTCAGCAATTGTTTTGTTTGTGAAACTAGTGTGTTGTTTTTGTGAGATTATATTATTATTCTGAGACTGTTATATGTTTATTGCTGGAGAAAGAATGGAGTAATTATGTTGATATCATTGGAAATCAACTTTTTGTCATAGAAGAAAACAAAATTGTAACTATAAGACCAAAAAAGTAAAATTAGAATCCTTTACTTTTTAATTCGGTGTGGAAATACCAATTTGAACTCATGATAAGTTGTTCTTAAACATCTACACTATTTCTTAACTTGATTCACTAAAAAGGCCTAAAAACAATGACCACGCCAGTAGTTAATGATCATTCCTAAATGTCCAAATCCTGTTCCC